GTGAATGTGCTTGCGCCCATGTGCTACTTCAGCTCTTGTTTCGCTAGGTCCTTGGGCTCCCGAGCTTTGGCCAGCCTGCACTGGCGCGTTGTTGACATCGTTGGCACGGCACGGCGCTCGGTGAGAAGATGTGAAGTCTCTTGGGACGCATGCCAAAGTTGCTCCACTTCAACCCATCCCGTTGTACGCATGGCGCAAAGTGGAGTGTTTCAGGAAGGTGAAGCATCAGCGGGAGCTCCGCGAGTTTAGTGGCCATTGATAGTCCTTGACATTCCTTGTGTTTTGTCCTCTGAGTGCTCTTAACGCTGGCTTTCCCAGAGCAGAGCACGTATGCTTTGTGCTGTCTCTTATAAAGCCCATCACGCGAGCATTGTGTTTGCAATCGGGGGGCGGCGTGCCCCCCTTAACCCCCCGTGTTTTTTTGTGCCGTGCAAGCTTGCTTCCAAGCCTCCTTTTGTACCCCACACTGCGAGCATTGTGTTTGCCAATAGGCATTCCCCTCCCCCTCCCCCCTCCGCCCCCCGCTTTTTCAAGCACCCATGCTTTTTAACACCGTGCAAGCTTGCTTCGAAGAATGTGGCTTCGCCCCTTTTCACATCCGTGCTAGCTTGCTTCAAATCCCCGCCGAATGTGTTTTGCGCTGTGCCCCTCCTAAACTCTCTGGTTTTTGTTTAATCCATGATGCGAGCATTGCGTTTGCAATGGCCATGCCCTCCCAAGCCCCTTCCTTGCTGTTTCAGCCGTGCAAGCTTCGATTCGACTTCCACAGCAAAAAACAATGCGCCCGGTCTCCACAGAAGAAAGTGCGCCCTCCACAGCAAGAAACGTGCGGCGCCAAACCTCCACAGCTAAATAAGCGCAGACTTCCAGGACAAGAAAGCAAACGGGCCCGACCTCCACTGCAAAAACGCCTCCAGAGCAAGAAAAGCGCCAGGCCTCCACAGGCCTCCACGGCAAAAGATGCGTCTGGCCTCCACCCAAGCAAAGAGCAAGGCCTCCACAAAACAAAGGGTGCCAGGCCTCCACAGCAAAAAGACCTCCACAATTCCTCCACAGCAATAAAACGAGGCCTCCACAGCCAAAAAGGAAGCACACCAGGCCTCCAGCGCCTGGCCTCCGCAGCCAAAAGACACGCGCCCGGCCTCCACAGCATAAACAACGCGCCAGGCCTCCACGGCAAAAAAGCCGCCACAACAAAAGAAACAATACTCTTACCGTCCTTCGTGCTGGTGTGTTGTGTAATCCGAGTCAACCTAGTAAACAGATTAGCGCCGGCGCTGGGTGGACGAGACGGGCTGATCCAGCCTCTTCAGAAAAAGCAAGCACGCTGAAGGACCGACACAGATGAGCAATGTGAGTGAACAAGTGAGTAATTCTTGCAGGTGAGTGATGTGCGAAAGTTCAGATGTTCCATTTCAACGGTGGCCGACAGCGTTCATTCACGTTCGAGCCGTGCTCAGTCGCGTCGCGTTCGGTCGGGTTGATTCCTGGTCAGTCGCTTTGAAACGTTCAATCGCACGTTCAGTTGTGTTCGCTCGCGTTCAACATCAGTTTTATAGTTGTAGAACTGCGCTCAGTCACGCTGAGCATGCGCCTTTTTTGGCTGTGTAGGGGGGGGGGGGCAATTATCTGGTGCGGGGCATGGCAGTTGCCGCTTCGCAGTTTTCCCTTGCCCTGGCAGGCTGGTGGGGGAGTCCGAGGGCGACTCGCCATGGCCCGAGGGACTCAAAACAGTTCGTTCACTTTGCTTCGGAAACCTTCTGCGCCTCAGGGTCCGGCCTCTAAGCACCTGTGTCTGTGTAGGAACGAGACGACCTTGGGCTTAGATGCTGGATTCTGCTGGATTCTGCTAGATGCTGCTAGCCAGAGTCCAGGCTCTTGCTTGTCGTGTGCAACACCCGCTCCGGCCCGATCAAGGCAGGACCTCCCAGTTGCAGCTGAGAATGATGAGAATGATGAGAAAGATGAGAGTGATGAGAGTGATGAGAATGATGAGAGTGATGAGAGTGATGAGAATGAGAAGGATGAGAAGGATGAGAAGGATGAGAAGGATGAGAAGGATGAGAAGGATGAGAAGGATGAGAAGGATGAGAAGGATGAGAGGGATGAGAAGGATGAGAAGGATGAGAATGATGACATGTGAGAACCATTCTGGGTGACTTGGATGTGTGGGTTTCAGCCGTGTCCTCAGAAGTAAATCACACATGCGTGAGTGTGCCTTGTTCTGGGCTTTACGCGTGTTCGTCCCCAAACAAAGGGCATGTCATCGGTGTTGCTTGCATGTGCCTTGCATCTGAAATATCCGATCATAGCTTGCCATGAGAGTTCCTATACGTTTTTACCTACTTCTTCTTGTAGCTGTTCTCGCAGCCAAAGCTGGATCGCCGAAGCTGAACCGCACAGCTTGCTACACTTTCAGGTGGGGATTATGCCGGAGAAGAAGTTTGCAACCCCAAAGGAAAAAGAGGCATGCTCAGTCTTGTTTAGCATATACAGGCATGCATTTCCATGTCCAAGCATATCGGGGCCGCAATGGGGCAGGGACGGGTGGATTCCCCCCGCCCCCGCAACCCCTCGCTTTTTAAAGCCAATCTTGCTTCAAATTCAAAGCATACGAATCCTTTGCAAACCCATCACGCAAGCGTTGTGTTTGCAAATTGGATGCATTGTGTTTGCAAATGGGCATGCCCCCCCCCCCCCCCCCCCCGCATTTCTTAAGCCGTGAAATGGGGGGGTGTTACGCCAGCCCCCGCACTACCGAGCAAAGAATATGGCTACTCCCCCGCCCCCCCTCATCCCCCAAATCCGTGCCAAGCTGGCTTCAAAGCCCTGCCGAACCCATCCTGCGAGCATGCGAGCATTGTCCTAAACCCCCTGTTGGTGCTTGACCCATGGTCTCAATCTGTATCAAAGCAAGTCCTTCCACGTGGTTGCTGGAACCGGCAGGAAGTTACGCCAGAGTACGCCATGCTACGAAGCGGGTGCATAATGCAGTTGTCATCAGTGGTCTTCCCATGTGTTGAGTAGTCTCCACTGCTCTGGAGCCACACACACACAGTTTTCAATGCTTCAAGATTGATTGCCCTTGGTAGAGGTGTGGCAGCTGCTGGCACCGCGAGCGCGCCACGGACTGGCTCTTCAAGCCTGGAGGCAAGACATAGCGAAAGACAAAGTTTATGAGAGTTGGAGAACGGAGTGACAGTAGGATGTGGGAAACCCGACACGTGTGATCCTTGAGGCCGTGCTCCGACGCGATCACATCGGACTGGGACAAAGTGATGCCCACGGGCACCGACCCCGGCAAAGCTTCGTGCATGTCCTTCCTTCGTCCGTTCACATCCTGAGTAAAGGTCAACTCGAAGGTTCTTCCAGTACCTGTGTAGAGCACAGCTTCATACTTTCTGCTTGGGAGTCTGCAGAGGGCTTGTCAGCTAGCCCCGAAAGTTGTTGTTGTTGGTTTGAGGGTTTTGCAGAGCTTGTTGGGTGAGGGTCGTGAGGGCCCAGCCCCTTGGCTGCATGAACCCCATACCCAAACCCTGAACCGAAGCCCTTGACACGAGCCGTTGGCCGCCCCAGGTTTCACAGGGGACGCTCCTGTGTGGAACCCCTCGACCCCAAAGGCGGGCCCGCATCTGCCTCGTTCTGAAGTTTCGGGTGACTCCTAAACGTCGCCTTCTGCATCCTCATTACACATCCTGTGCTAGCTTTGGGAGTTGATGCCAGCAGGGCTGCATCTGCTCTACCCTGCGCCCGCCGAGAAGCCGCAGACATTCAGGCCAAGGCATCAAAGCCTTCAGAGATCCAAAGTGTTTAGTGTAGGCCTTCAGAGCCCGGCCCTTGCCTTTCATGACCTTGAGAGAGACCTCTTAAACCCTCAGAGCTCCGAGAGACCCTCGCAACCCTGAGTAACACACTCTTACAATCACGAGAGAACCCTGAACTGCTCATACTCCATCTTCCGAAACATTGACGCGGTCAAGTTTCCGGGTTCAGGGGTTCAAGTGCTTCAGGGTCTCAGGGTTCCTGCAGAGAACCCGAACTCGGAGTTCGTAGGACCAGAGCTGGTGTTTTGCGCTCATGGCTTCGGCCACCGTGCCGGTGGAAAGTGGTGGGGGGCCAGTATGTGGTCAACAATGACGGCCTGCAAGCACTTTATGCAAGCGACGGAGATGAGCACAAAGAACGGCAACGTGGAACTCGGCAATGTGGTAAAAGACTTCGAAGCTGAAGGCTGCGCCCGCGCTGTTGGCACAAAGCTGATGACGGGGATAGAGGCAACGTTCACCTTGGTCAGCTTCCTCCTGAACGTGGCACAGATGACATTGCCTCTCTTGCTTTGCTCGAGTTGGCTGGTCTGCAGCTTTTCTGAGGATGCTGGTGGGCGGGCTCTACATGAACACCGCGCCGATGCTGCAAGAGGCACTGGTCACATTGGTTTCTCGGAACACTCCCTTCCCCGGACTACTCGGATTGGGCCCGGAGTGCCTTTGGCCCCGGGCTGCTGTGTGCTGCTGTTTGCCTTCTCAGACCGCGTCTGTGCCTACATTGGCTTGCTGGGCTTGATGTCATCGCTGGCGTCAGTTTCGATTTTGGTCACTCTGGTGGACAGTGGTTGGCCGACAGCGCGCTGGTCTGAGGACACAGCCTACATTGCAAGCTTGCAGTACGTCCCCACCTCCTTCGCGATGATCCTGTTCACGGCGGGGACACACCCGTTGATTTGCATCGTGCTGCACAGCACGTGACGCCACACGGAGCTGCGCCGTGCAATCCTGGGTGCCTGGACATTTCTTGGGTTGTGACCATTGGCTTTGGCAGAGTGGCCATTTCTCCCACCGTTCCACCCCAGAGCTGCGCTGTGGACATGCATGCGGCGGTCTCCGTGCTAGCACTGCCGAAGGAGGAAGTTGGGTCAATTCCACATGATGGACTCAGCTCCGGCACTGGAGATGCCGACATCGCAGTTCCCGGGTCGGCAGCCCTGCCACTGCTAGAGGAAGATGGTGCGCCAACTTTCAGCAGGATTGACTCAGGTCCTGCCAGTTCCAGTGACGCCCCCAGCGCGGTGCTGTCGTCCTTGCCTGCTTGAGATTGCCTGTGTGAATCCTGCCGCCTCCAGGCAAGCAGCTGTGGTGTCAACTCCCGGAGGGCTGCAGTTCAGCACCATAGATCCAGAGCTCAACATTGCGTACGTGCTTTTTGGTCACAAGCTGGAGCCTGACATCATCGCCAACATTGGAGGTGAACTCAAGGTGATTGGTAGTGTGTGGATGGCAATCAAAGTGCCAAGACATGCAGTTCCCATGGCGCGACCTTTGGGCACTTATGCAGGGGCCTTAGGATAGTTGTGCCCCACTGAGAGTGCCCCGTCCTCGGGTCATGTTGCCCGTTCTTGTGTGCCTCGCGAAAGTGTGGTGGGCTGCACCATCACAAGCTTCAACGTCCTCCTGATACTCGTACCGGCCATGTCATATGTTTTGATACATGTTGGTCTGCAAGCCGAGCTGAGCCGCTACCGCGCGATCTGCTGTGCCATACTGGGTACGGCTGTCCTTTGGCAGTTTGTGTGTCAATGTGTGTCAGCGCCTGTCAACCTAGTGGAGGGCAAGTCCCGACATGTCAGCCGAAGTTTGAGCAAGTATATATATATATATATGTATGTATGTATGCATGCATGCATGTATGTATGTATGTATGCATGTATGTATGTATGTGTGCTGAAAGGTTGTGTATCAGGCATTATGTCAGTGGCTTGCCCTTCCAAATCGTCGGACACCGGACACGACTCCTAACGGAGATTGTAGTCAACGATCGAGCCATCGATGGCAGGACCATGTCGCTAAGCGAAGTTCCTGCGCAAAGCGAGCCTTGAAGACCCAAAACCGGCTCCCCAGCTGTGCCTGGCAAGCCTTGAGTTTGCATTGGGCACGAGTGCAGGGGTTTCGGCAGCTTGCTTGTGAAAAACAACCATCGCTTGATCTGGCTGGTAGCCTGCTTCCCCAACTTCTAAGCAAAAGCCGATCACCCCGCCAGTTGAGGTCTTTAGGTTTTCTGGTCCGGGCTAGCGAAGGCCGCAGGCAACTAAAAGCCAGTACAGCTCCAAAACCCCAAGCAAGTAAACAATGTCACTCCCCTGATGACGCTTCCTTTTAAGAACTGTTTGCATGGACACGAGAATCGGGGGGGGGTCTAAACCCAAAGGGCCTGGCGTGTTTAGAATTCAGTCTTATGGGCTCAGGGCTCAGGGCTCAGCGTCTGAAAGTCTGAAAGGGTTGAAGGGTTTGGTTCCTGAGCCCTGCCTTTTCGGTTTAAGCCTAAGCGCCGCTTGCGGAGGCCTGTGTGGATGCTGCGTCTCGCTGAACATCCCCGAAGCGCCGCCGCGGCCAACGGAAGGGCTGCTCAGCCCGCCTGGGGCTTGAGGCCACACGCAGTGAGTCTCGCACGTTCATTCGCGCTCAGTCGCGTCGAGTCCGTTCGGTCGCGTTGATTCGTGGTCCGTCTTCAGTCACTTTGAGTCGTTCAATCACTCGCGTTTGTCCGGGTTCAACATCAGTTTTATAGTTTTGTAGAACGTTAAGTCACGCTGAGCACGCACCTTTTTGGCTGTGCAGGGGGGGGGGGATTATCTGGTGCGGGGTTGGCAGTTGCCGCTTCGCAGTTTCCCTTGCCCTGGCAGGTCAAGGGTGGTGGAGGAGTCCGAGGGCGGCTCGCCATGGCCCGAGAGACCAGAACAGTGCTTTCACTTTGCTTCGGAAGCTTCCTGCGCCTCAGTGTACGGCCTCAAAGCACCTGTGTCTGTGTAGGAACGAGACGCCCTTGGCCGTAGATGCTGGATTCTGCCGGATTCTGCTAGCCAGAGTCCAGGCTTCTTGCTTTTCGTGCGCAACACCCGCTCCGGCCCGATCAAGGCAGGACCTCCAGCTGAGAATCATGAGAATGATGAGAATGATGAGAATGATGACATGTGATAACCATTCTGGGGGTGACTTGAAAGTGTGGGTTTCAGCCATGTCCTCAGAAGTACATCACACATGCGTGAGTGTGCCTTGTTCTGGGCTTTACGCGTGTTCGTCCCCGCTCCAGCATGAAGCGCACACCTACGCGGGGGAAAAAGGATGTTCGTTGACAATCAAACAAATGCCATGTCCTCGGTTTTGCTTGCATGTGTCCTTGCACCTGAAACATCCGATCATAGCTTGTCATGAGAGTTTTTGTATGTTTGTGCCTACTTCTTCAGCTTCTTGCATTTTGCTTATCTCGCAGCCAAAGCTGGATCGCCGAAGCTGAACTGCCTGGCTTGCCACAGTTTCACGTGGTGATTGTGCCGGAAAGTTTGCGACTGTCCGCCAGCCACCCAAAACGAACAAGTGGCATAATCAGTCTTTCCTACCATGTGCAGCAATATACAGGCATGCAGTTCCATGTCCAAGCATAGTCATCGGGCCGCAATGCAAGGCTGGCGTCAGTGGATTTTCCCCCGCAAGCCCTCCGCTTTTCTAAAGCCAAGCTTGCTTCAAAGCGTACGAATCCTTTGCCAACCCATCACTCAAACGTTTTGTGTGCAAATGGGGTGCCTGCACCCCCACCCGCGGCCTTGACCCTGCTCCGCTTTTTCTAAAGCCGTGTAAAGCTTGCTTCAAGGCAAAGATGCTCGCTGCTTAACACCCATGATGCGAGCAGTGTATTTGCAACTCGGGGTGAGCGAGCACCCCCTCCAACCCCCCTAAGCCGTGCAAGCTTGCTTCCAAGCATCTGAATCCCTTACAAACCCATGATGCGAACATTGTGTTTGCAAATCAGGGGCTGCAATCCCTTTTAAACCCATGACGCAGTTCTCTTTGCAAATGGGCGGCTCTGCGGCCCCCCACCTAAACCACCTTTTTGACTCCATGCTGCGAGCATTGTGTTTGCAAATGGGCATGGCCCTCCCCCCCAGCTTAAGCGTGCGCGAGCATTGTGTTTGGAAATGGGGGTTGGGGGGAAGGGGGGCGGGGGTGCGCCGCCGCCGCTGTGTAACACCGAGCAAGTTTGCTTCACAGAATATGGCTGCCCCCCCCCCCCCCCCTCCCTCATCCCCAAATCCGTGCAAGCTTTCTTCAAAACCCTGCCGAACCCATCCTGCGAGCATGCGAGCATGGTGTGTGCGCTGCGCCCCTCCTAAACCCTTTGTTTTTGTTTGACCCCTGGTCTGAATCTGTGTCAAAGCAAGTCCTTCCACGCGGTTGCTGGTAGTGGCAGGAAGTTGCCCCAGGCCCAGAGCACTCTATGCTAAGAAGCGGGTGCATAATGATTAATGCAGTTGTCATCAGTGGTCTTCCCATGTGTTGAGTGGTTTCCACTGCTCTGGTGCCACACACACAGAGTTTTCAATGCTTCAAGATGGTTGCTCTTGATAGAGGTGTGGCACCTGCTGGCACCGCGAGCGCACCTCGGACTGGCTCTTCAAGCCGGGGACAAAGTGAAAGATAAAGTTGATGGGAGTTGGAGAACGGAGTGACAGCAGCATGTGGGAAACCCGACATGTGTGATCCTGAGGCCGTTCTCCGACATGATCATGTCGGACCGGGACAACGTGATGCCCATGTCACCGACGTGGGAAAGGCCCGCATATTCCATGCCGTTGTTATTACAGTACTGCTCCCAACAATGGACTCGCGCTGGCATCGGAGGTGAAGACATCCTTACGATCGGTTCAAAGATACTTCCAGTACCTGTATAGATCACAGCTTCGTACTTTCGGCTTGTAGAAAGGATGTGGAGGGAGTCTGAAGAGGGCTTGGCAGTTACCCTCGAGTCGGTTCGGGGTTTTGGGATGTGCATCTGCTGTACCCTGCGTCCGCCGTGAAGCCGCAGACATTTAGTAACCTCCGCCCAGAGCCCTCAGAGATCCAAATTGTTTAGTTTAGGCCTTCAGAGCCTGGCCCTTCAAACCCTCATAGCCCTCAGAGACCCTCGCAACCCTGAGTGACACACACTTACACACTGAGACCTGTTGAAGCGAGAGAACCTTGAATCAGAACCCAAACTCCATCTTCCGAACGTTGACGCGGTTAATCGCTCCAGGCGGCTCTTAGTTTCAGGGTTGATGGGTTCAGGGTTTCAGGGTTCCTGCAGTAAACCCCGAACTCGGAGCTCGTAGGACCAGGGCTGGCGCGTTTCGCTCATGGCTTTGACGCAGCCCCTTCTTGGGCCACGGCGGCGGTCGAAAGCGGTGGTGGACCCGCACTCGGTCAACAATGACATCATGCAAGCGACGGAGATGAGCACAAAGAACGGCAACGTGGAACTCAGCAATGCGGCAAAAGACTTCGCAGCTGAGGGAGCCGCCCGCGTCGTTGTCACAAAGCTGATGACGGGGATAGAGGCGACCTTCACCTTGGTTAGCTTCCTCTTGAACGTGGCACAGATGACATTGCCCTTTTGCTTTGCTCGAGTTGGCTGGTCTGCAGCTCTCCTGATGATGCTGGTGACTGGGCTCTGCATGCACACCGCGCTAATGCTGCAGGAGGCACTGGTTACACTGGTTTCTCGGGGCACTCCATTCCCCGAGTACTCGGATTTGGCCCGGAGTGCCTTTGGCCCTGCCTTTGCTACAATGACACAGGCAGTCGCCATGGCTGAACTGGCAGCATACAGCAGTAGTTGCTCGATCAACCTTGGCAAAGCTTTGGGGGCAATGCTGCCAGTCTCGGAAGGCACAGCGATCCTAACCAGTGCTGCCGTGTGTGTGCTTCTGTCTGCCTTCTCAGACCGCGTCTTTGCCTACATTGGCTTGCTGTCATCGCTGGCATCAGTTTCGATTTTTGTCATTCTGGTGCACAGTGGTTGGCAGGCAATGCGCTGGTCAGAGGATACAGCCTACATTGCAGACCCACAGTACATCCCCACCTCCTTCGCGATGATCCTGTTCAGTGCGGGGACGCACCCGTTGATTTGCACCGTGCTGCACAGCACGCGCAGCCACACGGAGCTACGCCGTGCAATCCTGGGTGCCTGGACAGTTTTTTTGGTTGCGACCATTGGCTTTGGCAGCATTGTGTACGGCATTTTTGGTCCCTCTTTCCAGCCTGACATCATCGCCAACATTGGAGGTGAGTTCAGGGTGATTGCTGGTGTCTGGATGGCAATCAAAGTGCTGGGAATTGCAGTTCCCATGGCGCGACCTCTGGGCAATGCTTATGGACGGGCCTTAGGAGTATTGTGCCCCACTGAAATTGCTGGCCCTCTGGTCATGTTGCCAGTTCTTTTGTGCAGTGCTGCAGTGGCATTGTACTTCGCCGACCAGATTGAAGCATTGGAAAGTGTGGTGGGCTGCACAATCACCAGCTTCAACGTCCTTCTGGTACCGGCCATGTCGTACATTCTGATCTGCAAGCCGAGCGGAGCCAGCCGCTACTGTGCGATCTGCTATGCCGCATTGGGTGGGGCGATGTCAATTTCCCCCATGGCTGATTTTGTGCGTCAGCTGATGCAGTAGAGAGTTTCATTTTCAACATGTTGGAGAGCAAGTCCCGAGATGTCAGTAGAAAGTTGAGAAGAAGTATATCTGTAGAATGCAAGGCGTGCAGAATATCGAGAAATAACTAAATGTAAATATAAACACACACACATGTATATGTATATATATATATATATATATGTATAAATAGATATATATATATATATATATATATATATATATATATATATATATATATATATATATATATATATATATATATATATATATATATATATATATATATATATATATATATACATGCACATACATACATACATGCATATGCCGAAAGGGTGTGTATGTGAAGCAAAACGCCAGTGGTTTGCCCTTCAACATCGCCGAACATGACTCCTGATGGAGACTGTTGTAGTCAACGTTGGTCGAGCAGTCGATGCAAGGACCATGTCGCTGAGCGAGGTTCCTCTGCAAAACAATGCGAAGCGGGCCTTGAAAACCCAAAGCCGCCTCCAAGAACACTGGGGCGAGCCAGCTGTGCCTGGCAAGCCTTGAGTTTGTGTGTGGGCACGAGTGCTGGGATTTCGGCAGCTTGCTTGTACAAAGATCCGCGAACGGCTGCGCGCCTGATGTTGCTGGTAGAGTAGTAAACGTAGTTCAGAGTCGAGGACTTCGAAAGACAAATAAGCAACTCCCTTCCCCACCTTCTTGTAATCCCAACGTATCAACAAGCCACAAGCAAAAGGCGATCACCCCACCAGTTGAGGAGGTTGAGGTTTCTGGTCCGGGCTAGCGAAGGGCCAAAACACAGCATGCACAGAGCAGACCCCGAAGCCCAACGTTTCATCCCTCGGCGAACCCTGGGCCGTGAAGCCCTGAAAGATTAACGGGCTTAACATACAATGCAACGTGCGAAGTTCTCAAGCCCCTGAACATCCAACCGCCCCCGACTGCACCAAATCGCAACGCCCTTTTTTGGGTTTGGGGTTTAGCGCGAAGCTCCCCTGATGACGCCTCCTTCTAAACTTGAGTATCCTGGCGGGCTTGGAGTTTAGGGTGTGGGGTTCCTGTCTCAGAAGCTACCCACCAGAGCCGCCAAACTCCAAAGCCCTGAAAACCCACAAGATCCCAAACCCTAAAACCCTACACCCCCAACCCTAAGCCCTAAACCCTAACTTCACACTCCCCCCTCCCACCCCACCCAGCGAGGCCAACAAGACAGGAAGCTCCTCCACAGTTTGAAGGAGCAGAAGCGCAAGCTTGAGACCTGGGCCGATTTTGAGAGGGTTTTTGAGGCCTAGGGCCTGGTGTTCGTATTCAACCGGAGAACTACTACACCGTTAGATGCGTTTTGATAGGAGGCGCAATGGCCGGTTTAGGGGCTAGTGCGGGTTGAGGGTTTAGAGGATTAAAGGGATTAAGGGCGTTGAGGGTGTTGGGCTTTCAGGCTTAAGGGTCTCGTGCGAGGTTTTGGAAACCCTACACCCGAAAAGCGCTTCGGGTGCTCTTAGGGTTTGGGGGGCCTAATCGTGCGATCCGACTCGTAGCGCTTCAAATCGCGCAGCACCCTTGAACGCTAGAAGCATTGAACCCAACAACTCAACAAACAAAAAAGCCTAAAGCCCAAGAAGCCCCTGCACGGCGCGTGAGTGTTGGGCGGGTGGCAAGAACACGAAGAACCCTAGACCTTGAACCCTCAAACCCTAAAATCCTAAAGGAGCCTGAAAAGCCCGAGAGACCCTGGGAGCCCAGGAGCTCCAGCGGCAAGAGGTACCAAAGGGCGATCCAAAACGATGAGGCAGCCGGGTAGATGTGGATGGCTTTAAGGGACAAACTGTACACACTTGTAACTTGCATGTTATACATATTTATATATATATATGTACGGTATATATGCATCATTTTATTTGTTATAACATTACAATTCTACTTACGTTTGTATTTCTTGTTCCTATTTATGATTTCTTGCAGATATATTGGTGAGTAAACCCAAAGTAGTCAGTGGGGTGCAGGAGCTAGTGGGTTTGCTTCCCTTGCTATACATCAGGCGTGGTGCGCCTTCCAACACGCGAGGGCACGCGAAAGCCGCGACACATCGTGACAACAGATTGAGCCCGACCTTTGAACCACGTCTGTAGAAGAAGTACAAGCCCCAAATTCGTAAGCCTTTTGGGCATCTTGAAACAGGCCAGGCTTCAATCTCTGGCCACGGGCTGCGTAGAGCTGCTGGGACGCTGCCTCATCGATGGGCAGGGAAACCTCACCCAGGCGGTGGAGGGTTTTTCGACTTTTTTGGGTGTTGGTGTTTTTTTCGGGGCCTCTAGGGCTTGGGACTATTAGGTTCACTGGGGTTCTTAAACTCCGAGGGTGGAGGGTTTGCTGTGGCATGGTCACGTGATGATGTCAGTGCGGGCAGAGCGTGCCTTGAACATTGCCTTGGTAGCCCAGTGGTGCCCTTTTCCATGTTTTTGGTTCAAAGTTCCCTTAAAATTTTCAACAGTAACCAACCCCAAACAAGGAACCCTGTGGTTACTGGGCTACCAAGTTTGCCTGCTATAGAATATATTATACGTCTCTCTTCTGTCCCATCTCTTAGCACGTCTGTTGTTGCATTCTTCTTATATGATGGAATAATGGTGTATGTTTTGTTCCCATAGTATATGGTTTTCATGATGTTATATTATACGATGAATATAGCACCATGTTATGTAACGTAGGTTGTATGGCATATACTAGACTAGTTACTGATATTATGTTTTACTGTATATATATATATATATGTATACATGTTGATATGCACTGCCGGTTCTACACACTGGAATGCAGGTTGCGTGCTGCTTCTTGTCTCAATGAAGGCCCGGTTGCGTGTCAGACTTTGCAGCTGTCTCGTTGCCTGACGGCCTGAATCGGGAACTTCGGGTTAGTGAGGTTGAGGCTTGTGAAGTGCCGGAAGCGATATTGAACTTGGGGGTTTATGTCTATTATAGTTTTTATGCAATATAGTCTAGTTTCATACATCATATTCAGACAGCCGATGTGCAGGAGGGGGTTTTCCAGCTCCCAAGCCATGTGAAGCCAAGGTCCACAACCACTGCGCCACGTGCAACGAAGTTACTACATGCAAGGAAGCCACGGAGCTCAGACGTTTCAGTTTTAAGGTTGGCGAAGCTCATCTATACGAGACACGTCAAATTGCGTGGACTGCATGTAGGCATATTGCAGGTGCAGCTGAGATAGTTCCAAGATGCCCCAACAAGGCACCCAGAGAATCCCAGAACCGAGAACCAAGGTGTTCTCAGTGTTCTCGCATGATCTTTGCAAAGTCCCAGGCGAATTCGTGGCTCGTCTTCAGAATACGTGGGTCACAGGTCGTGGCTAAGGTTTCACAGATTTTCGCAGTGTCCGAGCTTCGTAGTGCCACTGAGGATCAGATCTCAGTGGGCTAGACGTCGACCTTCCGCGTCCACTTCGCGGGTCCGCATCCCGGGGGCAGTGTGATGTATGGCATCGTACACCTCCCGAAAGGTCCTAGCTCCTAGTGCTTCATGAAGGGCGGCATGCGGCAAGCATCCCAAACACACGTCATCCAGTGAACAAGATTCCTCGTGCCGCAGCGCCGCCGGATACTCCGGAAGCCCCCAAGCCCTCCGGTGAGATATTCATGTTGTATGCTTGTGCTTGCGCTCTCGTGATCCACTATCTGCGCTGCTGTGTGGCCCAGCTGCTCAAAGCTGGAGCCTGAGCCCACGATCTGCCACCTGCGTGCCAGGTTGAACAACCATCGCACTGGACCTGCAACCGCCTCATCAAAATGAGCAGTGAGCCTTGCACTTCTTGATTCGAACTGCCAGGGTGAGAGTGTGATCTGTCGGGGTGACGCTTGGCAGACTTCCGGACTGACTTGTATGCTGCATTTCTCTCCGCTTGCCCCGCTGCATTCTGCAGGGTGAGCCAAAATGGTGCAGCAACACATGGAGCTGAGGCTAAGCCCAAAGAAAGCAGAGACAAACAGAGGCCCGGCTTCTGGGTAGCTGACGCCATGTTTCGCCGTCTTTGCCGACGCGGTGCGGTGAATGCGAGGGACTCAGGGCTCGGGGTTCCTCGCTCAGCCAGCCGTCCGAAAATGCACATGTATTTCAGGTGAGACTAGAATTTCCTTTAGACTCACAAGCCCTGAAGTCTAATCCCATCTCAAAAGTTTGGGTTCTGGGGCTTTGGTTCCGGAAGGGCTCATCTCGTCTTTAGTACTCTTTGAACCCGTCTGAGACGAAGTAACCCAAGCTGGACTACGCGCAGGGTTTCAGGGCACTAGGTCGGGGCCTAGAGCTTAGCACTTCGTGGCAATAAGGGTTCTACCAGGAAGAAAAACGAGATTTTCGTTTACATAGCAACAATCCGACAACAACAGACATCTCCTCAGCGCTTAGTGATTCTAAACTTTCCAAACAAGCCCCAAGCCCAGGACATCCTTTCGAGTTATGTGGACAGGTGACGGATATTTGGAACCTCGAACGTCCACAGAATTTACATTTTGTGCCAAGTTCTGCTTTTTGCCAGTCAATGGTGCGTAGTTGGCACTTTTCCGTTGAGAACATTTCCCGAGCCTAAACTTGAGAAACACGCGAATGCCCATGTTTCATTGGGGGCAGGGCGCAGTTTCCTTGTGTGCCTTTGCTAGGCATTGGTGCCCCGTTTGCATCCCTACTTGAGGCAATCTCACATACCAACACACATTCCCACCCATCCAGCAAACCCTGAGACCTGGAAGGAGATTGGCACCCACCTGAACCCTTCAAAAGAGCACGTGTGCGTTGTTTGAAGCAATTTTCTTCGAAGGGAAGTGCCTGCTCATTGTCAGACGAGCTACGTTGTTTCGCATCAACAAAACCCAAAATTCAAAGAATTCCCAGAGGTTATTGTAGGTGTCTAAAGTTTGGGATTGGGGACATTTGGATTTCTCTCAAAGGGAGCCTAGGCCAGGGCGTGGTGTAGTTCTGCCTGCTCATGCATGTTAGGATTGCCTGGAGATTTAGTTGTAGGGTTCTTGAGTCTCAGTTCAGTGCACGCGGTGGTGAGACAGGCATCGGTCACTATTTTTGCTTCTCAAGCTAGAAGAGCCTGGGCAGTCGAACTCTGGGCAGTCTGCACGCAGTCTAGGTTGCCTCCCCGGCATTCACCGACGTGAAGCTCACGGAGGCCGCCGTCCGCCGCGCCGGCAAGCAGGTGCAGGCGGGTTCATTCGCCTCGTGCGAGTTGGATGTCCGGTTCCAACTTGACAGGATTCCTCAGTGATCCAGTGAGATGCCGCAGCCTCGTGTGCCGCCAGGTCAAGTTTTCAGATGGCTCCGAGTTCCTGATGCATGGCCTTTGGCTGCGCGATGCGTGCCGCGACGTGCCTTGCCTACGCAGATAGGATTGCGCCGTGCTGGTCTCGCCAACCTTGCAAACGTTTACCCTTAGGCTCTTCAGTTCTAAGGCCTACTTCGTGTCCGAATCAGCTGGTGAGCGTTACCTGGACAAGATCGTGTTCAAGGCTGTTTGCCTTATAAACTTTGCAAACAGCGCTTCAGTGCAGTCATGTGCAGTCGACATCTTTCACCAAGCCACACCAAACCATCAGCCCCTGAGGCAAGCGGCGCCCACGCAGACGGATGCGTCAAAGAAACCAGGGTGGTGGATGGCAGCTTGGAGGTGCCATGTGGGCCATCCCGAATGAAAGTGTAAGTGGAAGGTTTCTTTGTGCAGGTTGGGATGGGCAGGTGACATCATATGGGTGACATGACGTGGACGGTTTCAGCTTTTCTGCACGAGTTCCTGGCAAAGCATGGTTGAGCGCATGTTCCTCCAGTGTAGGGACTGCGCAGGTTTTGTGGGAGTCGGAGAGGGAGGTGCCGCCAACTGGCTTCCCAAGCCACTTCCTGCGGAGCTATGCCAGCGTGGCGGGACAGTAGATCCAGGGCCCCCGGCATCATCCAAGGAAGGCGCCTCGTGCCCGCTAGCCAGCGCAGTGACTCAACTTACAGTCGGCCTGGACGATCGTTGCCTAGACCCTAAAACCGCAAGTCCTGCACCACGCGCTGTCACGAAGCCAAGCCCAAGCCATTTGAAACAGGTCGAACAGGTTTACAACCATCAACGCGAAAATGGCCAGTGCCTGCATAAATCTGTTGCAAACGTGGCTTCCCCCTCCCCGCCCGCGTCATGACTCTAGAACTCTCTCGGGGATGAACGCTGTTGCAAAAGCCAAGCCGAAGCCAGGCAGTCGTAGCTTTCGAGCAGGTTTTTGTTCCCACTGTCAACATGAGATGTTTGGCTTGGAACCTGGGTGCTAACGTATTGAAAACACATCAAGATGTAATGCCCGGACGACCACGGGTTGCAGCTGCCAAGCCGCTTTACAACGTCTCCATTAACATGCCATGCCCCCTCTTGGTAATCGATATAGCTGGCATGTGATTTTCGGGCTTCCCGTAGCTGCCCGTCCCATGCGTGTACCCTGCCTGCATGTCTTTACATTGACTCTGCCGGACTTTCACACATTTGCATTATCTGCTGAGAAACCTGCACCCAGACTGTACGGACTTTGGCGGGCTAACTGTCTTTTGATGCAGTATACTGGGCCGGTCGACAGGCAGACTGGGCATGGCTGGAGCCGTACTCTGGCTTTGCCGGGGTGCCCGCCCCGGACCTCCGCTGCAAAGCATTGCCTCTTGGTTGACGTTGGAAAGAGTTCTTTGCCAAAGATGAAAACTCTTCAGAAGCGGTTGCCATGAGTTCCATCAACAAGCTAGGTTCAAGAACCAGGGCATTCCGGACCAATTCCAGCACCGCGAGTTTGAATCCGTTATGACGTCGGAAGAAGCAAACTTGGAGATGCTGCAGAGCCTGATGAAGCACGGAGTCATAATCATGGACAACGTGACACCAGCAGAGGATGCCAGCGTGCTCTTGCACTTCGCGAACCAGTGCTTGGGAGGAATGCAGAAGGATCCGGCCAGGGAATCGCCGAACTGGATCATCCAGAAGAAGGAGTCGGCAAAGAGTGTCAGCTACGCTCAGACCGTCCGGCTGAACAATCACACCGATCAGTCGGTGGCAGCACACGGCGTCCCAGCCCTTCTCTTGGTCGTCAACTATGTCCATGGGACAGGTTGTAACACCCTCGTGGACGGCTACGCCGTGGCGGAGGCCCTGCGAGAACGCGACCCCGCTGCCTTCAAGCTCCTGTCCACGTATGGCAACTGCCAGGAGAGGGACTTCATCAGGTCCAGGGTTGACTCAGCACAGGAGGGCACGCAGACCATGCTCATCACGACCAAGCAGCCCATCATCCAGACGGACCCTGCTGGAGGCATTGTGCGCATTCAGTACAACGAGGTCTTCAGAACACCGAGCACGGTGCCCTTCGAGCACTTTGAGGAGTGGTACAGGGCATACACCCTCTTTAACGAAATGATCCATGGCCCGGAGTTCGAAGTTCAGGTGCCCATCGGCAAGGGTCAAATGCTCATTCTGGACAACTGGCGGGTCTTGCATGGCCGGGCCGGCGGAGACTGGGTTGAATTTGTGAGGCAGCCCGCTAGTTTGGTACGGGGTTTCGAGATGTTTCGAGGCATATGCACGAGCAACGGCAGCGACGCGCCATGGTCCTCCCCTGGTACAAACGAGCAACAGCATGCAACAGCGCAACTGCTCCTGAAACAAGTCTAGCTGCAGCCCTGGCCCGAGCTCCTGAATCTCAGCCCGAATTATGCCCTGCCCCCCCAAACTCCAAGCCAAGGAAAGAGCAGTCATGACCGGGTCATCATGGGCGGCACCGTTGTCAGGGAGGCCTTCCACTCGAGAGCAATTCGCCTGATGGGTGCCCAGTGTCTCGGTTCCGAGCGGCATTCTTTGTAAATAGGTTGACGGGGCTGTGGCGACACGGGATCGGGAGTTTTTTTTTGGGAATTCCCTGACCAAGCCTAGGTACCCTGTCAGCGACTATGTGGACCTCTGACCTTTGCCTTGACCCATTTTAGGGTCTTTCCTCACGTCATGAAGATGGGGGGGGGGCGGGGATTCGGGCGGGGAGGCGGGGGGTAGGGCCTTTGTTGATCCTGCAAATTGGAGAAGCGCAGGGTAGGAAGTAGCCAGAACATTCAGACCGTTTGAGACCTCAACAAAGGTTGCAACTTGTGCTGTTGTGAACTTGCAGCTAGTGCCATTTGGGCTCTCTAGGTTCAAAACTGTTTCGTGATCCTACTCCAAGACACCGCTTGTTCATAACAACATCCCCAAAACACACAACCCTGAGCTTTTCAAGAGCTTATTCGAAGTTTATCCCCAAATCAGGTGATAAGCTGATGCTAAACCATTGATAAGCAACGGCCCTTCCCCCCACCCCCGAGGACCCTCCCCGTCTTCATGATCTCGGATAAGAGCTGTCACATTAGACGCAATTGCATGCCAGTGAAGTCTGAAAAGGGAGTTTTGCATTTCCATGTATTTCTTGTGGCGGTCCAGAGTCAGATGGCAAGCCCGGCAAGCAGACTAAGGTGGGCATTCATGCAAAATCGTGAGAAATGCGCATGCGCCGTGCTTACAAGCAGCCCGTTGACGTCGCAGCCCTTGTGTGCCGCCATTTAGCTCAAGCGGGAGGGCACCATTCTTCGTCCGCTATGCTCATGAGGCAGGGTTTCGAAAGCAGGAGCTTGTCTTGGTGTTTTCATGTGATTTTGAGCTGACCTCTGACATGCTGTCATGCATGACCCGCAAAAGTCGTCAGAGGTCATAGCAAAAGCGCCAGTTGCAATTGTGTGGCATCAAGTCCAGGTGCGCCAGGGCCCGATCTATGAAGTCTCGTCACTGCTTCGCGCGCTAAGCAGGTCCTTTTTGATTTCTGGTTTCGTGACCAATCCAGCAACCAGCAGGTTTGCTGTATGACCTCCCACCAAAGCAACGCAAGGAAAGCAAAACCACAGCATAGTACCCTCAAGCGGCCCACATCTTGCATGCTGTTGTAGTTGCAGCACTGCTCGCTACAACGGACGAGACGGGCAGGCCCCCGAAGTGAATCATCGAGGGAGAAGCTCTTCATTGATACTTCCAGTTCCTGGTGAGTAGAAGAACAAAAATCTTCGCACTTTTCCTCGTGCGAAAGGATCTGGAATAGAGAAGAAGGACGTACGCACAGCCTAATGCGTCCGCTGCACCTCGCCACAGAGAGCATCCCTGGGATACCTGAATCGAACCGGCTTCGAAGCACGGCTGGGCTATTACAAGTCTCGATCCCACCGTCTGGTGGGATGGTGAATCTGGGAATCTGAAGGTGGCTTGGGGGTGCAGTGCAGGCAGGGGCTTGCGTCCAAGCAAATTCCCCCCCTCCCCCCCTCCCCCCCTCCCCCACTCCCCCATCCCCCCGAAAATCCCGAACACCTCGGGCGCGGAAAGCAGACGAGGCGCCGCCTTGTGGCCAATGGAACAGCAGGGGGCCCAGCCCGCCTGGGGCTCGAGGCCCAAGAGCAATGTTTCATGTTGAGGGTTCGCATGGGTTCCCTAAAGCTCCCGGCCAGCAGCTGCAAGTCATGCTTAGAGGCATCGTGCGCGCAGCTTTTCTGTCGTTGGGTTGGCGGGCTCGGGGTTGTCGTTTGAGTCCGCCTATGTGTTGTTGCTGCCCGAGGCTGTGCTGGGGAATGGAGATGCGGAAGCTCCGGTGAACGGCTGGCGCCTTGGAGCTTGCGGTTTTTGATCGTTTTTGATCGTTGTTGCTCATTTTTGCTGTAAGGGCTAAGCCCCGATGCTTTTGCATTCCAGGGTCTTGGGCGCGACAGCCGGGTGAAAGAGTGAAGTCCTTGAGCATCGCAAGCCCCTATTCTGGAAGCCCCGAGCCCCCCCCTCCCCGCTTTTGCGGTTTCGGGTTTCGGCATCCTCATAACACATGCCGCCACATGCCCTGTCGAAGCCGCAGACATTCCGTAAGCCAGGGCGAAGACCCAAAGAGTCTGGCATAGGCAGCCAACAGCCCCTCACACCCTCAGAACCCCCCGAGACGCCCCCCCAACCCTCATCACCCTCAGCCGTTGCAAGCGACCACTCGAGACTTATACATATGGCTCAGGCCGACACGTGAGGGTACGTCAGGATGTGCATGGGTTCCTAACCTTAAACTCGGAGTTCGTAGGACCAGAGCTGCCGCCCTCATGGCTTGGACGCAGCCCCTTCTTCGGCCTCGGCGGCGGTCGAAAGCGGTGGACCAGCATGCGGTCAACAATGAGTTCTTGCAAGCGGCGGAGATGAGTACAAAGAGCGGCAACGTGGAGCTCGGCAATGTGGCAAAAGACGTCGAAGCTGAAGGAGGACGGGGATTGAGGCAACGTTCCCCTTGGTTAGCTTCTTGAATGTGGCACAGATGACGTTGCCCTATTGCTTTGCTCGAGTTGGCGTGTCTGCAGCTCTGCTGATGATGCTGGCGGCCTCCGCATGCCATACCACGCTGATGCTACAAGAGGCACTGGTCACTCTGATTTATCACGGAACCCCACGACGTGACTACTCGGATTGGGCCCGAACTTCTTGGCTTGCGCTTTACGTGGCCCAGCCGTTTTGCAGCGTTGACACCAGCGCCATGGCTGAGCTGGCAGCTTACAGCGGAAATTGCATGATCAATCTTGGCAAAGCTTTGGGGGCAATTGGGGGCAATGTCACGGAAAGCACAACGATCCTGGCCGGTGCTGCGCTGTGTGTGCTTCTGTTTTTCCTTCTCAGACACTGTCTCCGCCTACCTGGCATCGGGTTCATGTCTGGGGGACACTGGCTGGCAGGCGCATGCTGTCGGACGCAGCCCTACTGTTGGGATGATCTTGTTCTCCCCTCAGCAGGGGGCGCCCTTCGTTTCCACACAATTGGAAGCCATGAACTGCTGGTGTGTGTGGATGGCAATCATAGTGCCGGGACATGCAGCTCCGTCGATGGTTAGGCAATGCGCGAGCCTGGACCTGAGGACTGTTGAAAGCGCCGGGCGTCCAGTCCGCGGCGTGGAACGCATGGTGGGCTGCATATGCTGCATTTTGATCCTGGCCTGTCATAGGTTTTGGTCTGCCAGCTGCGCCAGCCGCATCCAGAGTCTCTCCATGTTGTACTCCATCTTGTACATTCTGTTCCCAGACGTAAAGCTGCGGCAGACGTAAAGCTGCAGCAGCCAAGCCCTGGCATTTTGAGTTGCTGTGCAGGGACCTGCTTGGCACCAAGTGTTCGGAAGAAGCCACTGACTTTTCAACATTTGTCTATTTTGCATCTGTATATTTGCTCTTTCTCAAACGGCTAGGTTGAAGATGAAACTTCTACTGAGACTTCGGGACTTGCCCTTGACACACTTGACCAAGCGTTCAGCATCGTTCAGCAAAGAGTTTTGCGCGCCACACGATGCTAAGCGAACCTTGAAATCTCAATAAGCCGCCTCAATGAACTACGGGGGTAGCCAGCTGTGCATTATTGCAAGCGTTCAGTTTGGGTTTGGGCATAAGTGCAGGTATTTCGGCAGCTTGCTGGTGCGAAACCCGAGTTACGGTAGACGTAGAACCGAGTCGAGGAACTCGAAGCCAAACGGCCTAGTAATCCCACAGTATCAAGAAGCCAAACCTCAAGGTCTACAAGGCTCTGCACCGTCCACCCCCCCGACTGTATGGGGTTGCAATTCGGGCTTGAGGTGGAGGAAGCTGACGGCAGCGGCCCCGCAACACCGAAGCGGTAGCGAAAAAATCCCGCTGATCTCCTGACTTGTGTATGTGGAATCTTGATGCGTAGTTGGGTCATGGGTTCTTCATGAGTGCTATCGCAGATGTATCGAACAGGTGTATCGCGCAGGTCGCCCAACGTCTGACAATGGCCAACTCCCACTCCAAGTCACACTCCGCCTCTCCACTCCACACTACTCCGCTGATTGATAAAATCATGAACACAAAAACAAAAAACAAGAAACGAGGTGTGTGGAATTTAGATTAGTTCTCTACTTCTCTATTTCTATTCTCCACTGTTCGACTAGTGAACAAACAAGAAACGAGGGGGTGGAATTTAGACTAATTCTCGACTCCGATGATTTTCGAATGATGAACACAAGAAAACAAAATCAAAAAACGTGGGGGGTGGAATTTACACTGATTCTCTACTTCTCTAATTCACCCCATTTTGATCTGCCCCACTCCCACTTCGCCCACCACCACCACCGCCACCACCACGTATTTCCTGCGGTGGTTCAGTGTTACATCACAAGCCTGGTAAGCAGAGTCAGGGCCTGCAACCTGGCATCCTGAGAAATGCCCATGCGCTGTGCCTACATGCGGGCACTGTCGCCGAGCGCAAAGAGGGCACAGCCCTCGTGCCGCCGTTCAGCTCAAGCAGGGAGGTCGCCTTTCTTCGTCAGCCATGCTCCGTAAGGGCAGCAGTAGGCAGGGGGGGGGGGGGGGGTGGGCTTGGGTTTTCAGGTGCTTCAGGTTATATTCAGAGTCATTCGGCGAGTTCAGGAAGCATGGGGTGTAGGGAAGTGAAGAACGAATTGCTGGGAAGGCACGAGCTGCAAAAGTAGTCGGCGTAGCGGCTCCTTGTAAAAGCGCCAATTGCATCTGAGCTCCATAACGTCCAGCCGTACAAGGGCCTTATCTAGAAAGACTCGTGGCTGCTCTGATCTGCGTAGGTGTCGCTATGCAGCTCTGGTGTTGCTGGCAGTTGCGGGGAGAGCTGCTTGGTTTACTTTTTCTCGGCTTTACCAAGCTTGCTGACGGATGTGATCTAGCACAGGCTTCGAGAATGCACCTGTGATGTCCTAGGCTGTTAGAGCCTCACCTCTTCAGCTGTGCTGGCCTGGACGTGGGCGAGCTGAGCGATGGACGGGGTGAAGGGAATTGCCAGAGGTAGCTCCAGTCTTGCCATGAAGCATGGCAAATGCGCCTGGGACCGAATCCCTCCGCTGCTTCGATTACAAACAGGATTCAATCAGCAAATCTCGCTTCTCGCAGAGAGTAGAGCAGGTCGCGCCTCTGCGCATCAGCTCGAGATTCTTGCAATGGCTGGTTTGTTGAAGGAGGGTATCCCCTGCCATTGATCTGAGCATGGTCATCTGTCTGTCTGTGCGGTTCACTACTCCAGCTTGAAGCCTAGAGCTGCTCTCAGCCAATGAATGCGACAAGTTGGTCGTTGCTTCACATCATGGGAAAAGTAGGACTGATGAGGTACCCTCTAGCATGTTCTTCCCCTAGTTTCGATTCAACTGTATAGCTATACCTTGCACAGAAGCCCTGTATAGCCTCTCGCAAGGAAATTTCTCTGACTTGGATGAAAAGGAAAGTTAAGTTATTGGGCCACATACTGAGGACTGATTACAAAGACCCCATGAGACAAGTCATATTTGATCCATATACAACTAGACCCAGACTTGAATACAGACGCCCAGGTAAACCACGAGCATCATGGCTTCTAGAATCTTTCAAGGATGCTTTTACCCTTTTAGGACGGACTGAAAACTATGATGACAATAGCAACGAGCATCACCAGTTTATCATTCAACAGGCTCAAACAAGACAGGGAATATTTGCCACAAAAACGCATAACAGCTGAATATATAGCTCGAGCTGCATCATCGAAAGCTCATCACCGAATGATCATCACCGAATGTGCCTGACAGTGGATGCGATGCACCACTACCAGGCGACCGTTGCAAAAATGTACGACATCAAATCTTCATCACCGAACGTTTCGTCACCGAATGTATGGCGCAGTGCTGCGACGTCGAGGCAAGATGCCCGTCTGCACCTAACATGTTCTCCTGGGTCTGCAAGACAGACACATAGATACACTGTTTGCTGTACGCATTCTGGTTCTTCCCCTCCCCATATTTGCACCTTTATTCCTCCTCACTTCACAGGCAGTAAATTGTTTAAAACTAGACCGCTTCAAATTTTGTCTCACCCTGCCGCCGCCCTCAGATCTTTGACCATCCTCTCTTTTATTTAGTCCCCAGGCTAGGTTTCTGTGCTCAGACTGACAGTCTGCACGTAGGAAAAAAGCGGTATTTTGGTATTCAGTACAGTGGGCGCGAGCCCGTGGATCTCAGCCCTAAAACCCTGCTCCCCGCATTCCAAGCCTCCACGTATTTCCTGCGGTGGGTCAGTGTCACATGACAAGCCTGGTTAGCAGAGTCAGGGCCTGCAATGTGGCATCCTGAGAAATGCCCATGCGCTGTGCTTACAAGCGGGCACTGTCGCCGAGCGCACAGAGGGCACAGCCTTTGTGCCGCCGTTCAGCTCAAGCAGGGAGGTCGCCATTCTTCGTCAGCCATGCTCAGTGGGGGCAGCAGTAGGCAGGGGTGAGCGGGGGGGGGGGGGGGGGGGGGAAGGTTTTTCAGGTGATGCAGGCCACATTCAGAGTCATTCGAGTGCAGGAAGCATGGGGTAGGGAAGTGAAAGCGAATTCCTGGGAAGGCACGAGGTGCAAAAGTAGTCGTAGCGGCTCATCGCAAAAGTGCCTATTGCATCTGAGCTCCATCACTTCCAGTCTTACAAGGGCCTTATCTAAACAGACTCGTAGCTGCTCTGATCTGCGTAGGTGTCGCTATGCAGCTCTGGTATTGCTGGCAGTTGCGGGGAGAGCTGCTTGGCCGAGAAGGCAGTGGGGCAATTGTTTACTTTTTTGGCTTACCAAGCTTGCTGACGGATGTGATCTAGCACAGGCTTCGAGAATGCACTTGTGATGTCAAGGGCTGTTGCAACCTCACCTGGTGCACTGTCTGACACAACGACTCGCCCGATTTTTTCAGCCCAGGCTTTCGTAGGCTGGGCCGGCGAGGTGTGCCCGAGATGAAATGGAATGAGATGGATTCGTTTCGGTTGCGAGAGATGTTTTTGAAGCCTGCATGTTTGACATGTCTCTGCCACGCAGAGAACTCTTCAGCTCAGCCAGGCAAGGCAGCTCTCAAGAGTTCCTCGTGCTGGTGTGGAGGACAGGGTCCCGCATGAATGCCAGGCATTAGATAAGGATGGTATTCTTGACCAGTGCTCTGCTGCCGTTGACTGGATCATGCCAAGCTTGGACAATCGGACATTGTACTGCAGAATGGGGTGGAGACTGGTTTCGCACATGGCTTGCTTTGGCTCATGCTGGTCATTGCTGGTCCAATGGCAAAGAGGTTTGAGAACCAGAGCCCTGTGCTCTAAGTATCCCGAGCCTCTTCTGTTGAGGAGACCTACACGGAGGGCTTTCAGTGCCTGAAGTCTGGGCACCATGGGCATGTTTGGGCTGACGTCCATGCCTTTGTGTCGCAGCTTGCCGGGTAAGGGCTGAGGGGTATCTCTAGACAGCAAGGCTATAGAAGTATCCAACCTGCAGTTGAACAGGGACATCGTCCCTCCTCCAGCCCTTCCCCCCCATCTGCATGCCACAGATCATTCCTCAGGGCTTTGCACATCCTGATTTCTGGTTGCTGATTCTTGTGGGCAGTGCTGTATCATGCACAGGACGGACTTCAAAAGAGGGGTGCGCTGCCTGCAGGAGGCACGGACAGAATGAGTGAACGATGCAGAAAGCACCGCCTCGTCTAGCCAAGCGCAAGCCAAGGCTGCCGAAATGGGCTTTTCTGTGGCAGACACCGACCTTGGGACTCTCTATGCAGAGTGCTTTGTCCCCGTTTTAGTCCAGAGTTCGAGTGGTTTGGGGAGATCTCCCGGGCCTTCCAGGGATTCCAGGCTCCAAGGCTGTGAAAGCTGTGACAGCCCACTGCCCAGCCCGCTGCCGAGGGGCCAATTCGGCGTGCAACAAGACTACACGCTGGCCAACTACCACCTCGAACGTGGGGCGGAGGACACAGAAAACTGCAGTGGGCTTGAGATATGTCTTCGCAAACTTTCATCAACTTCAAAGTCCATATCTGTTTTTCAAGATGTCTCCCATGTCTCCCTGCGAGGGCGGCGACAGCAGGGCGCATTTCCAGCTGGGTGTCTTCAAGCTCAGAGGGAAGAATGGATTCCCGACGGACCGGAGCACGATGTGAAGCTCTTGTTGAGCTTTTTGGGGCATTGTGGCTTTGCTAGGCCGTGCTAGGCCATGCTAGGCCGCTAGGTAAGGTGGTTGGGTGATTAGGTGATCACATGGGTCGATTTGTGTGCAATTGTCGGCAGCTCATTCAAGTCCACGCCGAAGGACAAAAAAGCCGCCGCCAGACATTTCAGAATCGCTGGTGAGGTGCAAGCCGTGTCGCTTAGCCACACGAACAGCACTCGGTCGTACCGTGCTGCTCTTCTTAGCAAGTGCAGGCGGGATGCCGGCCGGCGCTCAGAAACCTTTCGCGGATGTTTGCAACGGTGCGCGGATGCAGCTCTTTGGGAGCCCAGCATGGATTTTTGCCGTCATCGTAGGGTAGCTTTCTCGCAGAAAAGCAGTGAAGTCGGGGGATGTGTTCACGAGATGTGTGAAGCTCGTGAGATGATGCACCGGTCCCGAAGTAATCGCAGGGCGACGGGATTCCCCAAGACTCCCGCATGGCCGTGCAATGCCTTGTGCGGGTCCGGAACCGAGCCCGTTGCGACAGTTCTGCTTCAGTTGCCGAAGTCGATGCAGGGTTTGTGTTTGCATCGACTACGAGCCTTGCATAGTCTGCCCTCTCAGGCAGCAGAGAGGAGCGACACCATGCAGGAGACACGATCTTGCAGTGGCACTACTGGAAGGGCATGACCACAGGCAAAGACTGCAGGCACGGATCTGGCTGACAGAATGAAGCACGAAGAGGTCATCATTCTCACAAGAAGGGGGGTAACATGACTTAGAAAATCGCACGCACAGACGCGCACAAGCGCAGAGGCACGCACAGGCGTGCACAAAGGCGTGCGCACGAGCACACGCGAACGCACACCCGGCTGCACGCACTCTTGACGGTGCCTTTGACTTGTTACTCCTTTCAGGCCCTTTGCAAACATACCGTGCTTCAACCAGGTTTTGATTCTGATGATGTCCTGCTTTTGGATACAGAGTCAGAGGAGCTGCTGGAGAAGATGCGCTCTGGCACCCTCGACAGGGACACAGCGGACAAGCGGCATCCCCAGCTTGGGCTTCATGTCCTTGCTTGAGGCTTGACTCGCTTGACGGTTGCGATCACACGTGCTTGCAGGCTGCAGGAACACATGGAGAGGATGAGGCAGAAACTCGCCAATGACCCAGATTTCAACCCGACGCGGGGAGCTCAGAGAAGCCTTGGGCTTTGGGATGTTCTAGGCTGTCTCCAGAGAGTGCGAGCTGAGATGGTTGTTGAGCGCTACCCTAAGGGCAGTATGCTGAGTCATATCAGGTGATATCCCGCCCCCCGCCCCCCCAGAAAACTTGGCGAGCCCAATGCTTCCCAGGGCAGACTTCGGCGTTTAGCCGCCTTCGTGTCGTTCAGAGTTCTCTCTGAGTGAAGCTTTCCGAGTCTCACCCACCCTCCTCTAATAAAGATACCCTCTTAAGCAGAGTTAGGGGCAATGTGACCCCCGGAATAGAAACGCTTAGGAGACCTCTAAATATTACACGAGTGTGGTTAAGAGTGCGTGCCCCGCCCGGTCTGTTTCTCTGTGTGGTCCAGAAGCAGCCGAGCTTTCCTACTCGCATAGAAGTGTCGGAGTCAACTCGGGCCACGACAGAAAAAGTTGTGATGTTCCGTTCTGCAGCTGCATCAAGGGAAGGGCTTGAGAAAATTACTCGCGGGCTTAAGATGTGACGTGAAGGCAAATGAGCAAACGAGCGCAAAGAAGGGGAGAGCTGAGAGATACATGTGAACGCAGGGCGTCGACCGCAAATGAAAGAACGGTTTGAGGGTTGAGAGATGCCCGCTCGTGAATTCAGAATCACGTGGGGATGTTGGGGTTGTCGAGGCTTCAGCCCTGAGCTGGGGCAAAGCATGCCGTTGCAAAGCCTCCGTAGGCAGCAGATATCTGTAGACTTGAACGCCTCAACCCCGAAACCCTTCAGACATCTCATTAATAGTGCCGGATGATGCTGGGACACTTCTTTCAAAGAGCACCGGCGGAAGTGAAGAGGCAGATGGCAATCGAGAGCCCCACTCGAGAAGCTGTGGATGAGGCGGATGGCAGAGCTGGCCATGGCTCACCCAGAAGGTGGTGGGCAAAAGAGCCGCATGTGAAAGGCAGACCACTGTTTAGATCCGTGTGAAAAGCGAGCCCCTTGAGAAAACGAGATGGACAGCATTTTTCGGGGGGGGGGGTTGAGAGGAGTCGTGCAGACTTTGTTGGGCTTTCGGAGTGGGGGCCTTGCCCTTTGCGGATACGGGGGCCTTGTGCAGATCCTTTGGGGTCAAAAAGTCCTGAATTCGTGCGCAGGGGGCTGTAGGAGGAATCCCAGCCATCTCTGTCCACAATCTGGACACCTTCCCATAGAGCCTTGCCTGCACCTCCGGACACCAGTATGCCTTGCAGCAGTATGTGTCGCAAGTCACCCCCCCAAGCTTCAAGTTTCAAGCCTCGTTCAGCTCACCAGAGGAACGCAGAACACGTGTGGCTACCACTTGTGGGCCACACCTCGACGTAATGTGCCTGAGCTGCACGTAGGCAGGGTTGGAGAGAACCTGTTCAGGCACATGCAGTATGGGATCTGTTGTCTTGCAGACTAATTACCCGTCTAGCAGTTTCAGTGCTCGGAAGAATCTCTTGTCTGCCCATGCTTTGAGGAAGCTGATCTGCAGCCTTTGGCTGTTTTTCGATGTGGCTCTCGCTGCAAAGGCTCCCCTCATCGCTCCGAATCGCTACGCCTCAGTACCATGGGGGCGCCACCCACATGTGACAACATGTGCACATGCCATCTGGGCAGGTCCGGCCTACGGAGGTCGCACTGGCGAAGGAGCCCAGATTGTTCTAAGGTTTCAGCAGAAGATTCAGGTGGTGTCAGAATGTTTCAGATTTCAGGTGGCTTCATGTGGTTTCTCACTTCTTGCTGTGGCTAGTTGGAACGCTTCAAAGCAGCCTGTCGGAGGAGAGCCGCATGCTGTCTCTGAACACCACTTTCGACTCAGATGTTTCCGACGAGACTCTGGGCCACTGGGTGTACAAAGCATGACACCACCGTATTGCAAGGTTCTCGGCGAAATACTGACATTTATTTCAAGAAAAGATGTCTGAAATGGATTTCGCCTCATCTGCAGCTGTCACTGCCGAGTTGTTGAGGCTGCAGGTCCCAAGAACAGGGGTCGTTCCAGATCGGATCAGAAACAAAGTGGTAACGAAGAGTCTGCCCCCAGGGCTTTGTTTCATGAGCCTCTCAATTCCCTAAAGAGGCGGCTGTTTTTTCCCCGCAAGCAGCTCCCAGGTGACCTGAAGCAATCTGGCTCCTTTGGAGCCTTGAATAGAAGCTGGGCATCCTGCCTGATTTCAGCGATTCCCCTGTCACTCAAGTGTTTTGGGTTTATCAGTGGTCGAGCTGCTTTGACATTTGGGCACTATGTCGGGGTTGTTCTGAAGGTCCTTTAGGATAAGAGTCCCGTGAGCAGGGAAGCCTTACTACAAGGGCAACCTGCCTTCTGGCTGTTAAGTGGGGACAGGTATTTTAAAGGACAACCGTGGGTTCGTATTCGGGAGTAGGGATGCACTCCCAAGCATGCCCAGGCACCTGCGGAGGTTGCCCTAGCAGAGGTGAGATGGGATCAGGGGCAAGCATCGTGCGTGGACTTGGGTCTTCAGTCCTGTTTCTATGGCCATCCCCGGCAAAGACGATCAAGTTTTCGAGCGACGCCAAGACGCGGTTGTCCAAGCCAAACTGATGCATCGCAACAATGGTCAGTGAATTTCGCAGGAGAGCCGCAACATTCTGACGCTGAACAGTTCCGTCGACTCAGATGCCTCAGAAATGAGCCCGGCACTCGGCACGGCAATGTTGGGCAAGTTTATTCAGCCAGGTTGGCAGCTTCACCTCTGAGCCACTAAACCCCCCACCCCCCCATTCTTTGCTCTTTGCTACACTGTCAATTTCATGAGGTGGGGGGCGGGGCACTCTTGCAAAGGCGACGAGAGCGTGGGCTGGGCCCATCGGCGGCGGCGCTGCCCCGGTGGCCACGTCCGGCGCCACGGCCACTGCGAGGCGAAGAGCACACCAGGGGCACAGCAGGGGCGGGGCCCCTGCACAGGAGAGTTTGCACAAGTGGTGTGTGTGTGTGTGTGTGTGCATTGGCAGCTCTGGTGCACGAGCCTCCAAGACTGATCACCCCAGGAAACGGGTCTTGGATTGTGCGGATATGAGGTGTCACCAACCTTCACATTCCCGCAGATTGTTTCATCAGCTTTGCAGCACAAGCGCTGAGCCAATGAGATGATGAGCAAATATTGCCACAAAGACGCGTGTTCGGGACAGATATGGTCTGGTGCTTGCTAGATGGCGAGAAGCCGCAGCGCTGGCTCAAGCCTGTGTTGGTTGATGGACGACATGATGCGCAGGTTGGATGCACATGCGCGTTCCAGACAGTTGCAAGGTTGATCCTTGTTCCGTTTTCCGTACTTTCTGTGGCGGGAGTGCCCTTGCGGTCAAGCAAGTTCGATCTCTTGTTTGGAGATATCTTGATGCACGTCAGGATGTTGGACATTTCATGCGACGGCTGTAGACTTGCAAGCCACTCAGATCCATGTCGTGGTCTTGGGAATTTTGGGACGCCGAATCTTGCGGTTGGAGCCTATGGGACCAGAGCCCCAATCAGTATTGGTGGTCCAGCAAGCGGGGCTCTACCTCTGCTGGAACCAGCTTAAACTCCGTCGTCGCAGAAATAATCGTAGGGTGGCATCGTAGTTGTTGGGAGGAGGAGAAGTGGCAGTAGAAGTAGTCGTAGAAGCAATAGTAGAACCGCGAAGGATGTTGGGATCTTTTCCACGTGAATTAGAGAAGTAGAGAATCAGTGTAAATTCCACCCCCCACGTTTTTTGATTTTGTTTTCTTGTGTTCATCATTCGAAAATCATCGGAGTCGAGAATTAGTCTAAATTCCACCCCCTCGTTTCTTGTTTGTTCACTAGTCGAACAGTGGAGAATAGAAATAGAGAAGTAGAGAATTAATCTAAATTCCACACACCTCGTTTCTTGTTTTTTTGTTTTTGTGTTCATTATTTTATCAATCAGAGGAGTAGAGAATTGCTCTAAATACCACCCCCCCTCGTTTCTTGTTTTGGTTTCTTGTGTTCATTGTTCGAAAAGTAGAGAATGAGTAGAGAACTAATCTGAATTCCACCCCCCTCGTTTCATGTTTTGTTTCGTGTCGGAAAATGATAGAAGTAGAGAAGTGGAGAATTAGTTAAGGATCACCCCTCTCGTTTCTAGTTTTTCTTGTGCTCAATACTCGAAAAATCAGCGGAGTGGGGCGTTATAATCTGCATAGCAACAAAATCCTTTTAAGACGTTCCCCAAAAGCGTGGGGTTGGGGGGTGGGGGCCCTTCAAAAACCCCCAGCCCCATTCCACCTGTTCGAAAAGTAGAGAATGAAGTAGAGAATTAATCCAAATTGCACCCCCCCCTCCCTCGTTTCTTGTTTTTGTTTCTTGTGTTCATTGTTCGAGAATCAGAGGAATAGAGAATTACTCCAAATTCCACCCCCTCCTTTCTTGTTTCTGTTTCTTGTGTTCATTATTCGAACAGTAGTGGGTGTGAGGTGTGAGACCCAAAAAGAGAGGCAGCAAAATCATTCAAAAAGGTGGGGTGCCCAAAACAAAATCAAGAGTTTCCTTGTTTAGAGCAGAAAATGCGTTTGGGCACCATGAAGGTTTCTTTGGGCATACTACTTTGGGCGCTCGCCTCTCCCACGTATGGGGCCTCTCCCCACGCCCCCTCAATTTCAATGTTTGAAGATTCAGTGTTTCAAGAAGCTGTGTGGAGAGATCATTTTCCGGCTTCAATTTTCTCGCGCAAGTCTGGACCCTCACAGTTCCACAAGTGTTGTCTCGAATGGTGCGTTCGAATGAGGTTTTGTGGTTGTCTAGCTTCTTCGATCATTGTTGTCAACTAGTTGCGTTCAGTAAAAGCTTCTAGGGTGATGTGCGCACGCAAAATCTGTTGGAGATCATCTTGTCCACAAGCGGGGAAAACTGGACCTCTATTCTAGGTCACGAAAACGACTCAAAAAAGTGGACCCTATTTGTTATCTTTTGGGGCTTAGCTCGGGTTCGGGTTTGCGCATTTTTTGGATTTTTTTGTCAATCAGTGGGACCAGCCGAGAAGAAAGCATGCTCAGGTCTTGCTGGTTTTGTAAGTCGTAAGCGCTATGGGGCTTCTTGCTGCCTGAACTTGACAGTGCTCAACGCAGTAAGTAGTAAGAGGGAGCACGCGCGAACAGCGTCGCGACACAGGCTGCGTTCTTCTCTCCCTCCCTTCTGCTGCCCTGTGCTTTGTCAGCCGCCGTGCAAACTTTCCTTTTTTCTCGCTTTGTACAGGCGTCTCACTCTCACTCTGACACTGCCACCGGGCTCGCGTAAAGCTGCTCGGGACTTCCGGCAGCTGCACGCCGTCCTTGACTCCTTCGCGGAAGCGGAGGTCTGCAGGGAGCACGACTTGGCAGGAGATGGCGGCACAGCTCTCTGAGCGATGGAGCAGATCACCTGGCTGCGTGTCAACGATTCTCTCCTCCTCCGGCTTTTGTCTATCATTTGTCCTCAATCGTTCTTAGCTTAGGACTGAACAAACAACAAATTTCTTGGTGCTTTTTTCCAAAAGTCTTGCGAGGCGCCAAGAGGGCCTCAGAGGTGGTTTAGGGTTCAGTGTTGAGGGCCTAGGGTGAGTCATCATCATCATCATCATCATCATCATCATCATCGTCATAAGTAGCAATCACGTAGCAATCACGAGGAATCACGCTAAAAGCGCTACGTGTTGTCATCGTCGTCTTTCTTCTGAGTAGTCCCAGCCACAGCGACCGTCCGCTCGTACGGCAGGCCTTATACGAAGTTTGCAGACATGCTCCAGAAGCAATAAGGTGGAGCAGGCAGCATCGTGGCTCGAGATTCCTGAACTTCTCTGCCATTTGGCTTCGGGAATCATGCAGGAGGACTCTCCGCAGCTTCAAGTTACAGTGTAACAATAGTAACAATACTCGTAATAGTAATTGTATTTGTCCTTGTCGTCGTCGTCAGTAGTAGTAGTAGTAGTAGTAGTAGTAGTAGTAGTAGTAGTAGTAGTAGTAGTAGTAGTAGTAGTAGTAGTAGTAGTAGTAGTAGTAGTAGTAGTAGTAGTAGTAGTAGTAGTATAGTAGTAGTAGTAGTAGTAGTAGTAGTAGTAGTAGTAGTAGTAGTAGTAGTAGTAGTAGTAGTAGTAGTAGTAGTAGGAGTAGCAGTAGCAGTAGCAGTAGCAGTAGCAGTAGCAGTAGCAGTAGCAGTAGCAGTAGCAGTAGCAGTAGCAGTAGCAGTAGCAGTAGCAGTAGCAGTAGCAGTAGCAGTTGTTGTTGTTGTTGTTGCTGTTGCTGTTGCTGTTGTTGTTGTTGTTGTTGTTGTTGTTGTTGTTGTTGTTGTTGTTGTTGTTGTTGTTGTTGTTGTTGTTGTTGTTGTGGTTGTGGTTGTGGTGGTGGTGGTGGTGGTGGTGGGAGGGTGGTAGGATCGTCGGGTCGGGGTAGCGATAAGGGTAGGGGTAAGGGCAGGAGTAGGAGTAAGAGTAGGAGTAGGAGTAGGAGTCGGAGTAGGAGTAGGAGTTGGAGTGGTAGTTGCAGCAATTAGGAGTAGGAGCAGGAGTAGGGGAAGGGGTAGGAGTAGGAGTACAAGTAGGAGCAGGAGCAGGAGTAGGAGTAGGAGTAGGAGGAGGAGGAGGAGGAGGAGGAGGAGGAGGAGGAGGAGGAGGAGGAGGAGGAGGAGGAGGAGGAGTGGTAGGAGTAGGAGTAGGAGGAGGAACAGGAGTAAGAGTAGGCGCAGGAATAGCAGTCGGAGTGGGCGTAGGAGTAGGAGGAGGAGGGGGGCTAGGAGTAGGAGTCGGAGTCGGAGCATGAGTAGGAGTAGGAGTAGCAGAAGAAGGAGTGAGTAGGAGGAGGCATTGGAGTCGGTAGGAGTAGAGGAGTAGGAGTAGAGGAGTAGGAGCAGAGGAGCAGGAGTAGAGGAGTAGGAGTAGAGGAGCCGGAGTAGGAGAAGAGGGGTAGGAGAAGGAGACGGAGACGGAGACGGAGACGGAGAAGGAGAAGGAGAAGCAGTAGCAGTAGCAGTAGCAGAGCAGTAGCAGTAGCAGTAGCAGTAGCAGTAGCAGTAGCAGTAGCAGTAGCAGTAGCAGTAGCAGTAGCAGTAGTTTCTTGTAGTAGTAGTTTGTTGTAATAGTTGTGGCAGTAGTAGCAGTCGTAGCAGTAGTAGCAGCAGCAGTATGTAGCAGTATGTAGCAGTAGTATTAATAATCATGCTAGTGCAACTACCCAAGAAGGACGGCGGTGTCACCGCCAGGGTGCTGCATCCCTTTCTTGGAGCGGCTGCTTGGCCTCTTTTGCGTGATGAGGCATGACGTAGTTGTTGCATCCTCAGACTCACTAGCCAAATATTCCATCAAGCCTAGCGCTACAGCGCAGTTTTGGAAGTCAAGTGCTACAATGCAGCCCAGGTTGTGGAAGGCGTGGATACATCCAGCATTGGCCAGGAGGAAGTGACCACTTTGCTGGCGCCCCTCCTCGAATCTTATGGCCTGCTTCTTTTCCGGAACCAGAAGCTAAGCCCGCGAAGCCTCCGGGAGTTTGTCACAAAATTCCCGGATACAGATGTCGAGGAGCTTCAGAACAAGTCCCTGCCTTTTGCAGACGGTGACCCGTCTTGCGTGCCGGAACTTCCAGGCGTTCGTGTCTTGGGCACTCAGGCTTCGGATCGTGCTCTCTGGCATGGGGCAGTGCCCGAAACTTGTGAGCTTGGTATGGACTGGCACACCGATGGCTGTGGCATAACAGGCCTTTATGCCGCGCAAGTGCCGCATGGAGAGCAGACACGCAACACTCTTTGGGCCAGTGGCTATCGTGCCTGGGATGTGCTGAGCGATGAGGCAAAGAAACAGGCCTTGGGAATGAGCCTCGTCTTTGGGCCGCGCTATCTGCTGGACGAAAGTGTTGCCACTATGTGCCGGTACGGTGGGCGCATGAGTGAGAATGGCTTGCGGCGAGTGCAAGACGTGGATTCAACAGCACTGACAAAGGAACAACTGCAGCGACGAGAGAGTTCGAGCAACACGAGGCGCTATTTGCACTTGAATGGCTCACCTGCAAGGCGAGGCACGAGTAGACATGAGTTCCTTAGTGTATCCTTGTAAACCTTGAGTGCATTCATCATTAAAGTTTGCTGCCACCGCTGCCGGTCTCTGAGGGTCAGAGACCCCTCAGCGCAGTCCTTGTACTAGTGTACATTTTACGATTAACTGTCGCCGCCCCATTCCCCCCCGGAGTTCGCAGCCACCGGCGGTCGTGTTGGCGGGAAACGAAAGTTTCTTTCCTGCTCGCCTGAAAGTACCATGAGCTCATCATCAATTTAATTTTAACGCTACGCGACCCGCCTCGGCCTGGCCCAATGCAGCTCTGGGGGTGGGGGTGGGGGGGTGGGGAGGGGGGGTGGGGGGGGTGGGGAGGGGGGGTGGGGGGGGTGGGGCGTGGGGGAGGGGGGTGGGGTGTGGGATGGCAGGATTTGGAGGGAGGTGCCTGTTCTCACAACCTAGACACCTTCCGAGGCCTCGGCGGATATAGCCGTCAAAGGTCGGCCTTTGTTCTGTGCCCCCCACGCATTAGAGTTAAAAGCACCGTCGCTGGCTGCTGGTCAGCCAACATCACGGTCGGTTTGTGCTGTGTGAGGCAACACCCCTTCACGGGACGTACAACTCTGTGGACGTCTCCCTTCTTTTTGGAGGAGTGCCGGGATATGGGACTGGAACAGGCCAAGATCCAGCTGGAGGAGATTCTTTTGCCAGGGTTGAGTGGTGATGCTGTTTACAAGCATGATTGGCGTATCGGTGACCTGGTGCTATTCGACAACCGAAGCATGATGCATTCCACTACGAAGCTGGTCGATGCTCCACAGCTAATGTACCAAGTTTTTCTCAGAACCAAGGCGCAGATGAAGTCTGCCAAGCAGACGCAGCCATGATGATCTGCCCGCTGGGGTCTCTCCACAATCACAGCATTTAGCAAAGGTCTTAGAGTGGCTTCCGAAGTTCAAGTCAGCTGCCTCGTTGCAAGCCCGCCGTGCCAAAATGCCAGGAGCGATGTGAACGTGAGCAAGTGGCACCGCAGACGTTGAGAACGCGTGCTTCTAGAGCGTCCCTAAGATGTCCGTTTCATGCCACGGCCACGTTCTGCATCCCCAACAGTGGAGGCGAAGCCACCTGGATAATCTCCAAGCTCGAGAAACGCATGCTCTCCAGACTCAAGATTCCGTCGGGTTTTGACTGCTGATACCGACCACTGTTAGAGGACTCAGGACACGAATGCCGCAAGCGGCTCCAAGCTCGACTCGTTCAATCCACGCCTTGCTAAGCTGGTTTTTTGTTGGCAAGGATTCGTACACATATATATATATATATATATACAAATCACAGACCTTGCCAGCAAAGGTACGGGCCCGTATCCATTGCGGGCCCCGTTTACTTGCACTTTTTCAATAATCTCATTCCTTCCCATCAAGCAGTCCAAAGCTCTGTGTGTGTGTGAGTGAGTGAGTGAGTGTGTGTGTGTGTGTGCGTGCGTGCATGGGCGTGTGGGTGTGCATGTGCATGTGTGTGGGCGTGGGCGTGTGCGTGTGCCGTGTGCCTTGCTGCCAGTCCCTGTTGGTGGGCGCCACTGTGGCACTCCATCAGCACAACCACAACCGTTTCGTGAACATGCTGCTTGGCGGAAATCCTGCAGAGGCGTCGAGGGATTGGGGAGCCGTAGTGACGTAGTGCCGTAGTGCATGTGGCTGTGAGGGCAGCCGAGCCTGGCTCCTTTCATGCTTTTTGCGCGGGGACAACAAGTTGCCAGCCGGAACTCCCCTGTCTTTGTCTCCATGGCATGATGCGCAAGGCTTACGCTAGGCTTGGGGCGAAGAGCATTGGAGCTTCCAAACTTGGAGGAAAGTCGGGAAAAACGGTTGGCTTACCCATTCGGGGCCAGCTTCCAGACATGGTTCCGCAAACGCGCAAGGCTTGAAGCCTGCCCCCGGCCCAAATCCAAAGCCTCTTGTGTGAGTACTGCGCAGAGTCAGAGTACTGCCAAACAGCTCAGGTGGGGAAGTGACCTGGTTTGGACTGGCCATCGGAATTGGGACCCTTGCCAGAAGGTTTGGAAGGGTGCGCAGGGTTCTTTAACTTCAGCAGCCTTGTGTAAAAATGCTTCGGTCATGTGCTTGTGCTTGGAGTGTCTGCTGATAGCTCCTCAGAGCTTGAGGACCATTGGCCGAAAGGCTGGACGTCGACCGTTTTCCACGTACACCGGAAGAGTTTGGCTCCGAGCTATTCTGGCTGTTGAGGGCAGGTACTGTGTTAACAGGCAAACATCCTTGCAGGGGAGTTATGGGAGATTCAGTACAGAGCTGGGGGTACTTGTAAGCGCTCCCAGTTTTAGAAAAAAGTTGCATACAGCGCTCTCGCTGCGGTTGCATTATCGAGTATGTCGAGATGGATGGGTAGCTCCGCTATCAGAGATCAAGGCAAGCCAAGGCTGCGCGTGGATCGCCGCAGTTCCGGGCAAATCCTACACCCAGAATTCCCCCTGCACTCCCCACAAGGAGAAAGCAGCTATTGCTTATGTAGCACCCTTGCACGCATTGCCGCCAGGGCCGGGTAAACGAGGTTGGAACTTGTCAGGAGGGTGGATTCGAGGCTTGTGGAGGTTCAGAGCTTTGGGGAGATGAGAGGGATATCTCTTAGCACGATGTATCCTTGGTGTAGCGTTTTGTCCGCAAGAAACACCTGCGCGGTCCTGCCCAGTCAAGATAGAGGTCCGCATCAAACCGATCACGTGCCTCATAAGCGAAGCTAACCTTTTGGTAGCCATGAAAATGCCATAATAAATGAATAAATAAATATATGTATATATATATATATAATTAGGTTTCATTCCTCCGCCCAAAGGTCATGGCAAGATTGGCTTGCACAATCCACGAGAAAATCGATGGATCCGCCTGAGAAACAACAACGACCGGCCGTCACAGGGTTTTGGGTGCAAGTGTGTATGTGTGCTTCCTGAAGGCCAGTAGTGGCCGCAGATGCCAGTTTCGCTTTACGTTTCTCTTTTACGTTGCGATGTTGAGCACACCCGAGCCCCACCCAGTAAAGCCCTCTCTGACTCTCATTGCATTCAAAGCTTTGGCCGAAGGACATGGATGGTGCACCTTGGTTTCATAGCTGGGAAACCTTCACTGCCGTGGATGCTGGTGGCGGGAAGGCAGAATTTTTTTTTGGTTTAAAAGCTCCAAGTGCACGTGCGAAGCATTGTGAAACATGGCGAAGCACCTCCCTATCGATGTTGAAAGAAACCTAGTCTCCTGTGTGGATGCTTTCTCGAGCAGCGTTCGGCTCAGCTTCGCAAGAGAAACGTGAACGGGGCATGCTTGCACTTTGCTGAAGTGCCGAGCTGCAAGAGTAGATGAACAAAGAGGCCCCCCCCAAAATCCCCCAAAACAGGAGCAGCACAGGGAGCTTTTTTCAAGCCGAGGTTGATGACTGCACCATATTGACTGGGCCTCTTTCTCCGGTCCCTGAACCCTCTTTGTTAAAGATCGTTTTCTTTCTGAGATGTGCGTGCAGGTGGCCCTCCATTGCCGAGCCCACAACAAGTACATGCGCATGCCGAACCGCCACCACATGGATGCTTAGACGCATACACCCTTCTACATCCTAATGGCCCTAAAAGCCCAATCCCGAAAGCCTTGAGGACCTTAACCCAAAGCCCGCAAACCCATAAGCCCATAGTCCATAGCCCCAAGGATGCTTCGAGGGTGCAAAAGGGCGTAAACCCCAAGAGTGCGTATTGCCCGCCCCAAGCGCAGATGTTTTTTTTTGTCATGTTCTCCCGGTGTGCCTCAGTGCTAAGGACACGAGTCCCCATCGCAATGTTTGGGACCGGGCACCTGGCTGCTGCGTTTCTCCGTCTGTGTTTGCATGAGGGTTGAGGCAAAGCAATTCGAAGGGCGTGCTGAGGTGAAGTGCGGTCAGTATATTTCAGCCAAACATTCCTCTGAAGGACCTGCCTCACAACTGGGGCTGGGAACGCTTCAGGCCCGTCTCGGTGACTTAGCGGCAGCTGCCCGTAGATCATGCGCCCTCCGCGTGTTTTTCAATACGGCCGCAGCTTGGGCTCTGAGACTGCCGTGCTCTGAGGCGCTACTGCGACACAACAAGATGGTTGCTCTCTGGTGCCCTGACTTTGTAGGATATGAGCGGTCTCGCCTCTGGGTTGCTTCCGCTCTCGCTTTTGCTCTCTGTCTCGCTCGCTCTCGCTCTCTCTCTCTCTCCCTCCCCACCTTCGGTGTGGGGTTGTTAGATTTAAACTCAACTCTTCTCCTCGCCCGGAATTTTTCTCCTCGCCCAGTCTACGCCTCGCTCATATCTGGAGTCCCCAACCCCAGAGTGTCCCTGGAGTGCTCAACCCCAGAGTGTCCCCGGAGTGCCCAACCGCAGAGTGTCCCTGGAGTGCCTAACCCCAGAGTGTCCCTGGAGTGCCAACCCCAAAGTGTCCCTGGAGTGCCCAACCCAGAGTGTCCCTGGAGTGCCCAATGGAGTGCCCAATCCCAGTTGCAAGCAAAACCTGAGAAAGCGCATTTGAATCAATGTGTCTTTGTTTGAGCATCTTATTTGCGTTCTTTTCTTTTTTACGAGGATCAAGGTGGGGATGTTCGAAGTAAAATAATTTGCCAGGTCTCGAGCGGCCTGTGCACCAAGGAACGAGCCTCACCATCGCTTCATGCGCATGAACGCCCACAACGGCCACATGGATGGATCGCCAAGGACGGGGTTCCTCAGCCTGCCATGCCTCTCGAAAAGCCGACGTTCTTTCAGTGTAGGCAGCTGGGTTTCCTTGCGCGCTTATCCAGTGCCTTGCCCTGAATGGGAAACCAGCATGTGCTGCATGGTACCTCCCCAGAGCCGGAATGCGGGAAACTGGGGTGCTCTGCACGTTCTTGAAGAATGTCAATTAGATTCTTAGATTCTTAGCACAACACGGATCGGAAAGTCACCAATGTGGAGGGAGACTTCATACTTCATGCCCAAGCTTTAGCTGCCCGAAGCGCGCACGCGCGCGCTGAGTGCCTGTCGCACAAAGCAACTGAAGCGGGGGCGCACGAAAGAGGGCTTTCAAATGGAAAACTGATCCCTTAGCAGGTCAAAAGGTCTGCGGGGAGGGGAAGGGGACTAGCTCCCGATATGCAAACTGATACCCGCAGGCCCGCAGTCCCCGAAACTTGAAAAATCCCTGTGAGATTCTGAATTTCTGGGCTCCAGGAAGCACCTTCACCACTTCCCCAGTGGTTGGAGCTGGGAGCCCTTCCGGGCCAAGAGCTGAGAAGCTTTTGGAGTGTGGACCAGTGGAGTGGAGAGAGTGATATGGTATTTGAGAGGATACAACGAAGATGGGAGAGATGGCTGCAGGGTTTAGGAGCCTGTTTTGCTGCAAGATGTTTGAGAAGTCGCCCAAGGGTCGCGCAGTTCAATCTCGCCAAGCTCTTTTCTGCGCAAGCGTTCCAAGGTGGTGGATGCTGGCTATGGCCAGGTGGCCCTGCACCAGGCGGCCAGCAACCGCTTCGTCAAAATGAGCAACCATGAGCCTTGCCTTCAAGAGGGTCCCGACGCCCTGGAGTGTGCAGAAGCAGTTGCTCTGATTCTGAGGGTCCGCGAGTTGGTGAGGTTGCGGCCGTTTGAGGGCGAGTGTGTGAGATGTCGAGATGTCATGGTCACTCCAAGGACATGATTCGATCACCGCATCGCAACTGGCACCAGCTGCCCCTTTTCATGCAGAGGTCATGTCAGATCTGTTAAGTAATTATCCCCCAGGCGCCATTCTAGGGAACATTGGGAACCTTGGGAACCTTGTCGCAAAGAGTGTGGCGTTTTGATTCGCGTTGCGAGCCGAGGCCTGGGGGCTGGGACTCGGAACGCTTCACAGTCATCGACGCAGGCACAAAGTGAAGACTTGAGCAATGTGATTAGGATGTGATTAGGATGTGATTAGGATGTGATTAGGATGTGAAGGGCTGCGCACCCTGCACTCTGTGCATCTCTGTGCTGTCTCCCCGGCTCAAGGTCACGGCCGTGTTGCTCTGCACAACTCCATCAAGAATCGTGCCTGGGGCATGCGCTTTATGCACTCGATGGATGCGGATCTTGAAGCCAAAGCATTCTTGACAAAGTCTCAGCGCGCCGTGGTGTGAGTATCCAGAGCATCGTGACACATCGTGCCGTTCTCGTCCCGTTCTCCAAGGCTTCGTGTCAATGTGTCACCACGGCGACGGATGCCGGAGTCCCCATAGAGTGCGCCGGGGGGGAAGCATATGAATGTTTGGGATCCTTCAGGATGTCTGGATGGTTCTGTGTTCATAGAAATTCCCTCAGTGTGAACTCGACACGGACGGCAGCAGAGGCTTAAGTGCAAAGAAAGTTTCGAGGCTGGGCTGGCACTGGTCTTCTAGAGTTCGCAAGAACCCGATCCAGGATCCGGATGCACTGCCTGGTGGGTGGACTTGGTGGACGCCCCAGACTCTTCAGGGAAAGGTCGGAGGCGGGAGGATCGAAGGCCCAAGCTCCTTGAAGGAGGGAATGCTAATTATGTTTCGGGCAATGTTTCTTTATGTTGTATCGTATTCTGCCGCTATGCTGCAGTTTGTCATCTTGTCTTGTGTTATCTTATCTCGTAATTTCTTGTCTGATCTCAACTTCACACGCTCCTATCCTGTCCTGTCCTGGTTTCTGTCTGCAGTGCACTGTGTTGCGCGGTGTTGCGCGGTGTTGCGTTGTATTGCGTTACGACTCATATAGGTTGAACGCTCTGTGAACACTCTGCGCGGCGCTCGCCTTGTGTCAAAATCGCGCTCTCTCGTCTAGGCCCGGTTTCGGGGTGTGTAGAGTTGCAGCGCTCCTAGTGAAATTATATGAAGTTCCTGGTTCTTGCATCGTCAGATGTGACAAATCGCGCTCTCCCCTTCGTCTCGTGTTTCGGGGCAGGGAGGTGCTTCCCTCTTGGGTCGTCTCGGACTCTTGACTTGGCGCCCTCTCTGGGGATTTACATGTTCCATCTTGCGGTTGCACGCATCTGTGCAAAGCAGCTTCTTTTGAGCCGACCATCGTGCCACGCGCTGCATCGCCGTACTCTCGGCATATTTCTGAATGACCCCACCGGTCTCGAAGCGGGTTTTCACAGAAAACCGTTGGAACGGTGCTTGGCTCGCCCCTTTGCCAGCGAGGTATTTATGTCATATCCGGGAACAGACGTGTTCCTGAAATTGTGTCAGAGTGAATTTTGCCGGTGAGAATCCCCTACGTGTCGCGGTAAGAGGCGGCACGTGCCTGCTAGGTCTATAGATACTCTCACAATAGAATGCTCGAGGGAAAGACATGAGGATAATGAGGAATGCGAGCGAGACAGATTGCGAGCGAACTGCAGGCAAATGTTCCACGTACTGGAGGCCTGTCAGAAGTTGCGTGGGAATGCATCAAAGCCACACCGAGCTGCATTCATGTTGTTTTTTCTCGACTTCAACTCATTCTCCAGCAGTCCTCCGTTGCCAGATCAAGCCTTGTCACACCGGCGGTGGCGGCCATTGCAAAACCTGCCAAAACCCTTGGCACCGGCACGTGGGGGGCCCAAGAATTGTGGCAGCTGTGACGTGTGATGTGCTGTGTCTCTGTTTGTCTCTGTCTGGCTGTCTGACTCTCTCTCTCTCGCTCTCCCTCTCTCTCTCTCTCTCTCGCTGTTTGCATCTCTCTGTCACTCTCTCTCGATCTGAGCATAACCCAAGATGCTGCTGTCATTTCACATGTGGTACCGAGTCTGATCTAATCGACGTACCTGAGATTCTCCTCACTTTGCAAGCTGCATACGGTGCTGTGACCGCAGTCATTGTGAGTGCCTTGGGACCACTTTTCAGAAAGTGCATGTGCCTCTCTGTGTAAGTGTGTCTATGTGTGCCAAGGTGGACAACCACTGCGCGTCGTGCAATCCTGGCTACTACCGGCACGGCCACCACTGCCACGCCGGGGGCTTCCGCTGTGGGTAGCTACGCATTGAAGCGCTCCGCCAACCCCCCCCCCCCCCAAAAAAAAGGAGCAAAAAAACAAAAAGAAGGAGTAATAATACATCTTTTCGGGAGTTTGTTGTTTGGAACTCACATCAAGCAGGTTCAAGCACCGACCGATTTCAAACCTGAGTTTCAACCTGCCAGAGTGGCAGGGAGGATGCGCAAAAGGAATGGCGGAATGAGAGCGGGCATCTTGCAGGCTGCGTGAAGAAGCATCGGATAGAGCGGGTCTTTACATCGCGGCAGCGAGTCCATAGAGTCATAGAGCAAGCCATCATGATAATACGAGTACTGCTAGGCGCGTCGGGCCTGTTCGCCCACTCAGCCACTCAGCACCCATGCTGGCCTGAAGCCTGACCCAAGTCTTTCCGAGCTCGAGGCCTATGGCTGCACGGGTGGACGGGATCGCATCTGCGGCTCCTGCGTGGCCCAGCATCACCGCCGGGTGCGCTGGTGGCTAAACACCTCTGTGTGGGAATCTTCATTTGACCATCCTACAAGTTCAGTCTTAAGGGCCCTTCAAGATGTCGGGCCAGCAGTCAGACTGCAGCTGTAAAGGCTACAGAGGAACACCCTAGGCATCCCGAGGCCCTACACCTGAACTCCAAACCTTACACAAAAACCTCCCGCAGAAAGCCCTGCCGATTACACCTTTCGCCCTGGCGCAGCAACACGACCACTGCGGGAGTTGCAACGGTGGTCACTCTCTGCGCGGCAGGCGCTGCCAGGCGCGTGTGAAAAGCAACAGACGGTTAAGACCCTAGGGTTTTGGGAGGTGTTGGGGCTTTGTCTGAGGACTCCCGAACCTTTTCAGTAACCGTAAGCACTAAAACCTCCAGAGCCGTCAGTAGTACTTTAAACAGTTTTTCAAGGTACTCTCGGGGATATACGCCACGTAAGTCCCTAGTTTCTGAATGAGAGCAGGTCATACCTCAAAGGTCCCTTTTAGTCTGTGTCTTGTTGCCCGCGTTGTGCAGTCGAAGCTGCTGGGTGCCACGGTGGGCCTGCACCAACCCAATCACAACCGCTTTGTGAACATGCCGCTCGGCTCTTCTCACAAAGTGTGCTGCACTATTGTTGCATCTTTCCCCACAAAACCGTCCAAATCTGAAAGCAGTTCGAAGGGGGGGAGGGGGGTGCAATTCTTCCGCCATGCGAGGGGCACAACGCTGAAGAATCAGTCCGTCGAACCATTGCACCCTTTGGAAGCTGCCTCTCATGTCCCGGACGCAGTCTCCAAGTAGTCGGAGATAAACCCTTTTGGCCTTTTGGCCTTTTGGCCTTTTGGCCCTCTTGAATCTGTTGATGGGCGTCAGAATGATTCAGAATGTGCGTCGTGGGCCCAGCGGAAGCTGTCGCTTCCCCAGACTGCAGTCGCACTGCAGCCGCACTGCAGCCCAGGTGGGGACACGACTTGGTTTGGACCGGACACAGGAACTGGGCAACTTGGCAGCATGGAGGTTTAAAGAAAGACTCGAAGAGTAGGACTGGGGCGAGTGCATCAAAGTGTCCTTGCAAGCGCAAAACGGGCGCCAACGTTGCACTGAGGATTCGCTCCCATCAGGCTGGACTTCGACTTTCTTCCGCGTCCACTTCGCAGGTGCGGCTCTCAAGGTCATTGGCAGCCTCAGGTTTGCAGGTCCAAGCAGGCCCTTCGAACACATTCTAGTCACTAGTCTAACACCATAAACCTTGGCAATGTCCGACGGCAGGTGATGCCAAAATCGGCTTGCACAACCCGCGCGAGAACAGATGGATTCGGCTGAGAAACAACAACGACTGGGTTTGTGAGATTTGGGACATGGACATGGCCGTTAGTTATCAGTAGTTCTCGCCTGCATCCGGAAGCATCGTGCATCTTCTCAAGGTGCATTGTGCGAGATTCTGCGTAGTCATACTAGTGGCGCCAGGAGTAGGGCCCGCCAGACTCCTTGGCCAGTATGTAAAGTGTGAAATGGCATTGTTGAAGCTTAGAATCGACCCAGTCCCCGATGTCCAACTCTCCCACGGCGCAGGACATGGACGGCGCCCCCGCGAGGCATAGCTGGGAGACCTTCACTGCCGTGGATGCCGGTTCTGGCAAGGCCCAGCATGGCGTTGGGACTCTCCCTGCTGCTCTGCCCAACTGTTGATGATCTGCTTTGGTTTGCAAACCTTTCGATCATCAATGTCAATTCTTTGGATCGAAGAGGATGTGCTTACGTGCTGTGTCTTTTGGGGTGTGTTGGCACTTGTTGGGGATGTGTCCATGAAGCCCGGTAGTTACTTTGGGCCTTGGGTCGAACAAGTCTTGAACTGGTCTTGTTTGTGATGAAAACATGGCGGGATGTCAGCATGGGGCCAGGGGTGTCGCGAAATGCTAGCAGCATGGCGGCCCGGTGGGAAGTAGGGATTCCAAAGGATGGCATGTGCTTAACTTGAGCTAAGCTTACTGAAGGGAATTCTGCACATGTCCTTGTCCGGCATTGTTTAATTCTGGGCTATTCTGGGTTTGCGTACTGCTTCGGTCTCAGAAATTGAGCTGTTGAGAGTTGTGGCAGGTGGCCCTTCACTGCCGGGCCCACAACAAGTACATGCGGATGCCGAACCGACACCACATGGAGCCTCAGATGCAAAACAGGTTCGGCTGTGGCTACAGCAATGGCTTCCGTTAGGGGGAATGCCCGGCAGAGACATATCAAAGCACGAAGCTAAGGACACAAGTCCTCATCGCAATGCCTGGGACCGGGGTTTGCTGCCTTCGAAGTTCGCGAACATGGTGGAAAGGTGTATGTGTGTGTGTGTGTGTGTTTCCGTTTTCAGCTCGAGCCCGGCCTGAAGCACTTATCCGATGACACTCTGGCTGTTTGAGACGAACTTGTACATGCTCTGGCCAAGGAGATAGTGATAGTGGGCCACAGAATGCCCAAACTCTCCACCTGGGGCCTGGGGGATGTTGTGCAAGTTTGCATGCATTATCATGGCGATCCGTTGCTGCAAATGCTCTACAAGATTGTTCCAGCTGCACACACCTGCTGCATGTGCAAGAATGCCCAGGTTGTGCCGTCGTCGTACTTTGTTTGTGTTATCAGCATCACCAGAACACTTCGTGTGTTGCACGGTTTTCATGGCAAGCGTCAGCAGGGACTCGATCTACCACGAAGCCCACCGACCCTCCTGCTTTGAGACAGATGGGGAAGCTGTGTCTACGGCGATGTTCCACGCGCATGCCGGAAACTGTCTGCAGGACCTGCCTTGGAACTGGGGCTGGGAGCGCTTCCGGCCGATGTCCGCACACCGGCGAAGAAAGAGGAATGAGACACAGATATATGAGATATAGTGAGATGGAGTGAGAGATAGTAGTGATACAGTGATGTATAGTGACATGGGGGATGTGTATTGATGAAGAGGCCAAGGAGGCGTTTCCTGCATTCTCTGAGGCCCTGCTCCGGCACGGCACGGTGGTGGCACTCTGGTGCCCTGGTAGCTTCGAGGGCTTTTTCTTCAAGTTTCAATGCGTTCTTGTCTTTGCAGGGGCTTCTCAACCCAGGAACGAGCCTCACCATCGCTTCATGCGCATGAACGCGCACAATGGCCACATGGACGGATCGCCCAGGCACGGTGAAACCTCGAGCCAAGAGAGTCCAGAGGTCTCAGGCCTGAGGTCCTCAAACCCCCTAAACCATTCCACAGTCTTTAGCCCCCCTTTCATGAATTCGCGCGCTTGGCTGCAGTAAGCACCTTCACCACTTCCCCAGTGGTTGGAGCTGGGAGCCCTTCCGGGCCAAGAGCTGAGAAGCTTTTGGAGTGTGTGGACCAGTGGAGTGGAGAGAGTGATATGCTATGTGAAGATATTTGAAGATGCGACGAAGATGTGCAATTTGTTCAGGAGCTTGTTTTGCTGCAAGATGCTTGAAAAGGCGACCAGGGGTCGTGCAATTCAGTCTCGAGATCGCTACTGCGGAAACGTCCCAAGGTGGTGGATGCTGGCTACGGCCAGGTGGCCTTGCACAATGCGGCCAACAACCGCTTCGTCAAAATGGGCCACGAGCCTTGGCAAAACCTTGGGCCCAGTTGAGGGCCGTTGCCTGGATTCGGACTCACGGGTATCTGGTTCAGAGCAAGAGCAGTCCCGTTCCGGGCATTACAAGCCACTATGCCAATATCTAGCAACCCTGTGCAGCCTGCTTCCAAAGGACATGATTCGCTCACCAGGCCGCAACTGGAACGACCTGCCCCGGGCTGAAAACTTTGTGTTGGGGGTCATGCAGCATCTTTCAGCTTGATTTCTGGTTCTCCGTCCTCTTGCAGGTATTCCCCTGTAAGCCTTCGAGCGCCAGCTCAAGGGGCAAACTGTCCACTACGGCGTGCGCGTTCGCAGTTGCTGTAGCTCCTGGTCGCGGTTCCGTTGATGGTTTCACGCGCTCGTGTCATCTCTCGTGTCATGGTTCTGTAATTGCGTGAGCGAAAAAGGTGCAAGGCAGACGGAAGGCCCAAGGCCACACACGCATGAGACGATGTTGCCTTTCCCTAACCTCGGTCATCTCAGTCATTCCAAGCGAACATAAGATCCGGATCAAGGAGCCACTTTAGCGGAAGCTGGAGCTTCTTGCGGTACAGCCCATCCCACCTGAAACGCAAGTTAGAACAAAAAGCGGTCTCGGAACGGTGCTACAACCCAGGCCAGGCGGCTGGGGAGCGGAGCGCTTTACTGTCGTGGACGCAGGCCTCACCGGACTGTTGCCATTGGTGCCGTTGGTGCCGTTCGGCGACTCGAGCTTTGTTGAGATTTGCCGTGTTTCTGTGGTTTTTTGGAGCGCAACATCATGGACATCAGGCCACGGCCGCGTTGCTCTGCACCACGCGGACCACAATCGCTCCCTGGACGCATGGAAGCCCGCAGAGGTCCGCAGATGTCCGCAGAGGTCCACGATGCTTCCATGGCAGAATGTGAAGCTTTTGGGGGCTCGGAGCAGGGCACAGTGTGCGCAGCTGCGCAGCTCGCACGCGCACCTGTGCATCTGAGTGCATCTGCTCTCAGCTCCCCTCTCCGAGGCTTCGTGTCCATGTGCCATCACGGCGACGGCTGCTTGAGTCCCCACAAGGTGCGGCGAAAAAATGGGATGGAGCACAGGGTTCCTGTAAGGCGGAGCTTCCCAGCAAAAACCCGAGAAAGCGATGGCCGTGTGGTATCGTCCCCAGCAGCTGAAAAAATGCGCGGGGTACGTGCACCTCCCCGCTACACCCGAAGAAGCCGAGCTAGAGCAAGTTTGCATTGGCAGTCTTGATGGGGTTCTCTGAGGTAGGACTTGAGATAAGGGTCCAAAGCCTGATGTTGTCTGGCAGGATCGACTTGATGTGATACCCCGGAATGGTGGGGGGTTTTAAGCTTTTGCGGTCTCTCCCCCCCCCCCGCTGCTGCACCTGAACATGCACCCAAAACCCCCGCGCCCCTGCCCACACACTCTTGAAACCCAATTCTTTTCGGGACCGCATTTCGAACATTTCCTGAGTCAGGCCCCGGATCACCTGCCCGGTGGATGGACCTGGCAGATGCCTCAGAGAGACTGGGCCCCCCTTTCCTCTGTGCATCTCTGTGCATCAGTGAGACAGAGGGTCCATGTCATGAGATGAAGCACAAAGAGGAAGACAAACAAAGAAGAAGCGGGAGGTGGAGGAAGGTGGAGCGAAGTGGAGCGAAGTGGAGTGGGGGAGGGGCAGGGGGAGACAGGCCGGAGCTGGGGGCGGGGTGGGTTTCGGTTACCTGTCTGTAAGCCCCCAAGCGGACTTGGGACGAGGGAGGTGCTTGGGGACTGGTGTTCGCTGTCTGTGCCTGTTTGGGGATCTGTGTTGGTTGACGTTGCTGTCGTTTTGGGTTATGTTGTTTATGGGGCATTTACGTGGTGGTTCGTCCTTGCCGTTTGGCGAGTGCTGGCTAAGCCGCGTCCACATGGGGAGGGGGCAGGGGGAAGAGGAAGAGGAGGAGGAGGAGGAGGTGGAGGAGGCGGAGGAGGTGGAGGAGCCCCAAACGTCCCTCCGGCCACGTTAGATTTCCCTTGTAGCAAGTTCTCCAAGGGCGGGCGCATCGGAGTGTCCTTCAATCCGAAGCTGAGTCAACACTGAATACAGCGGTCGAGTACACGGCGTAACGGAAACCAGCGGGGTGTACTGGAAACCATGGACACAAGACCAGAACAGGAAGCAACCATAGGAACCGCAGCGGAAAGGAGGAGGAAGGAGGAAGAGAGGGGCGGAGTGAGGGGCTTGGAGCACAGAGTGACAGGGGGGAGAGAGGGTGGAAGCGAAGTGAATCGAAGCAGCCTCAGGCAGATGTTCCACGTGCTCGAGGCCTGCGACGTGTGGCGAGATGTAAGGATGTGGAGATCTGTGGAGCGATTGGAGCACACCCCAAAAGCTCCCCCCCCTTTGGTTACCCGCTACGCTGCTGCCAGATCAAGCCTTGCCACACCGGCGGCGGTGGCCACTGCAAAACCTGCCAAAACCCGTGGCATCGGCACGTGGGCGGCCTAGGCTAGGCGCGCGCGTTGCCAGCTGCAGACCCACTCCCCATTCTTCAATATGCGGCGTTGGCAAGCCAAGGTTCACAACCACTGCGCCACGTGCAACCCCGGCTACTACATGCATGGCCACCACTGCAAGGCGGAGCCACTGCTCGACAAGAGGATGCATTTTCAGTTTTCAGGTTGCAGAAGCTCCTTATAAGCAGCCCGGCAGGCCTACAGCTGCACGGGCGGACGGGACCGCATCTGCCACTCCTGTGTTGCCCAGCACCACCGAAGGGTGCGCCAGCTTTTGGCAAGACATCGTGAAGCTTGGTGATTGGGATCTCTAAAGCGATTGAAGCCTGCTCAAGGCCAACAGATTCGGGGCAGGGGTGATGGATGTCCAAGCTTCCCTACAGAACAATTCCCTATAGGGAGGCTTTTGCTAGCCACAAGTCTACTATGTAGAAGTAGGTCTCATGCCTCCCTATCCCACATTGTCCTGCCTACCATTGGCTGCACGACCACCGCCCACAAGCTCCCGCCCTGCCGCAGCAAAACGACCACTGCGGAAGCTGCGACGGTGGCCACGTCATGCGCGGGAGGCGCTGCCAGGCAGGGCAGTGCAAGTGGCCTGCATGTAGGTATGGCTCAGACGTTTCCAGGATGCCTCAAACAAGGCACCCAGAGCACCCCAGAAACAGCCAAGATGTTCTCGCATCCTCGCCCTGTCAGTCTCGGCTGCTGGGCGCCACGGTGGGTCTCCACCAAGGGAACCACAACCGCTTCGTGAATATGCCGCTCGGGCTCGCGAAAGACCCTGAGGACTTGTCGTGTTGGAGTAAAGATTGCTCTTCAGCGTTCGCCGGTAGCCCATGTGATCGCGGCCGAGGTGGGGCCACGACCTGGTTTGGACCTCCAAGAGGAACTCGGACCCTTGGCCGGCAAAATATGTGTGTATTCAATGGACACGGCTTTGTTGATGGCACGTGGGCGACAGGCCGTGGTTGGTTTCGCAGATTTTTCGCGGTGTCCGAGCTTGCCTGTGCCCCTGAGGATCAGCTTCCCTCTGGCTGGTCGTCGACCTTCTTCCGCGTCCACTTCGCGGGTCTTCATCCCGGGGCAGTTTGATGTGCGAGGGATTGGACATGTCTGAGAAGCCATCGGAGTCTTTCAATGCAAGCTTCGTTCAGGCCAGCCCCTCCTCCCCCCCCCCCCTCCGAAGCTCCGCCGCTCGAGGTGATGCCAAGATCGGGTTGCATAACCCGCGAGAAAACCGATGGATCCGGCTGCGAAACAACAACGACCGGGCATGGCACCATGTTTCATGGTTCGGGTGTGAGCTTCCTCGTTAGGGTCAGCTGTTGGTGTAGGATTCTAGGATCTCAGTTCCTGCTTTGCAAGTGTGTCCGGTGTTTGCATTGCACATGGGAGGGGGCATGAGGGGGCCCTTCACCCGCTGCTTGGGCAGAGGTTTGAGGGCATGGGTGCCCCATAAGCGGAATTCCCGCCAGTTGGGTACACCGAGAAGCGCAAGCGGACCTTGAACAGACCCCAGCGCGGACCCCGCCTCCACCCACGCCCCCTTCCCAAAAAATCAACCCGATAGACTTGCATTGAGCGGTCCCAATGGGAAGTCGCTGTTGTTTGGGAACGGTCAGCTTCCGAAACATACTTTTTTGCAGCCGTTCAATGGGGATGTTGGGACTTTCTCGTGTCTCTGTCTTTAAGGCGTAACGGGCGGTTCAATGGGTTTTGGCTTGCCCAGCCGGTTTTGTTATGACTTCGGTGTTTGCCTGTAGGTAGCGACCACCACCACTGTCACCACTACCACCACCACCACCAGCAGCGGCAAAAGATGGCAAATGCAAAAGCAAGATCAAAACTAGCACCACCACCAGCACCAACAACAACGACACAGGCGATTTCTTCCGCACATGGATGACCATGCTTCAGGGACCATTCAGGGAGCACCGCCACAGCCTACCTCCTGGCTGCGGGCATCCAGCTGTGTGGCCTCACGGTTGCCAGCCGCTACGACAGCGCTCCCCGCGAAGCAGACCTACCGCCCTCTTCACTGTTGGCTCAGCGCCTTCCCAGGCCGGCCTTGTGCAAATCGGCATGGATGGACCAGACCTCGCGCAAGTCTGCTCGGCTTTTGAGGCATGTTCCCATGCAGCCAGAACGGCCTTTGTATAGTGCTCGGCCTGAGCATTGGCTGATGTGATGTCGTTGGGGACCATTGCGGCTTGAACCGAGCTCATGATGCTCCCCCAAGCGTGCTTGCGACCAGCGCCCCGTGGCTATCATCAAGAGCAACAATAGCAACACTAGCAACGCTAGCAACACTAGCAACACTACGTGGCAACACTAGCAACACAATCAGCAAGGACAAACAACAAGTAAAACATAGTTTGTACTGTAGTGAGAAGGCATTGCAGCATAGCCAGTATTCAGAATGAAAATATCAGCAAAAGCAACAACAGCAGCAAAGACTGCAGCCGGTTTCAAAGGTCAAAGCCACGCAGAAGACCAAGCCGTAGCTTCAAAAGTGGCGACTGTCACGAGAGCACGGTGACTCCGGACAGTTACTTGCCTTGCTCTTGACGGACTTGACAGTCGGGGGCACTTTTGGCATGCGAAGCTGAAAAACAACAGTTCAGCAGTGACGAGACGCAAGAATGGTGACTCCGGACAGGCACCAGCCTCGTTATTGTCAGCACTTCTGGCCGTTGCAGTCTTCCAAAATTGACGACAGTTACGAGATGGTGCGTCGGCTTTTTGGCCATTGAAATAGCGCTTGCGGATGCTTGCGGGTGCTTGTGGACGCAAACGATTGCAAACGCAAGGATCAGCGGTGATCAGCGTCAACTCTCTACCCCAACCTCACAACCAGAAGCCTTCGCGACACAGTCGGGAAGAAATAGTCACGGCTTGTCGTGTGGAATCCGCGACGGAGCACACTGCATATTTCGTCGTTAACATGACCCTGTTGCGGAAGATGTCTGCCCTTTCTCCTTGCCATTGCTTGCAAGGCAAATGCCTTCTTTAGATATGCAAGCACGCGGGGGGGGAGGCTTCTTTTTCCTTTGCTCTGTGTTCAGTGTGATTTCATTTCTATATGCACCATTGTGGCGATCTCAGCTCTGTTTCTGCTGCTCTTCTTCTTCTGCTCCGTTCTTCCGGAATCCCAGAGTCCCTCAGTGCAGGACATGGACGGCGCGGGTGCGCGACACTCATGGGAAACCTTCACAGCAGTGGATGCCGGCGGAGGGAAGGCACAGCGCACAGGAGTTTCAAGATGCTGACATGAAGCACAAGGGCTAGAGAGACGTCAAGGGTTTAGGGATAAGTTCGGGTTTAAGGGCTTAATGGTTTAGTGCTTAGGGTCTAGAAGGGTAGAATGGAGTAGAGTAGAAGGGGACAAGGGGAGCATCCCCCTTTTCTTGGGAGTCATAAGTCATAGGTCCGAGAGGCCTTGTTGCTCTCTTTTGCTGTTCTCCATTCAGACTCCCTCCCCCCCAAAAGGTCCCCCCCCCCCCCCGCTCCCCTAACGCCTATAAGCCTAAACCCTGAACTCTAAACACAGGCTTTTCTGGATGTCGTTCCGACTTCGGACGCAGTGCACCAGACCTCAGGGACGAGCCCTTGGCCTTAGCAACCTTCTCCCTTCTGCACGTTGGCACTCTACCAGGGAGGAGCCCTTGACCAGGACATAACCCTACAAGAGCCCTGCAACAGTCAAGAAGCGCGCCGCGGCAACCGAGATCTCGCAAAAGCTCAAGCCCTTCCCTCCTCCCTATCCCTCCTGTCCGCGTACCATCTGCCAGCTTTTGCGGCTGCAGTCTCAAGTTCATTACTCGGTACTGCGTGCTGTTATGACCCATTTGCATCGGACGCGTCGGAAGGTGGCCCTTCACTGCCGTGCCCACAACAAGTACATGCGGATGCCGAATGGACACCACATGGATGCTCAGATGATTTGGGAACTTGGATGGGAGGGTGTGCCCGTGGTTTCAGGACGAAGTTTACAAAGTGTCGGTGTGTCGACCCCCGTTCGAATCAATGATGGAGCGCAAAAACGTGGGTCCGAGCTAAGGACACGAGCCCCCATCGCAATGCTTGGGACCGGCGGCTACCGTTTCTGCAAGTCGGTTCGTGCAGCATTGTCCGGACACAGCAATTGAGTTCAGTTACACACATCTACCCAAAGGATTTTAGAAGGTTTGTTTGGATCGTGTCATCTGTAAGTAGTCTCGAAATATCAGCGAATCAGATCCCAAGAGTCTGACCTGGAGTTGCACCGTTTCCTTTTGATGTGAAGGATCTGCCTGGGAACTGGGGCTGGGAGCGCTTCCGGCCCGTCTCAGTGCCCCAGCCGAAAGGTTCTAGGAGCACGCGGTGGAGAGAGCAGACGGCGGCAAGAGCGCACATGGCGGAGAGAGCGTACGCCGATCGAGCATGAGAGACCTCAGAAATCTGCAGAGAGCCCTGCTTCAGTCACGGGGAACCAGGCCCTGCTCCGGCCTGGCACCACCGTGGCCCTGTGGTGCCTCGGAGAGCAAGTGAGCGCGATGGTGTGGGGCCACAGCTGCTAACAGCCAGCCCAAGCCCCGACACAGGAATGACATCCACAAGCGCTACATGCGCATGAACGGGCACCACGACAAGATGGACGGCTCGCCGAAGCCGCACGGCTGCAGCATCCACCGCCCTTCATCTCGCAGACCTTGCATCAAGATCCCACCCTAATCCTCCTGAGCCCACCATCTGCCACCTGTGTGCCAGGTTGAACAACATGAACGACTTTCCAGCGGGCTGGAGCTGGGAGCCGTTCCGGGCCCGCGGCCGAGGAAGCTTCACCAGTCCTGCCGCCATCTCTTTTTCTCGAGTGTCTTGGCGCAGAGACCACATCCAAGGTGGTGGACGCCGGCTACGGCCAGGTGGCCTTGCACAACGCGGCCAGCAACCGCTTCATCAAAATGAGCCACGAACCTTGGGCCTGCCGAAAGCTGACGAGTTGGTGGGAGTTTGGCCTCCGTTCCAAAGAGCATCACGAAGTCGTGCACTCGCGGGACTTGAGATGGTCAAGGATTGTCTCCAAAATCGGTTGTCAGTAATTCAACATTGGTTTCAGGTTGCCAGGATCAGCTTTGCCGCTCCTTGCCACCCCCCCCCCCCCCCCGCCCGCCAAAAAAAGAAGACAAAAATGTCGCGCCCTCTAAGAAAATGCATCGCTCACCGCAGAAGAACTGGAATCAGCTGTCCTGGCCTGAGAGGGTCCGGAGATCGGAGGATGGTCTTGCAACGCTTTCCATGTGCCTTGCGCAAGCCACGAGACGGTCAAAATACCCAAGACATGACCTGAGGCCGAGCGGCTGGGGCGCGGAGAAATACACGGTTGTGGACGCAGGCCACATGGCAGGCATTGCAAGAGGCAGTTCGGGTTAGGTCCGGGTGGTCGTGAAACAATTGCGCCTGCTCATGCGCCGCAAGATATCGCACCACACTTGAGGCCATGGCCGCATTGCACTGCACCACGCGGAGCACAACCGTTCCCTGGATGCACCCGATTCCGAGGGCAAGAGAGAAGCAAGTGATCAGATCCAGCTCTGAACTCTCATTCGTTGTCGGGACATTAAAACGTCACGCATAGACACTCCTAACGTTAGATGCCGCTTCATGAGACGCCATTGCTCAACGTGAGAGGACGGTGTTTCTCGTCTTTGGCCTTTGTTTTGGAGAATGTCAGGGGCAGGGGAGGCTGCCTTGATCTGCCTTGTGCAAGCTCGGGCAACTGGCCTGTCAAGGCGAGAATGGAAAAGGGACCGTAAACGTGTCGGACATCAAAGTCCACACTGGAGTTATAGGATCCTTCACTGCGGACGTCATGGACACGGAAGAACGGACGAGCTTAGCTTGCGCGGTTCGTAGATTCATGTGCTCGGCACCCGAATAGCAGTCGTTTGCTGGGTTGATACAAAGAAGGGCCCGCGAGGATGTTCTCTTGCAAGAGAACAGCTTTAGCAGCCAACAGGAGTCTTGCACGCACGCACATTTCTAACACCTGTTCTGCGTTCCTCCGACGCAAGCCAAAAAGCCTCGCGAGGCCTCTTCACGCGACTGCATGGGGCTCCCTTTTGCCCAAAAAGGGAGGACCAACAAAAACGAGGAGAACCGGCCGGGTACGCTCGAAAGTTGCGAACTTGGCCGTGCTACGCCCTGCCGCCGCCAGTTCGCTGGGGCCGCTTCAAGGCCACATCACTGCGTGGAGGAATTCGGCACAAGTCGGCTGACAGCTACCGGGTTGGGTCGAGCTGCCCGATGTGCATATCACTTATTTGAAAGGGATTGAACTTATGTCGTGTCGAAAGGCTCCTCTCTCTCTCTCTCTCTTCGCTCGCTCGCTTGCCAAGCACATTGAAAACGTTGAGAACACTGAGATGTGATGCCCGAGTTTCGGGTGAGAAAGACTTGACGTGACGGAAGCGCCGAGCCGAGGCTTCGTGTCCATGTGCCATCACGGCGAGAGTTGCCTTAGCCCCCACAAGGTGCGGTGTTGAAGGGTCGCGGAAGGCGCCCTGAAGTCTCCCTGGTACAGAGCTGAGAGCCTGCCGCCAGGCTCCGGACCACCTGCCCGGTGGCTGGACTTGGCCAGGAGCCCCAGACTGGTGTGCTTTTGGCATTCCTTGCAAACAGCAGGCTACGAGTAGTGTTACGAGAGAGGGGGAGCCATAGAGGGAGAGAGAAAGCGAGCGCTTGAGGCAGATGTTCCACGTGCTGGAGGCCCGAGACATGGCGCAAAGGGATGCGCCAGTGGGGACATGGACATGTTGTCTTAGAAGTTTGGCTCGTTTGGCATAAAGAGAGGGATCGCTTTTTTTTTGCAAGCAGAGCAGCGCGCACAGGCGCAAGACACCCGATGCAAAGAGTCTCCGGATCGTTCAGGTTCATGATCTTACTCTTTCCCATCCTCTGATTGCTTCCATCGGCAGGCGCTTACGAAATGTGTCGGTTCTTTTCCCGCAACTGCTTGAGCTTGGGGTCAAACTTGCTGTTCGAACAAAGCTACAGCAAGACATTTGCGAAACGTCGTACCAAATAAGCTGTTGCAAGCCTGGAAAAAACCACCCGACTAGGATGCGAAGCCAGATTCAGGCGAAGGTTGCTTTTCGAGTAAAGTCTGAAATTGGCGCGCTTCTGGGAGGCGGAAAATGCATCCGGCTAGTTTCGGGAACCAAATTCAAGGCAAGCTTGCCTTTCGAGCAAGTCAAAGCTGGAGATCGGCGCCTTGCTTTGTCCAATGCGTTTGTGCAAGCTCAGAAAATTAAAAAATCTGCGAGGTTCAGGAATCAGATTGAGGCCAATCTTGTGCTTCGAGCGAAACCATGCAGCAAATTGGCACTGAACCGTGCCAAGCTCCGGAGCCATCCGGAGCCTGGCCAAGTGCATCTCCGACTTCCAGCTCGATTCATTTTTCGGGCTTCCGAAAACAGATTCGGCACTAAATTTCCAGCCTTGCCTTGCTCGCAGAAGAAGCACTTGGCTTGGGACCAGAACCTGGAACCGGCCCCGGAACTCACCCGGAACCTGCAAGAGTCCTGCAAGCTTTCTGCTGTTGGGGGTATCACATGGTTTTTCAAAAGTGTCTTGAAAGAACCAGAGCATAGTAGCACTAGGGGCACGAGGATCCCGAAGGGTTGGCGAGCTTTGAAGGTCAGGGAATGATGGAATGATTCCACTTCCCGACTCGTCTACGGCGCATGTGGAGCGCGACCCTCCCTGAAATCCAGATCCTGATGTGGGTTGGTTTGCAGAGGGCTGAAGTAAGTGGCCCACTCCCTTTGCCAGATCATGCCTTGCGGCACCGGCGGCGGCGGCAGCTGCAAAACGTGCCAAAACCCCGCGCACCGCAAGGTTTGTGGCTCAGGGGGGCGGCACCGGGAGCATGCCTGAAATATCTTGTGAAGCTGCCCCACATGTCCGAACAAGCAAACATGACTGCAAGATGTGTGCAAAATTGTGCAAAATTTTGCAGCGTATTGCCATGCCAAGCCAAGGTTCACAACCACTGCGCCACGTGCAACCCCGGCTACTACATGCATGGCCACCACTGCAAGGCGGAGCCACTGCTCGACAAGAGGATGCGGTTAATGCGGTTCAGTCTTCAAGTAGCAGAAGCTCCGCAAGCAGCCCGGCAGGCCTACAGCTGCACGGGCGGACGGGACCGCATCTGCCACGCCTGCGTTGCCCAGCACGACCGCAGGGTGCGCTTGCGGGGTTGGGGCAAGGCATGGCAAGGCATCATGAGAGGCCATGTCCAAGCTTCCCTCCAGAACAATTCCCGATAGGGAGGCCTCGCTGAGCCGCAAGTCTGGTAGGTAAACGTATGCGCATAGGTCTCCTGTCTCTTTCTCCCGCATTGTCCTGTCTGGGCCCCCGCCAGCTGACCTCATTCAAGCTCCCGCCCTGCCGCAGCAAAACGACCACTGCGGAAGCTGCGACGGTGGCCACGTCATGCGCGGAAGGCGCTGCCAGGCAGGGCAGTGGCCTGCATGTAGGTATGGCTGAGACATTTCCAGAATGCCCCAAACAAGGCACCCAGAGCACTCCCAGAAGAGCCAACGTTCTCTGTGTGTTCTCGCATCCTTGCCCTGTCAGTCTCGGCTGCTGGGGGCCACGGTGGCTCTCCACCAAGCGAACCACGGCCGCTTCGTGAATATGCCGCTCGGGCTCGCGAAAGACGCTGAGGACTTGCGAAAGACGCTGAGGACTTGCCGTGTCGCTCCTGCAGGCCCTTTCAGCAAAGGCCCGAATTCAAAAGCCGAGGTGGGGCCACGACATGGTCTGGACCTCCAAGAGGAACTCGGACCCTTGGCCGGCAAAATATGTAGGCTTTTGTTGGCTTTTGTTGGCTCGCTGTGGTTGAGGTTTCGCAGATTTTGCGCATGGTGAGCTTGCCTGTGCCCCTGAGGATCAGCTTCCCTCTGGCTGGTCGTCGACCTTCTTCCGCGTCCACTTCGCGGGTCTGCATCCCGGGGCTGTGTGATGTGTGAGTCATTGGACCCCAAGTTTGAGGCTTTCTGGGGAGTCCGAGACGGGTGCCCCGTAAGTCCTAGTCCTACAAAGCAAGCTTTGCGCAAGCCAGCTGCCTCCGCCCCCCCCCCCCCCCCCCCCCCCCCCCTCCGAAGCTCCGCCGCTCGAGGTGATGCCAAGATCGGGTTGCACAACCCGCGAGAAAACCGATGGATCCGGCTGCGAAACAACAACGACCGGGCCATGTCACGGTTAGGGTGTGAGCTCCTCTTACAAAATTGCACTCCCTTTTTGCTTCGGTCAATTTTCTGCTGGGCGGCCAGCACAAGTGCAGGACATGGACGGGGCGCCCGCACGGAACTCCTGGGAGACCTTCACTGCGGTGGATGCTGGGCACGGGCAGGTGGACTGCATGTCGGAGAACAGAGTCTGACAGAGTTTGTAGAGGGACCCGACATCTTCTTGTCGCATTGACGCATGTTCGTGTGGAATGTAGACGACGAAATACACAAAGTCATAGAAGGGCTATAGATGTAGACATGGTTTTTCGACATATAGCCATAATTAGTTTGCAGCAGTATCCCCAGAGACAGATACGCTTCTGCATAAAGTTCCACAGTACGCAAGACTGCATAGATAAATGTCTCATTGTCGATGGGCAGAATCCTTTTCTTTATGTCTCTGAATATGTGTTTTCGCAGGGCGTTAGCAGACGGGCACGCGATGGAAAAACTTGGGTCGGGGGACGCTGGCAGGTGGCCCTCCACTGCCGTGCCCACAACAAGTACATGCGGATGCCGAATGGACACCACATGGACGCTCAGACGATTTTGGACAGTGTGGCTCCATTTTGGGTGTCAAGCGGGTGGGAGAAGAGGGCGTGACGGTGACGCACCTGTTCAAGACACTGATGCTGCTAGCATGGGTCCTGGCTAAGGACACCAGCCCTGCTCGCAATGCCTGGGACCGCACTGCCTTTTTTCTGTTTCTGCAATAGTTGGTTCTCGCAGACATGTCTCGCCTCTCGCCGCATGCCCTCTTTACCAGCTATCCGATCAATGGAAGTGCCACATTCCTGACATGCCTCGCCTACCCCGCACCCAAGCTGTGGCGTTGCCTTGTTCTCGAAGGATCTGCCTTCCAACTGGGGCTGGGAGCGCTTCCGGCCCGTCTCTGCGCCCCAGCCGAAAGGTTTTAGGAGCACGCGGTGGAGAGAGCAGACGGCGTCAAGAGCGCACATGGCGGAGAGAGCGGACGGCGATCGAGCATGAGACGCTTCAGAAATGTGGCAGAGAGCCCCGCTTCAATCACGGGGAACCAGGCCCTGCTCCGGCCTGGCACCACCGTGGCGCTGTGGTGCCTCGGAGAGCAAGTGAGAGCTGTGCCCTCTGTCGAGAAAGGGGTGCGGGGTGCTGTTGGGTGCTGTTCGGTGCTGTTGGGGCGCAGGCCTTCAGATTATCATCTTGTTTTTGCTCGTTCTATCGAACTCCCCTGTGCATGGCCTAGCCGAAGCAGCCAAACAAGCTGCTCGAGCGAGGAACGACATCCACAAGCGCTACATGCGCATGAACGGGCACCACGACAAGATGGACGGCTCGCCGAAGCCACTGCGCTGCAACCCTTCCTTTCGGACCCGCAGACCTAGCATCAAGATCCAGAGCCCAACCGCCCATCCCCCTGAACCCACAGCGGCTTCGCTGGACAAGTTGTGTTCCCAGGTTGAACAACATGAACGAGTATCCATCGGGCTGGAGCTGGGAGCCGTTCCGGGCCCGCGGCCGAGGAAGCTCCAGCAGCCAAGCACCAGACCAAAGCCGCCATGTGGCAGCCGCCGTCTTTTTTCGAGCGCGCGCAGCAGCCATATACCCAAGGTGGTGGACGCCGGCTACGGCCAGGTGGCCTTGCACAACGCGGCCAGCAACCGCTTCATCAAAATGAGCAGCGAGCCTTGGGCCATCTTGGGCCTGCCGATAGTTGGTCAGCTTCCGGTCACGGTTCTCTATGGGATACCGTGTCGCGTGCTCATGTGGTTCTTCCACTTTGATACGTCGAGCTGAATCTGAATATGTTTGTGTTGCTCTGCATCCCCCCCCCCCCGCCCCCCATCCCCCCAAAGCTGACAGCCGGAGTCCATCGCGCCCTCTAAGAAAATGCATCGCTCGCCGACGAAGAACTGGAATCAGCTGTCCGGGCCTGAGAAGAGGGTCCGGAGATCGGGGGACAGCTTCATAAAGCTTTAGACACGCCCGTGAGGACGGTCTACACATGTCCCACTACTGCCGAAGCCATGACCATACATGACCTGAGGCCGACCGGCTGGGGCGCGGAGAAATACACGGTTGTGGACGCAGGCATGGCGAGCATTACGAGGGGCTGTTCGCTGTCCGGAGAGGGTACTGTATCCGTTGAAGATCAAAGAGGGAGGCGCTGGTGCGGAGCCGTAGCGCACATCCTCCCGCGTCTTGAGGCCATGGCCGCATTGCCCTGCACCACGCGGACCACAACCGTTCCCTGGACATGCCGATATTAAGAGCCCCTATGTTGAGGCTGACTCGGGTGTGTTCGCCCTTAGTGCCGATGCGAGCCCTGAGCCCTCCGCGAGTCCACCCAGTTAGCTTCGTGTCATATCTCTCTTCACCATTCTTTACCGAGCTGAGGCTTCGTGTCCATGTGCCATCACGGCGCCAGTTGCCTTAGCCCCCACAAGGTGCGGCGTTGAAGGGTCGCGGAAGGTCGCGGGGAGGTGTCAAGAAGGCTTCCTGGTACGGAGCTGAGAGCCTGCCGCCAGGCTCCGGACCAGCTGCCCGGCGGCTGGACATGGCCAGAAGCCCCAGAAGCTTTGAAAGCGTGTTCTGCCTTCTGCTTTTGGACTCAGCCCGCAGCGCTTGAGGCAGATGTTCCACGTGCTGGAGGCCCGAGACATGGCGAGTGAAGGGATGCACGGATGCATAGACTGAGACTCTTCTTAGACATGAGATGACTTGCTGAAGCTTCTTGGCCGTTTGGGTATGCAATGGGATTGCCAGAAAGGGATCACTTTCCACTTTCCCATCCTCTGATTCCTCTGATTGCTTACAATGTTCACACGAACGAACAAGGGAGCAATGAGAACATGTTAAGACTAGGGTCTCGAAGGATCGGCAAAGGTTGGAAGGTCAGGGACATTTGAAACAATGCAGCCCCCCCCCCCCAACCCCAATAGGCTTTGAATCTTCAGTTTGTCAGGCTCTCGATCTCTCTACTTTCCCATCCCCTGATTACAGATAAACATGTGAGTCATGTTTTGAAACTTGGCCCAAGCAAGTTCATAGATGATCACGTGCTTATCCTACAGGTTTAGCCGAATAAACGCCCGGACATGTAGGACACCAGGACTCCTCCTAGGATGCCTGAGCTTTTGTGAAGACAACACGGACAAGAACCTCAATCTCTGAACTAGAGGTCCGAAGCCTGTACCCCTTAGGTTTGAACCCTAGTTTTTTACTTTTTGTTACCCTTCATCGCCTATATATCCTATCTACCCAGTGTACTGTAGCCTTGCTAGCATTTGAGCATTGATGATGAGAGTTGAAACTGGCCTCGCTCTACAGCTCTTGGAAGAGTGTTTGAAGGATCCTGCTTGACTGATGGTGGGCCCGTGGCTCTCGGAATCCCGCGCTCCTTCAATCTCTCGAAACGATTTGGCAAACCCTTCCTTGATACGTTGTCAAGCTTCACTTGTGTAGATCTGGAACTCGCTGCCTCCCACCTTTGCCAGATCATGCCTTGCAGCACCGGCGGGGGCGCCAGCTGCAAGACCTGCCAAAACCCAGCAAACCGGAAGGTTGGTGGCTCAGAAAAGGGTGGGGGGGCTGCGGCTCCGGGAAGGCCTGTTGCCTGAAGTCTCCCCGAGAATGCCCGAACATTTCCGAACTGAGCAAATGTGGGCTGCAAGATGAGTGCAATTTCGTGCCATGTTGCATTGTTCCAAGCCATGCAAAGCCAAGGTTCACAACCACTGCGCCACGTGCAACAACGGCTACTACCTGCATGGAAAGCACTGCAAGGCGGCGGTCTCGAGAAAGGGCTTAGGCTTAGGATGGCTTAGGGTTGTTTTTTTGTTTTCAGTTTTGAGCTTGCAGCTGGGAGGCCTACAGCTGCACGAGCGGACGGGACCGCATCTGCAAATCCTGCGTTGCCCAGCACGACCGCAGGGTGCGCCCGGCGGGGTGGTTTTGGCAAGACCTTGGCGAAGCTTGGTGATTGGGATTTCAAAGCTGCTTCGGGGCAGAGGCGATATGTTAAAGAAGGCCTTCAGTGCCAAGGATCCCTGGGAATTTCCGAACCATCGTCCGATAGGTCTCCCGCATTGTCCCGCCTCCGCTTGGCCCCGTCAGCTGACCTCCATGCACTCCCGACCACAAGCTCCCGCCCTGCCGCAGCAAAACGACCACTGCGGAAGCTGCGACGGTGGCCACGTCATGCGCGGGAGGCGCTGCCAGGCAGGGCAGTGCAAGTGGCCTGCTGACGTGTGCGGTCAAGATGCCGAGGGCTGCATGTAGGCATAGCTCAGACAGCTCCAACAAGGCCCAGAGCATCCCCAGAAAGAGCCAACGTGTTCTCGCATCCCTGCCCTGTCAGTCCCGGCTGCTGGGCGCCACGGTGGCTCTCCACCAAGAGAATCACGGCCGCTTCGTGAATATGCCGCTCGGGCTCGCGAAAGACGCCTAGGACGTGTCGTGCTCCTGCAGCAATTGGCCGAGGTGGGGGCATGACATGGTCTGGACCTCCAAGAAGAACTCGGACCCTTGGCCGGCAAAATATGTGTGTATGCGGGGGGGCAAGGCTTTTGTTGGCTCGCTGTGGTTGAGGCTTCGGAGATTTTGCGCACGGTGTCCGGGCTTGTCTGTGCCCGTGAGGATCAGCTTCCCTCTGGCTGGTCGTCGACCTTCTTCCGCGTCCACTTTGCGGGTCTGCATCCCGGGACAGCGTGCTGTGGCCCCACCCCCACCCCCATCCCCACTTAACGGCCTGCTGGGCGGCAGCTGATGCACACTCTAGCCTTCCGAAGGTCATCGACCTTGTCATGGCATGAAAGAGAAAACGTCCTACAACTCCTCGCCTTTGCGTGTCTAGTATGCCCAGATGCCCGCAACGAGGTGACGCCAAGATTGGGCTGCACAACCCACGAGAGAACAAGTGGATCCGGCTGAGAGACAACAACGACCGACTGCCACACGATTTAGGGGGAATTTTCTGGGCGATTGGGGATCCAAAGGCTCACTGCTACTTGTGATGGCCCATTTGTGTATATCTTTGAGGGCCCATGGGGACGTAATGGGACAGAATCATAGGCACAAGGCCTGATTTTGTTGAGTTCGACTCGTGGCCTCCTCATGCAACCTCCGAGCTTCTTCCGAGCCGCAGGACATGGACGGCGCGGGTGCGCGGCACTCATGGGAAACCTTCACAGCAGTGGATGCCGGTTCTGGGAAGGCGGCCGCTGGGGTTTGGGGGGAAGCGGGTGGGGGGGGGGGGAGAAGGAGGAGTTTAGATCGAATCTTTTTTGTGTAAAGTCGCGTCCAATCGCGCTTGGGGTAAAGGTCCCACCACACAAGACAACTGAAGTCGTGCCGTAATGCTTGTTTGTGGATATCACCAAACATTGGGGAAACATTCGCCTTCATAACGGAACAGCGGTTCGTTGTGGAGAACCGAGGTTTGCATCGCAGTCCAAACGAGCCGCGGATTTGTAGTACAAGTTTCGAACTCGAATCACCGGTTTCCGGGCCGGGATGAGATTCATGGATTTGTAATGCGAGCTTAGTACTGGAATCGCTGGTGGGAGGAAGTTCATAGCTCGGGGATTGGCTTGGCTTGCTTGAAGCCATGTGCTCGCCTGCATGTGGGCTGTCAGGAGTTCGCCTTCCTAACTATCTAGGCTGATCTGGGGAGCGCATCTTCATGGTGGTTGGCTTCCAATGGTATCAAATGGTGTATGTCAACCCAGGACTTGCTTGAAATTGTATTTTCGCCTGCGCGTTGTGCCATGCGTTTGCTTCCAAAATCAGTGGCAATACTTGCTTGGGAGCGGGTGCACTTCGGGATTGAGTGTTGAGTAGTGTACATGTGATCGGTTTCGCGCCTCATGAAGTGACTTCTTCTTCCGCCGCGTGTACTTGGAGATATGTGGCTTCTTCCCCAGTGATATGACTGAACCGTACCGTAGCCACGTCGCTGCTAGGTGGCCCTCCACTGCCGTGCCCACAACAAGTACATGCGGATGCCGAATGGACACCACATGGATCCCCAGATTATTTTGGATAAGACGGTGCGGCTCAACGCAAAGGTTAGCCATTTTAGGTGTCAAGTGGTTGGGAGAGTATGCTGCAGCTGCCCAAGACACTGCTAGCGTGGATGCTGGTTCTAAGGACACCAGCCCTGCCCGCAATGCCTGGGACCGCGCCGCCTACTTTTCTCGTTTCTGCAATAGTTGGTTCACGCAGACACGTCAGGGTGGACTTCCGAACTTGAAGAGTCGCCACGGGCTGGGTAAGGCAAAAACAAGAGAAGTAGAGAAAAGTCGTCAGTCTTTGCATTGGAAGTGCCACATTCCTGACATGCCTCGCCTACCCCGCACCCAAGCTGTGGCAGCTGTGGTGTTGCCTTGTTGAAGGATCTGCCTTCCAACTGGGGCTGGGAGCGCTTCCGGCCCGTCTCAGTGCCCCAGCCGAAAGGTTCTAGGAGAGCGGACGGCGATCGAGCATGAGAGACCTCAGAAATCTGCAGAGAAACCAGGCCTTGCTCCGGCCTGGCACCACCGTGGCGCTGTGGTGCCTCGGAGAGCAAGTGAGAGCGACGGTGTGGGGGTATGGGGCGCAGGCCTCCGATGAACGAGAGCTTCAGACTGATGAGATTTTCATGTTGTCTTTGTGCTTGCGCTCTCTAGACTATCTGCGAAGCTGCTGCGTGCCACAGCTGCTGCAAGCCAGCCGAAGCCCCGACACAGGAATGACATCCACAAGCGCTTCATGCGCATGAACGGGCACCACGACAAGATGGACGGCTCACCGAAGCCGCACGGCTGCAGCATCTGCTGTTCGTCATGTCTTTCAGACCTGGAGCCCGACCCCACCCTGACCCTCCTGAGCCCACGATCTGCCACCTGCGTGCCAGGTTGAACAACATGAACGAGTACCCATCGCGTTGGAGCTGGGAGCCGTTCCGGGCCCGCGGCCGAGCGGTCAAGCGCCAAACCAAAGCCCCCATGCTGCCGCCGTCATTTTCCAAACATCTTCGCGAAACCATACTCAAGGTGGTGGACGCCGGCTACGGCCAGGTGGCCTTGCACAACGCGGCCAGCAACCGCTTCATCAAAATGAGCAGCGAGCCTCGTCCTTCTTTGGAACTGTTTTTGGGGAAGCAGGTGGGCTTCGGACTGGATTCGAGGGCGAGCAAAGGCAAGGGTTTAAACTTTAGCCTAGCACAGCACCTGATCCAGCATCTTGCACCCCCTTGCAACATCTTGCTACGCCCTGTCAATCTTCTAGAGTCTAGAGCCCAGGCTTCTTGTGGGAATGCGGGTCCATGCGAGTTCCCATAACCGCTGGCACTTTGAGACTTGCTATGCCCCCCGTGTTATTTGCAGACGCCGTGGGGGTGTGGGGATGCCGCTAGCCCAGTCCCCTCCCCTCAACAAATCTGCATCGCGCTCGCTAAGAAAATGCATCGCTCGCCGCAGAAGGATTGGAATAAGCTGCCCTGGCCTCAGAGGGTTTATTGTTGGGTCGGAGATCGGAGGACAGCTGTGCCGTGAGCGCGGACGAAGGCGCTCTTAAAATTGCTTTGGCCTCTATATGCCTCTATACAGACGCAACCTGAGGCCCACCGGCTGGGGCGCGGAGAAATACACGGTTGTGGACGCAGGCATGGCGAGCATTATGAGGGGCTGTTCGCTGTCCGGAGAGGTTACTGTATCCGTTGAAGATCAATGAGGGAGGCGCTGGTGCGGAGCCGTAGCGCACATCATCCCGCGTCTTGAGGCCATGGCCGCATTGCCCTGCACCACGCGGAGCACAACCGTTCTTTGGAGATGCCGATATGACCCCCTAATGTTGATGGTGCTCGTCCTATCGTGTTGCAGACATGGGCCCTGCACGATTCCACCAGTGAGCCCTCGGCCCTCGACGTCCTGCAGCCATGGATCTCGAGTCTCTTGACCGTTCTTTACCGAGCTGAGGCTTCGTCTCCATGTGCGCCAACGGCGAAAGTTGCCTTAGTCCCCACAAGGTGCGGTCGAAGGGTCGCGGAGGTTTCAAGAAGGCTCCCTGTACAGAGTTGAGCCTGCTGCCCAGGCTCCGGACCACCTGCCCGGTGACTGGACCTGGCGGGAGCCCAAGACTGGGCCCGTGCTCCTCGTGCTCCTTGCAGTCTGTGCAGCACGCTACTGTTGAGAGAGGGGGGGATAGAAGAGAGAGAAAGCGACCGAATGCTCGAGGCAGATGTTCCACGTGCTGGAGGCCCGACACGCAACTCTTGACAGAACTTCATGCAACGTTGCACAAGATCACGCAGCGTGGCGATAGCATGCGATGGCCTTTGGAAGCCAGTCCCATCCTGCGTTTGCCAGATCACGCCTTGCAGCACCGGCGGGGGTGCCAGCTGCAAGACCTGCCAAAACCCTGCAAACCGGCAGGTTGGGGGCTCAGGGGGGCTGTGGCTCCGGGAAGGCCTGTTTTGGGGCCTGAAAAAATCTCCGAAATTGCCCGAACATTTCCGAACAGTTCTGAGCAAGCTGCGAGACGAGTAGACGAGTGCATTTTCGTGCAACGTGGCATGGTTCCAAGCCATGCAAAGCCAAGGCTCACAACCACTGCGCCACGTGCAACGACGGTTACTACCTGCATGGAAAGCACTGCAAGGTGGCGGTCTCGAGAAAGGGTTTAGTTTAGTGTTGCACTTTTGTTTTTCTTTTTCAATGTTGAGCTTGCAGCTGGCAGGCCTACAGCTGCACGAGCGGACGGGACCGCATCTGCCACTCCTGCGTTGCCCAGCAAGACCGTAGGGTGCGCCCGGTGGTGTTGAGGTATGTTGAGGTCGTGAGGACTTCTTTATTGTTAACGCTACTCATCGCTACTCCACCCGCCTCGGCCGGGGCCTGCCCAGCGCGGGTGAAAAGGTGCTGCTCGGCTTCCGCGCTTTGAGAGGCTTCGTGCAACCATTCCCTTTCGGGGACTCGGTTGTAACATGTTGTAGCACACCAAACGTCGGAGTGGTAGAACAAGCAAGCAAGGACAACTGGGTTTGGGTGGCGAGGGGAAAAGCCTTTCCAATCCAAACAAGGAGCGCCAGCAAGGGCGAGGGGGTAGTTGGGAAAGTCAGGCAGGCAAGTGGGAGGAGGGAGGTTCAGGTGGGGGGTGGTGGGAGGGGAAAAGGTTCGGAACTCCGACTGTTGGCTGAGGGGGAACCATTCCGGCTCAAAAAAGTGACAAATAAAGGGGTGCAATATGTGACTGAGGGGGGTCCCTGCTTTGTGCTCCCCCAACACCTACTGCCCGAGGCCTCGGTGGATCTTCCTTACCGATCTCACAGTCTCACAGACAGTCGTGAACCCTTGTATATTTTAGGGTTTAGGGTTTAGGGTTTAGACCTTCTGTAGTGACGGGGGCTGCTTCATGGAGATGTGAAAGCAGCACAGGCGTGTTAGGAGGGCGTGAGCTCCCAGCACCTTCAAAAGCCTGTGCCATCAAAGAGGTCTTTAGGAACCCCTTCAACGCTTGACCCAACAGTATCGATGCCACCACCCCAGCTGCCGCAGCAAAACGACCACTGCGGGAGCTGCGACGGCGGCCTCGTCCTGCGCGGGAAGCGCTGCCAGGCAGATGGGAGGGATATGGCGAGAGAGATGTCCCTGGTAGTCGTGGTAGTTGTGCCGTCGTAGTAGTAGTAGTAGTAGTAGTAGTAGTAGTAGTAGTAGTAGTAGTAGTAGTAGTAGTAGTAGTAGTAGTAGTAGTAGTAGTAGTAGTAGTAGTAGTAGTAGTAGTAGTAGTAGTAGTAGTAGTAGTAGTAGTAGTAGTAGTAGTAGTAGTAGTAGTAGTAGTAGTAGTAGTAGTAGTAGTAGTAGTAGTAGTAGTAGTAGTAGTAGTAGTAGTAGTAGTAGTAGTAGTAGTAGTAGTAGTAGTAGTAGTAGTAGTAGTAGTAGTAGTAGTAGTAGTAGTAGTAGTAGTAGTAGTAGTAGTAGTAGTAGTAGTAGTAGTAGTAGTAGTAGTAGTAGTAGTAGTAGTAGTAGTAGTAGTAGTAGTAGTAGTAGTAGTAAGTAGTAGTAGTAAGTAGTAGTAGTAAGTAGTAGTAGTAAGTAGTAGTAGTAAGTAGTAGTAGTAGTAGTAGTAGTAGTAGTAGTAGTAGTAGTAGTAGTAGTAGTAGTAGTAGTAGTAGTAGTAGTAGTAGTAGTAGTAGTAGTAATAGTGGGAACAAAATTTGCCCGGGGTCGATTTGGCGATCCGCACTTCTTTCAAACTTTTGCGGTTGCTTCAAGGTGTGAGGTTTTCTTTCTGAAAATCTTTGCTTTGAAGTGGAATTTTGCTTCTTTTGGTTGTGTACTTGTGCTAATGCCTTTTGCGGTTGCTTCAAGGTGTGCGGACTTGCGGGCTATGTAATCATCATCCTTTTTGATGGTAGGAATCCCTAACAGGAGAGTTGCTATAGTCCTTATGAAGTATGAGCCGAGGGATAAACAGGTACCCCTTTTTTGTGAAGCCCCTCGCAATATGGGGGCGCACATCGTGTCAAGACCAGCCGAAGACAATTGCCCAGTCCCGGCTGCTGGGTGCGACTGTGGCCCTCCACCAAGCGAATCACAACCGCTTCGTGAACATGCCGCTGGGCGCGGATATGAGCTTGCCGCAAGATGTTTGATGAGAGGACAGGGTTACCCTAAACCCCTAAACCCTGTAAGGATTGAGTTTCCGTTTTGTGTTTCCGAGAGGCTCGGGGCGGATGTAGAGCGCATAGGAACTAGTAGGAGCCCTGGCCCCTAACCCCTGACATAGGCAGCATCCGCTAAGGTGGGGGCATGACATGGTGTGGACTTCCCAGAAGAATTCCGAGCCTTGGTGCAGAAATGATCAGAGCTTGCGCTTTAGGCCACCGTTCCCCATTTCCAGGTTCAGCAGCCCCGCATTTCCCGTGCAATGATGAGGATCAGCTCCCCTCGGGCTGGTCGTCGACCTTCTTCCGTGTCCACTACGCAGGCATCTCGACTTTGGGGTACATGAAAACACTTGCCGCCTACTTGCGGTTAGTTGCTCTGGTCAGCAAAGCGAATCAATCCCACAGCTGGATGCAAATTGCCGATGGATCGCGAAGCAAGCCGGCATGTGCAGAACGAAGGGCAATGGAGGGCAGACAATACAATATAGATAATGTGGGCTCGTGGGCTTCCAGAAGTTTGAAGGTTACCAAGGTCTGCAGGCATGGAAGGGGATTTCCATTTCAAGACAGAGCCTTCGTCATAGGACGGCCATCTTGTTGTTGTAAGAATAATGTTGTAAGCTTACAGTTTTTCCGCACGAGCGCCATTTTGGCAGCTGTCCAACATGGTGGTAGATGGGTGCTCAGTTGAAGCTCTGCGCGAGGTGACGCCAAGATCGGGCTGCACAACCCGCGAGAGAACAACTGGATCCGGCTGCGAGACAACAACGACCGACTCACTTTTTTCCTTGCTGATCATAGCACTTTGATGTGGCGGACATTTGAAGCTTGAAGCTTGTGACGATGAGACGTAATGACATCAGCCTCCGAGATTTTCCAAGCCGCAGGACATGGACGGTGCACCGCACATGAAGTCATGGGAGACATTCACGCCAGTGGATGCTGGCTCGGGGCAGGCGGAATCAGTGCCTGCTTGTGGAGAGGGGCTACCGTAAGTCTTCCGTAAGGCTGCATGGTCGACATGATCTTGTTGTGCCATACATGACCCTGCAGGGTTGCGGCAGGGTTGCGGCAGGTTTGTTGCCGTAAAGCCTTGGATAAATTAGATTCCTTAGATCCTACAAGGGAGGCTGGTCAGAGGCCCATCCGAGGCCAAGCGGTTGTGTTGCCAGGTGGCCCTCCACTGCCGTTCCCACAACAAGTACATGCGGATGCCCGATAAACACCACATGGATGCTCGGATCAGTTGGAGGGGGCGTGGCCACATGCAAAGGTTAGCAATTTTAGATGGTGCTGCCCAAGAAACGGCTGCTGGGAGCGTGGGTCCCGGCTAAGGACACCAGCCCTGCTCGCAATGCCTGGGACCGCACCGCATTTTTTCCGTTTCTGCAATAGTTGGTTCTCGCAGACATGTCTCGCCTCTCGCCGCATGCCCTCTTGACCAGCAATCCGATCATGGAAGTGCCACATTCCTGACATGCCTCGCCTACCCCGCACCCAAGCTGTGGCAGCTGTGGCGTTGCCTTGCTGAAGGATCTGCCTTCCAACTGGGGCTGGGAGCGCTTCCGGCCCGTCTCTGCGCCCCAGCCGAAAGGTTCTAGGAGCACGCGGTGGAGAGAGAGCAGACGGCGGCAAGAGCGCACATGGCGGAGAGAGCGGACTTCGATCGAGCATGAGAGACTTCAGAAATGTTGCAGAGAGTCCCGCTTCAATCACGGGGAACCAGGCCCTGCTCCGGCCTGGCACCACCGTGGCGCTGTGGTGCCTCGGAGAGCAAGTGAGAGCTGTGCCCTCTGTCGAGAAAGGGGTGCAGGGTGCTGTTGGGTGCTGTTAGGTGCTGTTGGGGCGCAGGCCTTCAGATTATCATCTTGTTTTTGCTCGTTCTATCGAACTCCCCTGTGCATGGCCTAGCCGAAGCAGCCAAACGAGCTGCTCGAGCGAGGAACGACATCCACAAGCGCTACATGCGCATGAACGGGCACCACGACAAGATGGACGGCTCGCCGAAGCCACTGCGCTGCAACCCTTCCTTTCGGACCCGCAGACCTAGCATCAAGATCCAGAGCCCAACCGCCCATCCCCCTGAACCCACAGCGGCTTCGCTGGACAAGTTGTGTTCCCAGGTTGAACAACATGAACGAGTATCCATCGGGCTGGAGCTGGGAGCCGTTCCGGGCCCGCGGCCGAGGAAGCTCCAGCAGCCAAGCACCAGACCAAAGCCGCCATGTAGCAGCCGCCGTCTTTTTTCGAGCGCGCGCAGCAGCCATATACCCAAGGTGGTGGACGCCGGCTACGGCCAGGTGGCCTTGCACAACGCGGCCAGCAACCGCTTCATCAAAATGAGCAGCGAGCCTTGGGCCATCTTGGGCCTGCCGATAGTTGGTCAGCTTCCGGTCACGGTTCTCTATGGGATACCGTGTCGCGTGCTCATGTGGTTCTTCCACTTTGATACGTCGAGCTGAATCTGAATATGTTTGTGTTGCTCTGCATCCCCCCCCCCCCGCCCCCCATCCCCCCAAAGCTGACAGCCGGAGTCCATCGCGCCCTCTAAGAAAATGCATCGCTCGCCGACGAAGAACTGGAATCAGCTGTCCGGGCCTGAGAAGAGGGTCCGGAGATCGGGGGACAGCTTCATAAAGCTTTAGACACGCCCGTGAGGACGGTCTACACATGTCTCACTACTGCCGAAGCCATGACCATACATGACCTGAGGCCGACCGGCTGGGGCGCGGAGAAATACACGGTTGTGGACGCAGGCATGGCGAGCATTACGAGGGGCTGTTCGCTGTCCGGAGAGGGTACTGTATCCGTTGAAGATCAATGAGGGAGGCGCTGGTGCGGAGCCGTAGCGCACATCCTCCCGCGTCTTGAGGCCATGGCCGCATTGCCCTGCACCACGCGGACCACAACCGTTCCCTGGACATGCCGATATTCTGAGCCCCCCCTTACGTTACTCGTATCTTACGTTGATGGTGGTCGCCCCCCCGTGTTGCAGGCGTGAGCCCTGCACGATTCCACCAGTGAGCCCTCGGCCCTCGACGGCCTGCTGCAATGGATCTCTCTTTAACGTTCTTTGTGGAGCTGAGGCTTCGTCTCCATGTGCAAAAATGGCGACAGTTGCCTTAGTCCCCACAAGGTGCGGTCGAAGGGTCACAGAGGTTTCAGGAAGGCTCCCTGAGTTGAGCCTGCTGGCAGGCTCCGGACCACCTGCCCGGTGACTGGACTTGGCGGGGGCCCCAGACTACGACCGTGCTCCTTGCATTCTGTGCAGCAGGCTTGTGTTGAGAGAGGGGGAGATAGAGGAGAGAGAAAGCGAGCGAGCGCTTGAGGCAGATGTTCCACGTGCTGGAGGCCCGACACGCAACTCCTCACAGAACTTCGCGCAACATCACACAAGATCACGCAGCGTGGCGATAGCACGCGATGGCCTTTGGAAGCCATCCCATCCTGCGTTTGCCAGATCACGCCTTGCAGCACTGGCGGCGGCGGCAGCTGCAAGACCTGCCAAAACCCTGCAAACCGGAAGGTTGCTGGCTCAGGCTCAGGGGCACAGGCTGCCGGGTCGCCATGCCTGAATGTTCCTGATTGTGAGCAATATGGCTACAAGATCTACAAGGAGTACCAAATTGATCAAATTGCACAGCCAAGGTTCACAACCACTGTGCCACGTGCAACAACGGCTACTACTTGCACGGGAACCACTGCAAGGCTGAGACAGCCAATGTTCCACAAAGGGATGCGTTTCAGATGGTTCAGTTTTGAGGTTGGTGAAGCAGCCTGGCAGGCCTACAGCTGCACGACCGGACGGAACCGTCTCTGCAAATCCTGCGTTGCCCAGGGCGACCGCAGGGTGCGCCCGGTAGTGTTGAGGAAATGTCGTGAGGACTTCCTTAAACTTCCGCAGGCTTCCAGACAGTCCTTGTGCTATATTTGGAGTCTAAATGCATTTTTGCCGGCTCCTCATGGTGCCTTGGAAATGTGAAAGCATGTACGTGTCAGGAGGCCATGAACTCCCAGAACGCACCTTCAAAAAGCCTCTGCGCCATCAAAGAGGTCTCTAGGAACCCCTTCAACCCCTGAACCCACCCACTTACAGCTCTGTCGATTGCCCCGACTGCCGCAGCAAAACGACCACTGCGGGAGCTGCGACGGGGGCCTCGTCCTGCGCGGGAAGCGCTGCCAGGCAGCGTCAGGGCTTGGGATGCGGGCTTTCTTAGGAGCAAGGTCTTCGGAAGCAGCTTGACCACGGGCTTAGCAGAGAAGGCATAGCAAGATAGTCCCTTTATGCCCTCATGTCATCCACACTGTATATATATATACACATATAGTATAGAAATTGTAGACTGTATATCCTATATAATATACTGGAGGCTGTAGTTGAGACAGCTCTGAAGATGGGTCTGTCAGTCCCTGCTGCTGGGGGCCACCGTGGCTTTCCACCAAGCGAATCACGGCCGCTTCGTGAAGATGCTGCTTGGCTTTGCTTGGCTATGGACAGCACCAAGTGTTCGGCAGCCGCTGTAGCCCGCTTCCCGTCAGCCTCACAGGTTGTTGCGTTTTGATTGGACTTGGATCAGATTTGGGATGGGCGTGTTTTAAACAAGCATGTTTGCATGTTTTGGATGCCAACAACTCCGAACACGCGACGCTCCAGCGTGGAAAGCGGACGTTGTTTGTCAGCCCCAAAATTCCAGCGAGAAGTGGCCCAGAAGCTTAAGTGTCTCCTGCACAGTTTTCATGTGTGTCTCCAAAGGCCGTGGTTGCCTTCGTCTGTCTCTAGGGTTGATGGGCCCTTTGCCTTTTCAGAAACGAACTGGGCTAGTCGTGGGGTTGTTTGACTGGTTTATCGGTTGCCAGGCGTTCTTTAGCCGTGGTTCTAGCAGGACCTTCCTCGGAACCTGTTTATGGGTCGCTATATCACATGATATGGTCCGCATGGTCCAGCCCAGAACGCTGAAGTCCTACGATCGAAAATGATCTCTTGTATGTGTGATTGAATAGACAGTACAAAATGGAGCAGCCTTATGGCAGTACCAGCCGCGGCACGAAGCCTTATCCGAAACTTGGCGTGGGGGCCCATTCTGTTTCTGCACGGTGGAAGCCCCATGAGAAGAACCCAGGGCATCCTGGGCGTGGGGCTTTGCTCGCGCATGCCCGTGTCTTTTACCCTACGGGTTCGAGCGTATCTTGGTGTTGTTCTTGTCTTGAATCGGCTTTATGCGATCTGACCTCAGAGGGCGGAAGTCGAGAAGTTGGGGTTTTACTGTCCAAGAGTTGGTGCATTCAGGGACTTACGAACCCTATGTCGGGCAGCTCTCACATCTGCTTCTCCTGGCAGCTCGATGAGGTGTCGGTCTCGAGTGTTTTTTTCGCCCCAGCATCTTCAACCTTTTGGTTGAAGAACGAACTTGGCAGCGCTCTCTTTCGATGCATCGTAGGGTTAGGGTTATGGGAAGCAAACCCGATAGAGCAGGAAGGCTTGCGGAAAGTAGTCGGAACCTGAGATCTCGCCACAAACCGTGCCTACTGGAGCCTAAAGCCAGAGGGCTATACAGCGTCATCTTTGGACCTATCGTCTTTTCGATACCCTATAGGCCCTAGACGAAACAGCCCTACGCAGCAAAACCAGCCAAGGCGTGGGAACAATTTAGAGTGGACTGGGAAGAAGAGTTCTGACCCTTGGCCAGAATGATCTTCAGGCGCTGATTTGGATCACGCGGATCCTCTTTACAGGTTCGGGGCTTTTCGGTTTGTCAGAGTGGTTAGGTGATTTGGGGCTCTTTTTTGCCATGTGTGCCGGTATGCTCCAGGTGTTCTTTTCAGCCTCTTCTGCTCTGACCGAACAGTCTCATTCTCTCATTCTCCGTTTCCGTGAGGATGGTCTCCCTGCAGACTGGGCTTCGACCTTCTTCCGCGTTCACTTCGCAGGTCTGCATCTCTCGGGGCGGCTCATTGTGGGAATGCGCGCACCGTGATGGAGCTGCTGCATACATAGGGGGTGTGGTGTGGCGCGTTGTGGGAGCGGGAGGCTTTGGTTGCACCTTCTGACTTCTGCTCTTATCCAGGGATGCATAATTGCAAACGCTTTCGCGCGTCGCCTCGCCTGCCCAAGCTGTGCTCGTCTGCTTGTTGCGAAGTGAAGCTTGCGTAGGGAGCTGCGTGAAGTCAAGAAGGCAGCAGCAAGAGGGTTTCCCAGAAGAGGATCTTCGAACGGCCGGCGGCCACAAGCTTCATGAAGCGAACAGTGCAGCACCGCAAATGCCCTCCCAGGCAATCTCTGTCTCAGCACAGGTATGAGGGGAGTGCCAGTGGGGTGCATGGTGGTTCAAGGGGGGGCGCCGCCGCCATCTTGGGCCCACAAGTTCGCTGCACGGAAGCGGCGACGACGTTCCTGGAAACGCCGTACGCGGTCTTTGTGGTTTGTGATGTCCAAGGCAAAATTTGGCTTCCATCCCTGAGCTGCCCAACGAAGCCACCCATAGGAGTCCGATAGGGCCTACAGGACTTGAATGCGAAACTCATGCAGGTGACGCCAAGATTGGGCTGCACAACCCGCGAGCAAACAAATGGATCCGGCTGCGAGACAACAAGGACCGTCGGGTGCTTTGCGGCTTCGGGTCTCCCATCGAGTAAGATATAGTAATAAGTAATGCTCATGTAGCTATGATGTAGAAATCTACATATATGCATGTATATATATAACAGTTCTTCGTACGCAACATGTAAAAGATATTAGTATTCGTTTTGTTCGCCCATTCACTACATGCATATCTTCATTTCGTTCACTCACTCCCCTATTAAAATAATCTCAAAGCGTAACGAAGCGTGCATCCTTTCACTCCTTATCTTCGTGCTTTTGATAGTACTTAATGGGTAATGAACGGTCCAGTAAAAAGTACTATAACCTGTTAATGCTGTACGTTATGACATTAATAGCGCACGTTCCCTGCCGATAATATTATAACTCACTTATAATGCATAAGGAACCGTGGCCGTAGAACTCATGATGTCTTCATTGATGATCGTATGTTCTTCAGCAGTCCAGGCAGTATCCCACCTTTGAGGACAGCGTATGACCATTTTGGGGGTCCACACCCCGGCGTATATACATAGAGCTACATGTGTATCTATGGAATACGTTACTTGTCGAGTTCTTTGGAGCTATAATAGTAGAAACGTAAGATGTAGGCACACCCACACACGCACGCAAGCACATGCGCACATACGCATAGACGCAGACATACGTACATACGGACAATGCCATCCGCAGGACATGGACGGTGCGGACCACAGGAAGTCATGGGAGACCTTCACCACGGTGGATGCCGGCTCGGGGAAGGCAGGAAGCTTGAAGTGACGGAAGCAGAAAGAGATGAAAGAGTCGAAGAGAGTGGTTTTGAGTGTGTCGGTGTGCGCATTTGTGCGCTCGACTGTGACTGTGAGTCGAAGCTGTGTCGCGGAGGCCCCGGCCACAAGCCACCAAAAGCAATAAAGGTCAGAGCGGTTGGAACGCAAGTTGGCAGGTGGCCCTCCACTGTGCGGCCCACAACAAGTACATGCGGATGCCGAATGCCGCCAACATGGATGCTCAGATGATCTCGGTTACAAGGGCACCAATGCAAAGGCTGCAAAGGGTCTGACATTGCAGGCGCGCCAAGCGTGGGTGTCAGGAGGTTCGGATGGTGGCCCCACTGCACGCTGAAGGCGTCCGGTCCGTTCCGTTTCCCCTACGATGGGTGAAGCCATACGATGTTCATGAAAAGAGACGTACGGTGTGGCTCCATGAAGAGGTTAGCCATTTTAGGTGTCAGGCGGTTGGGAGACGAGGGCGTGACGCACCTGTTCAAGACACTGCTGCTACCAGCGTGGGTCCCGGCTAAGGACACCAGCCCTGCCCGCAATGCTTGGGACCGCGCCGCCTTGTTTCCGTTTCTGCAATAGTTGGTTCTCGCAGACATGTCTCGCCTCAGACATGGCCTGCACAGTCGCAGTCTGCAGCAGCTATCCGATCCCTGGAAATGCCACATTCCTGACATGCCTCGCCTACCCCGCACCCAGCACCCAAGCTGTGGCATCTGTGGAGTTGCTTTGTTCTCGAAGGATCTGCCTTCAAATTGGGGCTGGGAGCGCTTCCGGCCCGTCTCAGCGACCCGGCACCGAAAGGTTAGAGGACCTTTACGGAATACCTTCCCCCCCCCCCTTCCTCCCGACCCCCCAGACCCAGCAGGTTACATAGAAAATCTTGCAGCTTTTTCTCCATTCTCCACCGCAGCTCTACAAGCTTTCTGCTCCAGAAGAATTGGGGAACAAGGGGGTTCGAACTTGCTGCGGGAAGCCGGAATCCAGGCTCTGCTGCGACCGGGAACCACGGTGGCGCTGTGGTGCCTTTGAGTGCAACCAGGGCTTTGGCTGTTGAGACCTCTGACAAGTACAATCTGCAGCCGGTACCTTAAGCCGTTATGGCGTCCAATATTGGAAAAGCCAGCTACCGCTCGATCTACCTCGACAGCTGGCCCCAGCTCTGAAGCCCCCCCGTTGCCCGGATCCTCTCAGGGGGGGGGGGCGCTTTTTGAGTGCTGAGTGCAGGAATGCCATCCACAAGCGCTACATGCGCATGAACGGGCACCACGACATCATGGATGGCTCGCCAAAGCCGCCGGGCTGCAGCCGGTCACGTCGCAGACCTTCCAACGACCCAGGGAGCCGGAACTGACCCCTGAACCCATCAGAATGTGGCCCTTGCGAGATGTTCCCGAGGCTCAACGATTGGAAGGAGTATCCATCCCGCTGGTCCTGGGAGCCCTTCCGGGCCCGCGGCCTTAACAAAGTTTTGAGAGGAGTTTCGTGTAGCCTCCCTGCCCAGCCAACCACCCTGTGAACCCAAAAAGCCACCCATGGCCCATGTCGAGGTAGTGGACGCAGGCTACGGTCAGGTGGCTTTGCACAACGCGGCCAGCAACCGTTTCATCAAAATGGGCGGCGAGCCTTGCGCCTGAGAGCTGGGGGCCAGAATTGCATTTGTGTCCAGGGAGCTTGTATGAGCACTGAGCCCCGAGCCTAAACCCCTAAAATCACAGAAGGATGTACGTGGCCGTAAATCCGAGGACATGATTCGTTCGCCGACGAAGAACGTGAACGACCTGCCACTTGGACTGAAGACCCGGATCCGAAGTTCTGGCGACGCCACTCTCCCGACCGATTCACGATTCAGGACGATTATGTTCGTCCTGTTCAGGACTTATGGGATCTTATGAGACTTAGGGTGGAAGGGCATGAGGCATGAGGGTGTGAACACTAGTGCATATAGGGATCCGCAGCTGTCAGGCGCAGCCAGCAGTTTGACCCGCATTCAGACAGGACAAAGTTGCCACTTCGGGAGGGCATCTAGAGACGACCCCCTTCCCATGCCGGTCCAGCATATTTCAGGCCTTACTCCCTCCTGAATTCCGAATTCCCGAGCTCTGGGCTCGAACCTCGCAGTTTGGTACCAAAACAGAGCAGGTCCTGATCTCTCTGAAGTTCCAAGACTAAGCATCGCCCATTTAGAGTGGCCTTTCACCTTTAAGGGCCAGTGCTCCTAAAAAGCCACGGACGGAGGCCCGGTGGTTGGGGTGCTGAGCGCTTCACGGTCGTGGATGCAGGCGCCTGGGGCGGGGTCAGTTCTTCTTCTTCTTCTTCTGCTTATTAGCATGCTTACTTGCTATTCATTCATTGATCTTGCTGCGTCTATTTTCCATTTTTACTACTACGACTTTTACTACTATTGTCTTGTAATTACTGTTTGCACATTATTGCTATCAGCACTAGTGCGACAGACACATGATCCCACGGAAGCATGCCACGAGAGGCTGTGGGAGTTTGGGGGTTTGGGGGGCGGGGGGGGGGGTGTCCGATGTGTGTGCGCGTGACTTGCATTTGTGTGGCAGGTGGCGGCCGTGTGGCCTTGCACCACGCAGTGCACAACCGCCCCGCGGACGCATTTCTCCAGCTCTAACCAGACCTTCAAGATTCCTCAAGGGAGTAGAGTTGTAAACGAAGAGAAGAGGTCTTGAACTTCCCCTGATTCCATGGCCACGAATGCCCAGCATTGCGCAACAACTCGACTGCAAGCTGTCTAAAGTCACCGGAAGGCTTCTGAAAGAGCCATAATAGCCCTGCTCAGAGTGCTAATGGACGATCATGTCGGGGGTTGTTTTAAACTGCGGTCCTGTTTGTTCGGTATTGTACTCGTACACTGTACCCTGGTATTCATACGACTCATAAGAGCCATCATTGTCATAGGTTCCCCCGCAAAGGAGACCTGATAGAGGGAGCTTACCACGGCCAAGTGTGTCAAATTCTATGCTATCACAACCTTCCGGCTCCTCTACCTGAGGCTTTGTGAGCATGTGCGATAACGGCGATGGGTGCGTCAGTCCCCACAAGGTGCCGGAAAGTTTGCACAGGTCTTGTTGGATTGGCCTCGGGTTGCGAAGGTGTGCGAAGGTGTGCGGAAGCGTTGGGGAGGTGCCAGCCTGGACAGGCGATTGTTTGCCTGTCCAAAGAATGCACCCAGGCCCCAGATCATCTGCCAGATACATGGACTTGGTGCCTGCCCCAGATCGTGCGCATGCTGCCTTGGCTTTCTGTGGCACAGAGAGACAGAGAGAGAGAGAGAGAGAGAGAGAGAGAGAGAGAGAGAGTGAAAGAGTGAGAGAGTGAGAGAGTGGGAGAGTGGGAGAGTGGGAGAGTGAGAGAGTGAGAGAGTGAGAGAGTGCGAGAGCGAGAGTGAGAGTCAGTTTTTGGGGTGCGGGTGGGGCCGGGTGGGGGAGCAAATTTCACTTCCTACCCAGTACACGTAGCCTACACGTAGACGTAGCCTACACACAGGTAAGATTTCCGCTCAACAAACTCAGAGCCTCGAGGCAGGGAATCGCGTACAAACTCATATGAGACAGCCGTGCATGATTTTGGCCGTGAGGAGGCGGAACATGGCGGAACGAGACGCTGTGTGTTTTTAAATCCGGGTGGGGGGAGTGCTCTCCCGAGAGTTGTGTTGGTTCGGAACCTCATCGTTGAAAACACGGACCTCGGGCGCGCTCGTGTGCGAGGGTCAGGACTCTGCCTTGGCCCCCAAGCCAAGAAGAATAATAATAAGAAGAAGAAGAAGAAGAAGAAGAAGAAGAAGAAGAAGAAGAAGAAGAAGAAGAAGAAGAAGAAGAAGAAGAAGAAGAAGAAGAAGAAGAAGAAGAAAGAAGAAGAAGAAGAAGAAGAAGAAGAAGAAGAAGAAGAAGAAGAAGAAGAAGAAGAAGAAGAAGAAGAAGAAGAAGAAGAAGAAGAAGAAGAAGAAGAAGAAGAAGAAGAAGAAGAAGAAGAAGAAGAGAGCGCAGGGGTCATAAAGGGAGTGAGAAGGAGAACCTGAGGCAGATGTTCCATGTTCTGGAGGCCTGGGACACGATGTCGTCCCCACATGCCTCGCAACTTGACACTTCTTCAAACTTGAATCGCGCTGCATGGAGTGGTAGCCGAACAGCGGTATATGTGGACGGCCGGCGCAAAGCTCGCAATGCTCCCCCCCCCCCCTCCCCAACAGATGGTCTGTCAGGGCTCTTGAAGAGCAAAGCCAGATCTGGGAATTGGGGAATTGGGGACAGAAGCAGAAGAGTCTTGAAGCAGTTTGGACCTTCCTTTGCCGCCAGATCAAGCCATGCAGCACCGGTGGTGGCAGCAACTGCAAGACTTGCAAGGACCCACATTACCGGGAGGCTGGGGCTTCCAGTAGTGACGGAGTGTGCTTGCTGAGGCATTGTGGGTTTCAAGCAGTTTTCGCTCTCGTGCCTGTCGCAGTGGCACCAGTAGACATGTTGATGCTGGTGTTCTGGTGGTGCTGGTGGTTTTGATCGTTCGTTGCATGAGCACTATAGGTAAGTGAGTAGGAGCGGGCGTTCATCTGCAGCAAGTTGCACACGGCGCAAGTCACCGGTGACAAGTATGGCAACAGCAACGGTCTTCACAGCAGCTGTCTCCATCACGCAGGTCACAAACCATTGCGCCTCTTGCAATGCGGGCCACTTCATGGATGGCAAGCGCTGCAAGGAACAGGCTCGGGACGTGGGCCGGGGCCGGGACATGGGACTCGAGAGCCTGGGCGGGAGCACCCAAACTCTCATCCCGAACCCCCCTGGGGCCTTGGCCAGGTGTACAAGTGCGAAACTGGCTCCGGCGGCAAGTGCAAGACCTGCAAGGACGGCAACTCGCACATCCAAAACACATAAGACAAATCCTCGACATCCCTGATTGTTAAACTTGGACTTGGTACTTTTTGTACATCAAAGAAAGACGGGGGACCTGCCAGGTGCCAGGCCAGCGCCAGGCCAGGGCACAAGAGCCTTGCGTGACTTGTGTGCTTCGCTTCCTCCAGTTAACAACTTCAGGGCGTTGAACGTCAAAGACTGCGACGGCCGGCCAGACTCTTTGCAACACTGTCTGCAAGGCAGAGAACCATTGTGCCAGCTGCAACGCCGGATGGGAGCTGAAAGACAAGACTTGCAAGGCACGTGATTTTCAGGGTGTGCGCCGGCATGTTTCATGATGACTTGGTGTGGATGCCTGGTGCTTGGGATGCAGTTCAGACAGGCGGTTGCTTGTCCGGCGAACTCAGCCGGCACGAACGTTGGAGCTGGATGCAGCTGCAACGCAGGTGCGGGGCGGCGGGGGGCGGGGGGGGATGTTTGGGGTCGCTCACGTGTCCACGTCTTGATTGACTTGCTGAGTTGAAAGTAGGAGAACTGGGTCCACTCGCTCGGGTCCCAGGTATCCCAGTCCTGAGCGGTGGACGCTGCAAGTTTGGCAGGCTATTCTGGAACCATCGCAGCCGCGTCGTCGTCGCCATTCTACTCAGGCCTTTGCTTGGGACATGACCCCGTTCAGATTTGGGACTTGTCCTTCCTGACGGCAACCCACTCCTCGGCTGGGCAAAACGTTTACTAAACATGGGGAAGCTGCGAAGCCATTCTCTGCCCATTTCCAGTACACGTTTTCACTTGCTAGAGACAGCTTCGAAGCGATCGAAACCGGGAAGATGGCGGAGCTGGCGGAGCATTGGGGAAGGGTTTGCATTGAGGTTCCATACATTAGGGGTCGAGGCATGTCTAGGTGCAGAGATGCTCTTGGAGAGACTGGCAAAGATTGGCAGGTTCTTGCAGTGCGGTGGCCTGTCCGTACGGCTCAGCCGGTACGAACGTGGCAGGGCTGCAGGTCTTTGCCTGTAGGCCTCTTTTTTCAACATCTTCCTTTGTGCAGCTGAGACGAAGAGTTGCCACTCACATCCCGACATGGGAGTGAGGTTCCTTCTGGATGCAGCTGTTTCAGCGGCTACGAGGGCGCCGTGACAGCCACAACAGGCACAACATGTCACAACCAGAGCCTAGGCATCATGGTTGAGGATGACGGCCGTTGCTGAGACACTTGCCGATTTACCGTGGATACGCTATGTTTCCCTATCATTCCCTATCCGCACACTTGTGACAGGCTCGCCTTTCTACACATACAACTGCAAGGCCCGACGGTCGCATCCGATCTTGAGGGGTAGCAAAGTGGCGGCGGAGGGAGCATGGGACCTGTGGTTTGCGTACACTGGACCCGCCCCTGACAAGCAGGTCCCCAACAAGTAGAAATATTGCAGAAAGAATCCCTCTGACAAGAAGTTGGCCCCTTGCCGCCCCCCCCTCTAGAATCTAGAACCATCGCCACCTGTCCATCATTGTGGGTCCCAAGATGGCTACGATGGAATTTTAAGAGGTAGGTCCAGGTAGGTGCTGTGCCTTCAAGCCTTAAAACCCTAAACCCTGCATGGCCCCCCCCCCCCCCTCCTCCGCCCCGAATTCCGTTGCGAAGGACTTGTGGCTAGCGTGTGAAAGAGTAGCTGGCCATCGCGTTTGACCCGCCATGCTCCAATCGAGTTTCTTGGAAAGCTTCCTTGGCCAAGACTCCTTCTCCTGCAGCTCAACCTTCTCCCGTGCGTGGCGCGTCATCGAGCAGCAGGTCTTCAAATACTCTGCGGCAGTTGACCCCTATCCTGTCACGCCTGGACTACGAGCTTACTATGAAGACCTGCAGCAGTCCTTGGTATCTGCCGTGTCGACGGACCGGGTTGAGGACATACCTCGAGAAGCCCAAAAGCCTGAAACCATCTTTGAAAGGACCCACGCCAGATCTAATGTTGACCTCTCAGATCTTCACCCAGATCCTGCAATACTACATAGTACTGCAACTCTGATACCTGCTCCCAAGTGCAAAGCCTTGCTTCAAGGACTACATGCTCGATGGCCCGCTCAACCACTTGTACTCGAAATGGGCATTGGAAGTTCGCGCGATGACAGAGAAAGACAGCCAACACAGGCTGGCTTGCAGTAGTTTGGGACGTATAGGGATATGCCAGGTAAAGCATCCGAAGCATCCCGTATTGAGAGGCCGGAGGACTTGCTACACGAAGCAGATGTTCCAGCCATGTGTGATGAGCTTCAGGCAGTTGCCTTTCCGGTGGCACGCTTTAGAGGAGGACACGGGTTGCTGAGAGTCACCAGCAGACGTAGGAAATACTACAGTGACCAGAAGTTAGGGCAAGCGTGTGCGGCTCGCAGCCCTTCTTTCACCGGCAAAGCAAATCCCAAAACTATCCAGACCTTCGCTAAACCCTAAACCCTCAACTCTGAACCCTAGCAAGAACGCGGCCCAAGCTTGCCTCTGGCACATTGTTTTTGGAAACGCTGCACGTCGCCTCCGTCCGGCTTTGGAATCCTCTGGACGGAGCTTGTTGAACAAACATCAATAAGTAGATGTACATATAAGTAATTCAAAAAAGCTTACATCAATCAACGAGAATTTGTTAGATCGGACAAAAGTAATAACACATACAATATATATATATATATAAAATATAAATAAACGTATATATATATATATATAGATACATCCATACACTTGGATTTGTTTTTTCCTCTCTCTCCCCCTCTATATATACACATACATTTTTACATACGTGTATCAAACATATTTTAAGGGGCTGCGCCCATGGGCGGGCAGCGCAGGCAGAAGCGCGGGGCGAGCAGTTTCTAAGCATTTTGAGGCCCCTAAACTCCCTTAAAATCTCTAAGCGTTTGAGGCTCCTCAACCCCCTCAAAGTTTCCAAGCATTTTCAGGCCCCTAAACTCCCTTCAAATCTCTAAGCGTTTGAGGCTCCTAGACTCCCTTAAAGTTTCTAAGCACTTTATAAGGCCCCTAAACTCTCTTTTTCCTAGCCCCGGGCTTAGACACGTCGCTTATGCCCGCCCTTTGGGGGGCATCATGCTCCTGATGCGCCCCCGGGGTCCCGCCCCGGGAGCCGCTGATGCTCCTGATGCGCGCCTGGGGGTCCCGGGCTGGACCCGCTGATGCTCATGATGCGCGCCCTCTGGGGGCCTCCGTGGCGACGCAAAAAACCACGAAAAAAAAACCGTTCACCGGCGGCACGCGGGGGTCGGCGGCACTGGCGTCCGGCCTAATTCTGCTTCGCAGAAGGCCAGAGGCCAGCAAGGCTATTCCCGGGACGACCCGGGCTAAAAGGTCCGCATTTGCTCGGTCCTTTGGGGACCTCGCGCTGCCCGATTTAATGGCTACCGCCAATGCCGCCGACCCCGACAGGAGGCCCTAGGGTTTACACAAACACCCCCTACATTGCGCTTACATATATCCATAGGTTCTAGAGTTCAGGGGGGGCGAAACATTGAGTCTTCACGCGCAGGGAGTTGGCGCGCAACCTTAAACCCTAAACCTCACACCTTAAACTCGAAACCCTGAACCCTTAAACCCCAAACTACTAAACCCTCAACCCCCTTAACCAGGAGAGCCGAACCGGGGTGAGGGGGGGGGGTAAGCGGTGATGGCAGGGGGGTGGGGGGGGGGGTTCAATGTGACTCACACAATTTTTGCGGGGCTTCGTGCTCCAACAACAAAAACAACAGCCATCACTCACTGCCAGGGGCACCACTCTGCCTGCTGTGAGACTGCCAGCCTGCCGGCTCATGGCAGATGGGTTTAGACTTGCCAAGTTCTTGACAGAGGTAAGCGAGAGCACACCCACACAAAGCAGAAGCTTAGAAGCAGTATGAAATTGTGCAGTGAAGACTTGTGAACTGATTCAACATCTGCCAAATTCAGCACGGAGAGGCAAGAGTGAGCACACCCACATAAAGTTTGACATCAAGCAAAAGCTGACAGTTGGGGGCAGAGGTGAAGGGGTGAAGGCGGGGCGGGGCGGGGTGGGGGGGGCGCGGGGGGGGCGGGGGGGGTCCGGGCATGCACTGGAGCCCCTCAAACACTTCATTTCCAAGTAAAAGGCAAGGGGTAGGGGTGAGGTGGGGGGTAGGGGTCCGGGCATGCCCTAAACCCCTGACACACTTCATTTCCAAGTAAAAGGTCAGGGGTGAGGTGGGGGGTAAGGGTGGGCGGGCGGGGGGGGGGCGGGGGCCCAGGTTGGGGGCAGAGAGGGGGGAGGCGGGGGGCAGTGGGCGGGGTGGGCGGGGTGGGCGGGGGGGGGGCGGGGGGGATCCGGGCATGCACTGGAGCCCCTAAAACACTTCATTTCCAAGTAAAAGGTTAGGGGGGAGGTGGGGGGGCATGCGCTGGAGCCCCTAAGAGGGTAAGGGTGAGGTGGAGGGGGTGAGGGCGGGGGGGTTTGGGCATGAGGGCAAATGGGTCTTCACTGACGCCTCCCCCGCTAAAGCAGGGGTCGGCGGATATGGTTCTTCCATGATCGTTCCGGCTTCAGGGGTCTGCGGGATCCCGAAAGCTGTCCGAAGCGAGCGGAAAACCATGAAGTGCACAGGGCAGCGCCGGAGAACTACTCTTAAATCAACTTCCTCAGCCCTATATCAGCCGTAAAGAAACCCCAAGCTTCCCAAACGTTAAGCCCTAACCTTCCCTCAGTAAATGGCAGGAGTGTTCTCGCTGGCGCCGGCACCTGGTTTTAAGAGGCGCTACATGAGCTTTCCGGAGTGCCCACAGGGCCTCCTCGCGGGCTTAGCAGCGTGCCTTGCAGAGCGGCACCCTGCGACGATCCTCCGCTTCAAGGCGTGATCAACCCAACACTTGAAGGATTCACCAAACCTTTCTTTGGTTTAGGGTGTAACGTTTAGGCTTTAGAGTTTAGGGTTTAGGGTTTCTTCTGATCCAGTTGCGGTTGCGTTCGCACGTTCGAAGCTTGTGACGTTTTCGCACTGAGACTCTTCGTTTTCTTCTCGCACGTTTTCCAACTGAGGCCTTCGTGAGTAGATTCGTGTCTTTTGGTTGTTGGATTGGGGCCTTCGGATGCTGATGCTGGACCGACATTTTGGTTTTTCTCGGCGCGTGCGTGCCGTAATTTGAGTCCTTTTGTATAGTTTTTTTGATTCGGCCCCCCTCCTTTTCTGAATACGCCGGGTGTGTTCTTTCCTTCCGTTTTCCGACGGTTTTTGTTGACCCAGCCTCCACACATTCACCAGCCAAGGGTTTAGGGCCTAGGGTTTAGGCGCGACTGTCCCTCTGATGGTCTTTCAGCTTCCCCTGCAGGCCATGTCCCAATCTGCTGGGCATCTGAGCTTCCTTCGTGTGCGAGAGCTTTGGGAGAGCTTCTTTACCAGGGGTGCTCCACAAAAAGACAACTTCACTGCAGTGCCTCAGCCTGAGCTATCCACATGGCATCTTCACACTTTTCGCTGAATTTCGCAACGTAACATGCCACTTCATTTCGAATCGAGATCCAGAGGCATGCGACAATGCAACTCAACTGAGGAGCTGGCCAATCTGAAGTCGGCCGGGCTGTTTGGCAATAGTCTTCCAAGACGTGCGCGTGCAGACTTTGCCCTCCTTCGCATCTACACCCGGCTCATCACGCCGATTCTCCCTTTGGATGTAACTTATACCCAGGTTCGTGTTGGACCAGCGGAGTTTTGGTGGAACTGGGTTGGGCTGAGCAACAACTTTGCTGAGTGGGAGTGGATGCATCTGGGTCTGCCGGCTCTGACGCGTGGTACGCAGCTGTACCTTCACAACGGCTGTTCCATGACAGCCGCCTTTGTTTGTCCGCACGTTCTGCTGAGACTTCCGGGCTTGCAACGACTGGAGGCAGAGCCGCACTACGCACACTTCAACAGCAGTTTCCGACATTTGCTTGAAGCAGCTGCCGCGGAGCAAAGCACAGAATCTGGGATCCAGAGATTCCGGGAGATTTTGCAGCCGGTGCTGGTCGAAATCCGCGATCGCTGCTGCCAGGTCATCGGGGAAGGAGGAGAAGACCGAGGGTTCCCGGCATCAGGTCAGGGCCGCCAGAGTCAACTCGCCCAAGTGCCCAATGAAGACTTTAGCCATTGGCAGATCGTCTATAGGCTCAAGGAGCAACAGTACAAGGCTGTACATGCTGAAGTCTTCGCCAGCCTACCGCGGGACCACCCACATCTCCAGACTGCCACCAATTTCTTGACAGGGCGCTCGGTGTTTTGCATAGGCGGTGACCAGGGATGCCACACCTCTCAGTCACACTGCTATCCTTACGATGAGCTGTTTCAGGCAATTCGTTCTGATCTCCGTGCCAGGCAGAAGCAAAACAAGCCTTCCCAAAGACCCCAGCTCCGCATAATGCAGATCGGCATCTGCATGGGGCAATCTCTTGCGGCCATGGAGCGCTTCTTCCGACCGGCGGGCTTAGATCGCATCATTGGAATGGACCTTTTCCCCGAAGTTTACGAGCGCTTCAAGTGGGAACTGCATGAGCAGGAGCCTTTCGACCAAACGAAAATTCGCACGTATTCGGCATCCAGCTTGGTCCCGGCAGATGTGTCTAGATTTCATCGGCAACTGAAGGCAGATGAGGAGGACAAGTGGAAAGACGTCCGTTTTGACATCATCATCGACGACGGCGATCATGCGGCGCCGGCGATTCTTCAAACTTTCCGCAACGTTTTCCTGCGACTCTTGAAGCCTGGAGGCTTTTATGTTATCGAGGACACACATGCCCTGTATTCCCAGTCAGAACACCGAAGCTTTGCAGAACTCTGGGAACACCTTCTTTCGGCTGGTCCCGATGAAAGGTTGGGCACCCCGAGGCACAAGTACACTTTTGCAAAGGAGGTCGCCTTGCAGAGAAGCCCAGACCCCTTCCTGTCATGGGTGCACAGTGCCACCTTCCACAGCCGGTTCTTCCTCGTCGTGCGCAAGCGCTGGGCAATTACATAGGATCGGCTGTGGTGACATGTGGGTGACCGTTTGGGGGGTTCTGGGTCCACTCGAGATACACTGGCCCGAAGTTCGTCACAAAGACGCGATGGCATACCCAGGTCCGATGAAAACGTGAGTCGAGGGGCTCTCTAGTGCTGCACGTTCATGGCATGGAAGGATTGCGGTTGGCTTACCGATGGTATCGAAGGCTTGGGGGGTGCTGGCTTTGAAGCCAGCTTGAGATACATTTCTGTGGCTTATGTCGCGCATGTCTATACCTGGACCTAGACAGAGGCAACGTATCTTGATGGGTGCGGTTCTGCCTGTGAGGTCTCGGACTTCAGAAGCGAAGTTGCCAGCCCATGTTGAATTTCGAGATCGTAATTAAAACCTTACGGCCGCGGGAACCCAAAGCTTCAGCAAAGATCCCGAGAGTCTACTGTAGAGCCCACAACACATGGAACCAGGACGTCAAGCCACATGGCTACATGTGGGTCATTAGGGTTTTCTTTCTTTGCGGGCCCCTACCAGGCTATTCAAACATGAACCCTGTAATTTGGAGAGCCGACCGTATGGGTAGATTGGCTTTGGTTTGACTGTGCCCTTTCCACTTGGCCTGTCAGTCTCTGCTCGTCGGCGCCACGATTGCCCTGCATGGTACAAGCCACAATCGCTTTGTGCGAATGAATGGCGACTTGGCAAATTGCATGGGGACAGGCTTCGAATGTTCGAGGGTTGGCCTATTTGCTTGTCTTTTAAGCCACTCAGGCGAGAACATGGATCGGACGGCAGCGAAGGCCAGCGCAACTCAGATGCACTTTGGGATTGTGGCCTGGAGCCTAAATGCCAATCCGACGCCGAAATCCGCGCTCACACGCTCACACTCTCACTCACTCACTCACTCACTCGCTCACTCACTCACTCACTCACTCACTCACTCACTCACTCACACACACGCACACCCGCCCACAAACGCATACAGCCAGCCAGCCACCAACCCACCCACTCACCCACCCGCCCGCCCACGAACGTCCTGCACGCCCACACGCGGACAAGCTCACACGCGCACAGGCCCGCGCGCTCGTGCACGCGCACACGAGCGCACGCGCACACGAGCGAGTGTGCACACGAGCGAGGGCGCGTGCGCGCGCGCGCGCGCACGCTCGCGCACGAGCGCGAGCGTGTGCTCGCAGGCGCGGGCGATCGCATGGGCATGGACGCGCGCACGCGCTGGAGCACACGCAGCCTCGCGCGAACGTGCATGAGAACGTGCGCAGAAGAAGCAGCGCACGCGAACGTGCGAACGTGCGCACGTGCGAACGTGCGCACGCGCGCGCCCGGGCACGCACGTACGCAAGCTCGCATGCACGTGCACGCATGTATGCTGAATATTTACATATACATATATGTAATTATACGCATACACGTGTTTCCTTACAGGTCAAGCTACATGATATCGACAAGCAATGTACACTTCAAGGCACGTGCCCTGAAGTAAACTCGTCACGGGTGTGCGCAGTTTGTTAAGGACAAGTTGCCGTCCACTTGGGACACAACTTTCTTCCGCATTGTGGATGCTGGTGCAGGTCGGACTACTTGTGGCACACGATGACTGCAGAACCCTAATTATTGAACCATGTACTGGCTGTAGATCTGTAACTCAGTGAGGGCTTGCTCCTGCTGCCTTTTCCCTTCCACTGAATGAGCTGGCTTTCGGAAAAGACTTGTCAAATGTCATGTCGACAAGCCCTGCCAATTTCTGACTCTGCTGCCAGTGGTATGCCTTCTTTATGAACCTCTGTGAGATTGTTGAAGTTTGGAGGCAAGATTGGCCTCTACAACCCGAAGAATAAGAAGTACATCCGAATGAACAAGGAGGACTCAAGTTGGAGTTGGAGAATTGAGAAGTATGGGCAGATTTCAGGGCACTGGCGTGCAAAAGCTCCGGGCCCTCCGCCAGGACATGGACGCCGTAGGTTGGCGAAGATCTTGGGAGAGCAGCCTGGCGGATGTTGGGCATAGTCATGGTATCGTAACATGTTCAAGAATGGTGCCCATTATGCCTCGCAACTCAGAGACCCCCCTCGGAACGGCCGCCTGTCTCTGCCTTAATGAAAAGCTACAACCAAAGACGCAGGAGTTGCGCGTCTTTGCCGCAACTACGCAAGAAATCTACTAAGATTCTAAGCAAGCGTGGAAACAGCCTGGCCCAAACGACCATGAAGGGCCTCAAACAGACCCGTCTTCGTAGGCTTCTCCGTGGTGGATGCGGGCAAGGGCGAGGTTGCTTTGCACAGCGAGACCTTCAATCGCTTCATCCGCATGCGAGACAGCGCCAATATGGCCGCCGAGCTGCATTTCAGAATCGGTTGAGGCAGTGTCGCCGCAAGAACAGGGCCCAACACTCATCTTGGGCTACATTCTGCTTCACATTCTGCTTCAGTTTGCTTCAGCTCAGGACGCAAGTGGCAAGTCCAAGGCCGCCCCCGCGTGTGCCATTGGGGTCCATGCCTCCAAGAGGGCTCTCCGAGTTCCCCACAGCCAGGGAAGCCACCATAGTGTAGATGAGCATGGTAATCAACTAGGTAACTCCTCATCTCCAGATTAGCATTGTTACCTTTCTTGTTGGTTGCAGTCTTGCATTCTCACACTACCAGTACTCCGAATAACCCTTGATATCCCTGTCCGCCTTGACAGTCCCTCCCTTCGGGCTGGACCTGGGAGCGCTTCAAGGTGGTCCAGGCACGACTCCCCCAAAAAAAGCTCTCGTGCATCTTTGCTTTCATTCCCTGTTTTCCGACATTCCTTTTTCTTTCTGCTTCCCTTTCGGCTTCCGATTTGGTTTTTCTTCGGGTTTCCCTTTTGGTTTGCCGGTGGGTTTGCCCTTTTTTCCAAGTTTTCCCCTTCTGCCTTCAGCGCGCTTTGGCGCAAGAAGGCCCCAAGGCCTTCTCGAAGTCACACACTCTATCTCTCTCTCTCTGCATTAGAAAATGTACATATGCGATTCTATGAATAGGAATAATATTATGAATATGAATATGAACATGAATAAATAAATAAATAAATAAATAAATAAATATATATATATGTATACATACATATATATATAACTATATATGCATATGTACGTGTAAAATGGTTTTTGTTACATTGTTGCAAGCTATCATTCTACAATCCTACTATATAAGTATATTCTTAGCTTGTTAAAACCACCCTAAACCCCCTATGAACCCTCTGAACTCCTAGAAATCAACCAGGAATGAACCCGAATAAAGGTCCTCCTCAAGCCGGGCAGCGAGATTGCCTTGCACAACTCCATCTTCAATCGTTTCATGCGAATGCAGCTGGGCGACAGGGGGGTCTCCGGCTGTTGGGCCCTTGTACAGAGACGTAGGCATGAAAGTTCTCTCTCTCTCTCTCTCTCTATATGTATTTGTACGTGCATATGTGTATGTAAATGTATACAAGTGTGGCCCCCCATCAAGTGCCTTGGTTTGGGGCTGCAGTACAGTACTTGTAGTGTTGGCTGAAGCTACCGCATGCAACGATATGCAGTGCGCACAGGTTTGTTTTTTTGCCCGCCCAAGTGACAAACAAAAACATTGTGCACATCTTGAATAAAAGCTGACCAGTTCCAAGACGCCACCGATGCTTGGAAGGATCCGAAGCTGATATCAATCTACAGCTTGGAGTGATCTCTTTTTTTAGATCTTAGATACGTGCCATTTAAGGACTCGCAAAAATATTTTCTTGTACCTGGCCGTTTGAAGACCACTCAAGCCCAGCCCCAGATGCAAAAGACTTCGAGCCAGGCTTCGCCAGACAATTCGCATGCTGTGGCTTCTATTGACAGCCCACTTCAAGAGTAAGAACTACTAGGAGATCGCAAGCTGTACCCCGATCAAGGAAAGTCCTGGAGGAGGTATTAGGCAATAGTCTGCGTTGCTTAAGGGGTCCTAACTTGTGTGTGCCAGGTCCTGTGCAATATGGATCTTAAACCAACAACATACGCAATTTGGGCTAGGAGAGAGTTCATGGAAGGTTCTAGCCAAATTGAGTCCCAAGTATTATGTAGAGCATAGTTGAACAACCCCGCTGTCCGACCCTAAGCCCGAGCCGAGAATAGCGAGCCCGACAGTTCTTTTAGGGACCGTGCGGCACTTTGAGCCCTCAAGGCCTTCAAGGCGCTGTACCGTCCCTAACAAAACAAATCCCAGAAGCAGAAAATGCTGTCACTAAGCAACCTTAAACAAATCCTGGACACCTCCAGTGGTGGTGCGTAAGCTTGCAGAAGTTGGGTGTTCAAGAAGGCTCAGAGACCTCATACTCTTCTGGAAGTTGATGCTGCATTGCCTGTGACAAAACATGAAAAACCAGAGCAGAGGGCCTCTGCGGGTCTCTGGCATGCAACAGATGTTTTTTTTGGGGGGGAGGAGGAACTTGATCCCTAAACCCTAAGCCCTGTAGGCAGGGCTTCGAAGGGTTTCTGCGCCGAGCCCAAGGCATGGCGATGCCAACAAGATGGACTCATCGGCCGAGAAGCCATGCTGAAGAACATGAGGCTTTCAGGTTTATCATGTTTTTTCAGTGGGCTTGTCTGCGTGGATGTGCAGGGTTTTGGGACTGGAGAGAGTTGGGGTTTTTTCTTTTTTAAACATTTTTTTTTGGCCATAGGCTTTCGAGGCACCTTGAGAATGCGTCGTTATTCTCAGATACTCGAAGAGCCGAGGAAGAACATCAACGCTCTGCCAGACGGGTGGACCTGGGAGCGCTTCAAGGCTCCTTTTGAGAGTTTATTGCTCTTGGTTTCCCCATTCACTGCCACAGGCGGCCCCCCCGAACTCCGAGACCCCTCAGTTTAGGGTTTAGGGTTTAGAGGGTGAGGGTTGAGGGTTGAGGGCTTCGGGTCAGCCCTATTATATCCCTACATGGTAGACCCTCCTTGCCCTTCTCTTCGAAAACCTGCGAGGTGGTCGACGCTGGCTTCGGACAGGTCGCGCTCCACAGCGCCATCCACAACCGCTTCGTGCGGATGTGGAAGAGCGCGCCGCGTCTTGAAACCTGCACCTTGCATATAGGCAAGATACCGATGCTTCTTGCATATAGGAGACTCGGAGGGGGCAAGAATGGTCAAGCAACAGGGCAGATGGCAAGCACCTCTCTGGGATCCCAGGACATGGACCGCAGTGGGCAGAAGGATGCCTCGGCTTTGCCCCTCGACGGAGACCTGTGATGCCCGCAGAATGAGAAGAAGAAAAGGCCCCCTGTGGTGAGAGCTCTTTCAGGGCTGCCCTGAACCTGTGAGGCCAACCGGCTGGTGGGCGGAGCGCTTCACAGTCGTGGACTGCGGTGGCGGCAAGGCTGGGACGCGAGAATTTTGAGACGCTTGCTTGGGGATGGAGAAACTTTTGTGGGTGGGGGGGGGGGTTCTGCCACAACGGGTCACCGCGCTGCCCCAGAGGTCGCGTTCCACAGCGGCCGCTTCAACCGCTCCTCGGCTTCAATTTTTGTCTTTCCAACGGAGTTCACCCTTTTGCACGTTTCGACCTTTCTGGCGAGGCTGGTGCCCGAGGGGAGCTGCGCAGTAAGAACAAGAGGATGATGGCAACAGCAACAACTAAACTTGAATATCCATCATGCAGCTACCCTAAACCCCAACCCCCCCCCCCCCCCCCAAAAGCCCATAAACCCTCCCCGCCCTCTAAAGCCCTCCACAGCCCTCTGTAGTCCCAGGATCCCCCTTTCAAGTCAAGCAGTGGGATGCTCCTCAGGCTTCATTCGAATGAACCACGGCGACATGGATCGCAGCGCCGAGAAGGAGCGCCTGTTCCCCACGGCATCCCACGGCCCCGCATGTCCCTGCCTCCCTCCCTCCCCCTAATCCCTAAACCCTACTGCAAAAGAGTTTTCTTTTGAGGTTGGACCTAGAGGGACCGTAGTCATGCCTCCTCGTAGGCTTAGGGTTTAAGGGTTAAGGGTTTAGGGTGTAGGGTTCAAGAGTTTAAGGGTTTAAGGGTTTGAGGGTTCAAGGGTTCAAGGGTTTAAGGGTTCAAGGGTTTAAGGGTTCAAGGGAGGGTGTAAGGGTTTAAGGGTTTAAGGGCTTAAGGGTTTAGGTTTAAAGACCAAAAGCTGCTCGCTTGGGATTGCTTTTGCCTGGTTTTAGGCTGCGGCGTGGCTTGAGCTTTAACAAACCCCCGCTTGGTGGGCTTCTTGAGACGGTGCACTATACTCGATTACGCAGCTCGTGAGTTTGTACTGTGTATGTCGCGCGCGTGCGCGTGCGCGTGTGTCAGCTTATTGCACGTGTGCTTGCTTTGCTTGCTTCCTTCTTGCGCTGCGGCAGGCAGCACGCAAGCTTCTCTTGATGTCTATTTCACCAAGCATGGTGAGGTATTTGCTTCAGCTAGTACTCGCCGCAACCCGTCCAAAGCCCTAATCATTCACAAGCCCCCGAATTTCCACGCCATCACTGCAAAGGCTGGCGACGCACTGCCCAGCGGATGGACATGGGAGTGCTTCACGCCTATTGAGGCTTGGGAGCCTGTTCCCTCGCAGTCTAGAGTTGTCGGCTCCTTGTTGCGTCGTCACTGTCGTTGTCCACATGCTTCATGCATCATCAGCCCCCAAAAAAACAACGAAATCTTCACAACCTTGGGGATGTTCCCCTTATACTACCAGTCCTTAATGGGGCTTATAGTACCCCCTAGTAGAATCCCTACAAAGGACTGTTGGCCTAAGGGGGAGCATCCTAATCACAACCCTCCAACTCTGAGCATCGGAGACGGAGGCATTCACGTGCAAGACCGGGTCCGGAAGCCGCGGGGCAGGCACAGAGCAGGTTCGCATGGGTTTAGGGTTTAGGGTTTGGGGTTGGGGGTTTAATTAGGGTTGGCATTTTTCAGGGTTTTGATATGCATTCAGACTCCAATGGCACATTTGGGGCGCGTTGTAGTTGTGAGTGGCTGTTGATGTTTGTCTTTTTTGGCGAGAGGGTCTTGAAGCTTAGTCACGAACATCTGAGGCAAGTGCAAGACGTGCATTGCCCCTGGCTCGCGAACGGCGCAGCCCCAAGAACACATGACCGGAACATGCACCGAAGATGCGGGCCGAGTATGCTAGATGTGCCACAATGAAGCCAAAGGCTACAGACCATTGCAAAAGCTGCAACGCCGGCTTCGCGCTTGTCGGCAGGGTGTGCAAGGCCATTTGCAGTCTTTGTGCATGTGTTTTACATCTTACCGCTCGTTTTTGTTGGGCACACTGTCATCAAGCTGGCTCCCTGCTGACGGGATGTGCCTCGCATGCTCAGTCACGATCCCACCAAGCCCCGGATCACTCACAAGCCGGTAATCATTCTTCGGTGAGTCTGTCAGCCCCCTGCTTCAGAGCGAGCACGCGGTGACCAGTGGCAAGTCGGCAGTTGGCGATGACAAGCAAGCCACGGCGGAGTGCCCGGCGGGCCGCCTGGCCCAGATTGCTAGAACCGTGCAGATTAATTACCGCATATTACATCAATACCTGCTCCACCCACATATCACACCCCCAAAGGCAGTCGGAGAATAGACAGCCAAAAGCCCAGGAGCCAAGGTGCATCGGTTCCCCAAAAACTCCCGGGCAGGATCCCCACAACTAAACCAAAAAGAACTCCCCACCGTTCTTCCCGGCCAAGGTATGTACATCAAGAAGTGCGAGGTGATCAAAGTCGGATCGGAGCCTCGGCGCGTTTCACGCTTAGGCCTAGGGAGTTGCATACTGCACATTGTTTCTGGTATGATACTGCTAGCGGAGCTGGGCTTGAGTTTAGTCTCCACAAAACTGGGACTATTTGAGAGAGAGCACGACTTTCAACAACCAATTCATACCCTGCACCCGAAGCCTCTCAGACTTTCCCGACGGCCGAGGGAAACCTGGCCGACGGAGCTGTGATCAATGACCAGGCAACCAAATGCACCGCGCAGAGCCGCTTGAAGAAGTAAGAGTGGGCGTTTTCCTTGAGTTTTACAAGTGAGAGACACTGAGAGTTTGTGTCTTCAGTTTTTTTGCCCCGCTCGTGCTGCCTAATACCTGCAGATTGATCTTCGAGAAGCAGAATCGCCAGAAGATTGATAGTTGTAGAAATGAAGCATAGTAACCTTGGTCGTGATAGTTACAATCATAATTATTACAACAGCGAATCATGGGCGCGGTGCCTGAAATCACCGAGGCACCGGGGGCATGAGCGTGAAGGCCAAGGCCGTCCGGCAGTGGGGAGCAGAGTAAGGAGTAGAGGCAAAAGAAACATGGGTTTAGGGTTTAGGGTTTAGGGTTTAGGATTTAAGGTTTAGGGTTGCTAACATGCAGTGCTGCAACCGCAGTTCTCTTGGTTTATGTTCATGTGCAGGAACCCAATGTGAAGACCATGAGGGCTGCTGCTAGGGTCTTTCCAGGAGATGGCCCTAAACTCTAAACCCCAAACCTTACAATCCTATTTTACAAGGTTCGCCAAGACAGGCGCCCTAGTTGCCCTGTCGGAGGCCTCCTGCAGCACCCTCAAGACGTTCGCCATCTCGACGAGGGCATACGACAAAGGCGGAGCACTGTGTGTGTGTGTGTGTGTGTGTGTGTGTGTGTGTGTGTGTGTGTGTGTGTGTGTGTGTGTGTGTGTGTGTGTGTGTGTGTGTGTGTGTGTGTGTGTGTGTGTGTGTGGGTTTGTCGGAGCTCGCATGCTTGCTGGACTGTGCCAGCTTGGAAAGCCGATGTTCTGCTGCGAGGATCGAAGACAGCTTCCTGTGCGAAGCCTTTGTCGTGCAACTGCCGATCCGTGACTCGTCTTCGCTTGGGGTGACGTGCTCCGTGGCGGGCGATACAAGCAAGAGATGCTGGAACGCCAGCGTTGAAAAATCCCCAAGAAGAGCCATACGTTGTTTGTTTTTGGGTGCTCTTAGTTCTTCTGCTCTGTGCCTTCTGCACCGTTGTTCATGTTTATGTGCAGGTTTTGCTTGGCCATGTTTTCTTCTTGCTTCTTGCCGTCTCTGCCGGCTGCCTTCCATGTGCCATTGGCTGTTGTCATCGGTTGTCCCTGCTCCTTTTTGATTGATTGTTCTTGTCGCTGCATACAACACAGTTTCGTTTTTGTACCATTTGGGCACGGCTTCTGTGGTACCCTGGCAGTATCTCTATGCACATGTTGTTTAACGTTCCATCAAGCTTTTTCCAAGCCGTCTTGTCTTCGCATGCCTTCACACAACGTAGCTTATCTGATCCATAGGTGGTGTGATTATTGTGACACTTGACTCATGGCAGCAAGGCATGGAGAGTCAAGGACCAGTGCGCCTTGTCAGCATTTTGGGGCCCAGAGCCCTTGCTTGTGGGCCCTTGCCCTTGTGGGCCCTTTCTCTGACCTTTCTCAGGCTGGTCTGGACGACAAACGGCTGCCACCTTCAGCCCCTCGAACGGCAAGTGCACTCGCCTCTCAGCTGCATGATGCGCAAAAAAGTCGGCCTCCGGGAACTATCACAGCAAAGCGGACAGTTTAAGTCTGCGCCCGAGGAAAGTCTGGGAACAACGGCATTCAGGTCACTGCCGTGTGCGAGGCTGGTGGAACACAACGCTCACTTGAAGGTCGTTCTAGATCGGGCTTCGTAGAGGCACTTTTTCTCTACAGAATCATAATTTCTTTGGAGTCAGAACAAAAGCCCAAAACGGACCCAACCCTCCGCCTCCCCCTCCCCCACCCCCACCCCCCAATAGTGGCCCCCCCCATTCAAACATGAGTGTTGTTCCTGGAGGAAGCATCTTTTATGGCCGCTCCGTGCTTTCGTGCCATATGCGGTGAGCAACCTTTAAGGACGTTCTGCAGGCATCGTGTCCACTGCATCTCCTGAACCCGAACCTCGAACCCGTAACCCCTAAACTTGCCTAAACCCTGAGCACAAATCCCTAAAGCGGGGCATCTTGGCTTGCGGCCAGCAGGTCCTATCATGCAGCACGGGAGCAGGCGGAGGCTGCAAAACCTGCGTCGGCGAGCGAGACCGCCAGGCGCTTCCGCCTTGGGGTCAGGTAAGGGTGAGGGTTTGGGGTTTCCGGCAGAATTGACCCATTGATCCACACGTATCTCCACCAAGTCTCAGACTCGGAGGTTTAAAGGTGGATATAAGTTGGTTCTTGTTAAAAGCCCTAAACAGGGAACTACAGCCACTACTCAAAACAATGCCAGATATCAATGCCCCATGAAGCTCCAAGCAGCCACGCTCTCTACTCCAATTCCAAGACCCAGATGAGGGTGTAGGAAGCTTTGGGCTGGCTCCTATGTGTTGAAGCCTTGCAGATTGTCAACCACTGCGGCTCCTGCAATCCGGGCTACTATCTGGAGGGTGGCGAGTGCAAGGCGCGGCCGCGCAGC